CATCGACTACGACGAGACTTTCAGCCCGGTTGTCAAACCGGCCACTATACGCATCGTTTTGAGCCTAGCCGTGTCCAAAGGATGGCCGATCCACCAGTTCGACGTCAAAAATGCTTTCTTGCAGGGCTACATCTCAGACACTGTTTACACCGCTCAGCCTTCGGGATTTCAGGACCCTGCTCGCCCACATTATGTCTGCAAATTAAACAAGGCACTCTATGGACTCAAGCAAGCCCCCCGCTCTTGGTACCAGCGATTCACAGGATTTGTTCTTTCTCTTGGTTTCAGTGGGTGTAAGAGTGATGCCTCCTTGTTTGTTTATAGTCGCGGTCAGGACATGGCACTACTTCTGCTCTATGTTGATGATATTGTCCTCACTGCATCATCCACTGCCTTACTACATCAGCTCACAGAACGACTAAAAGGGGAGTTTGCTATGACAGATATGGGTGACCTTCACTTCTTTCTTGGGATCAATGTCCAGCGGACCTCTCACGGCCTACTCCTCACTCAGACTCAATTTATCTATGACATCCTTGAGCGGGCAGGCATGACCTCGTGCAAACCCGTTTCTACACCCGTGGACACCCGCGGGAAGCTCTCGGCCACCGTTGGTCCTCCAGCGCCAGATCCCTCTCTCTATCGCTCTATTGTGGGAGCACTGCAGTACCTCACCTTCACACGCCCGGATATTACCTATGCCGTACAGCAGTTATGTCTCTTCCTTCATGATCCTCGAGTGCCGCATGTCACAGCCATGAAGCGCGTCTTGCGCTATCTTCACGGTACACCCACACATGGCATCACCATCTCACCATCTCAGATAGATCACATGCGGGCATACTCTGATGCTGACTGGGCTGGCTGCCCAGATACTCGTCGATCGACATCCGGTTACTGCATTTTTCTAGGCGACAATCTCATCTCCTGGTCATCTAAGCGACAACTCACAACCTCTCGATCCAGTGCTGAAGCAGAATATCGAGTTGTCGCTAATGCTGTCGCTGAAGTCTGTTGGGTGCGCAATCTTCTTCTAGAACTCCAGCAACCACTGGTGCGATCCACACTGGTCTTCTGTGATAACATCAGTGCTGTCTACCTTTCGGCCAACCCAGTTAAACATCAGCGCACAAAGCATATTGAGGTAGATATTCATTTCGTGCGAGACAGAGTAGCCCTTGGTCAGATACGAGTCTTTCATGTGCCTTCTTCATTACAGTATGCTGACATTTTCACCAAGGGACTACCCACCATGATTTTCTCCGAGTTTCGAGATTGTCTGGGCGTGCGGCGATCTTCTTTGGTGCCGTTGGGAGCATGTTAAATATATTCTTACTATATTTAATATTAATGTATATTGGTAGCTTCCATAATTGTATAGGGTGTAATTAATACTGTTTCCTATTATCATTAGGAAACTCTTGTATATATACACATGTAATCTCCCATAATAATTTATGTGAAAATACTCATTCTTCAATAACCTTCCATTTTGTTTTTGTTTTTGTGTAAAAATCAAACAGAAAAACCAAAGCTAACACTACATATTATTATTGTTTCATCGAGTTAGTGTTTTTATAACTTTTTAAGGCTTATAATTTCTACTTTTATAAATCGGAAAAAAAAAACAAAATAAACACCGTATAAAATCGAATTGAATAATCAATGATTTACATATTTTTTATGCAAATATGAATCAAACCGAACCGTCAGTTTACCTTCCATTTGTCTTTGGTTTGGGGTGAAAACGGAACAAACTTTGTGGTCAAGCCCCCAATGATAATACGTGTACTCCGTACATAATAGAGTGGTCAAGCCCCAATGATAAGACGTTTTATTACTCCAAGTCAATACCTCTCCCGTAGGACGGGCCACTCCAACTTCACTCGAACTTGTTCCCCGTACCAAACTTGAAAAGCATTTTTCCAGTCTCGATATGGGCACTCATAACATGCGTCGTCAACCATGGAGTTTTGCAGTTCCCACTCTCCTATTCTACCTTTCTACATTCGTTTTCTCAGATTCTAATAATGGAAACGGCTCTCAGGCTGAAATCTCAATCAATTTCCTGGAATCAGCAAAAAGCGAGGACCTTTTCAATTGGATGGTCAAAATTAGAAGGGCCATCCACGAGAATCCGGAGCTTGGCTTTGAAGAGTTCGAGACCAGTAGACTGATTAGAGATGAGCTTGAAAAACTGGGGATTCCCTATGCTCATCCTTTCGCTGTTACCGGTATAGTGGGCTCTATTGGAACAGGAAACCCTCCCTTTGTGGCCATCAGAGCAGATATGGATGCTCTCCCTATTGAGGTTCCTTAAACTCATTTTTATGCATCTTCAAGATCTGATCAAGTTTTGTTAATGTAATTATTACATCCGTTCACCATTTGGTTAATATGGTTATAGTCTAAATTTCATTTTTTTAGGTTATAGGAGACTAGATCCTAAGATTGCCTTCTTACATTGTCTTGGCACGTTGATTAAGAAATTAAAATTGTGTGGTTATTAGTATTTAATTTGGCACCTTCTAAGTTTGCTGGTCGACCACGAAAGCCATTCACCTCTTGAGGAGACTAATGGAGCAATATAGGGACAAAACTAGAGATCTACACAAGTTATTTGTTGACTTGGAGAAAGCTTACGATATGGTTTCTCGGGAGATGTTATGGAGGCGCATAGAGTACAATACTAGTTGCTTATATTCGGGCTGTGAATGACATCTATGATGGGGCAAGGACCAGGGTGAGGTCGTTAGGTGGTAACTCCGGACATGGTGGAAATGGGGTTCTATCTTGGGTCTGCCTTCAGTCCTTTGTTATTTGCTTTGGTGATAGATATTGTAATGCAACATATTCATGGGGAGGCACCTTGGTGCATGCTGTTGGCGAATGATGTTCCAATTAATGAGACACGAGAGCAACTCAATGATGGGTTAAAAGTGTGGAGATAGCCCTTGGAATGAAGATTTCAGATTGAACACGACTAAGATCGAGTGTGTGGAATGTGCTTAGGTGGTACACTGGTAGGATGAATGAGTCAGAAGTGGAAGTGATGATTGATTCACATCCAGTGTCTAATATGGACAAACTTTGGTACATTGGATCCATCGTTCACGCTGATGGGGATGTACTCAAGGTAGATGGGGATGTTGATTGTTGTCCATCATATTAGTGTTGGTTGAGCAAAGTGGAAGTTTCCTTCAGATGTCCCTTGCGACAAGACGATATCGACAAACTTGTAAGGGAAGTTTTATTGGGCAGTGGTCATACCAGCTATGTTCTATAGATTAGTGCTAGTGAAAGATGCTCATGTTTGGAGGCTACGAGTGGTAGAGATAAGGATGCAAGGTGGATCTACGGTCATACAAAGATGGATAAGATTCGGAATAAGGATATTCTTGGGATAGTAGGTGTGGTTTTTAAACTCTCAGACATTAGACTGAGATGGTATGGGCACGTGCTCAGGAAAAGTATGGATGCCCTAACTTGGTGGTGTGAAAGGCTTGAGGTATGGGGCATGTGGAGGGGTAGAGTTAGATCCAAAAAGAGTTGGAAGGAGGTGATTAGACATGACTTACGACTTCAAGATCAAACCGATGATATGGCCTTAGATATGAGTTTCTAAAGGCCTCCAATTAGGGGGTGGTAGGGTAGTCATTGTGCCTTAGTTTGCAGCTTCTGCATGCGTACTTTTGTCAGTTTTGTGCCTAAGTTTGTAGTTTTTATTGTTGTGGCTATGGTTTATTTACAAATGATTGAACAAATGTGAGCCACACCCATTATTTCTGAAATGGAAACAAAAAGAGAAATTTAAGACATTTCAAAAATAATGTGTGGATAAAATTTTAGGACGAAAGGAGTTGTACTGCTTGTGAAAGGGCATCCCATTCTTAATATACATAATAGGAAAGCAGGTCATATTGCTTGCGAAAAGGCATGGTAGTGCACAAAGCATCCCCGTTAAACGAGGGCTCGGGAGCGGTCCCACCATAGAAGTTGCATCAAGATTTGGATCCGTGACCTTAAGGTCACACGACAACACTTCAACGTGTACATGGTGTCATGGTGCACCAAGGATCCCTTCAATTATATTGCTTGTGATTCTAAAACATGCTGTGGATGGTGGAGCAGTATTACAAGTGTTTTATTAATTTTGGTTTCTTTTGTATTGATGCAGGAGAAGGTGGAGTGGAAGCATAAGAGTAAATTTCCTGGAAAAATGCATGCTTGTGGACATGATGCTCATGTTGCTATGCTTCTCGGTGCTGCAAAATTACTTCAAGAACGCCGAAATGAATTGCAGGTTCACATTCTTTGCATTTTTAGTTCTTTTTACTTCTTTATATGTTGACCTTTTATTTCTGATTTCTGAGTTGATAATTGGTGTTATATACTCCTACTTATCATTGTTCAAGTACTTCATTTGCCAAATTTTGTATGGGTAGTTTCTCAATCATAGTTAGGTTGGGTGTTACTATACCAAAATTTATTTCTAGGAAAGGGGCAGAGGTATGAGTTTTGAACTACACCTATCCTTGATGCATTCGTTGGGAAAACGTTAAAATCAATGCTTCCTAGTACTCCCTCTGTCTCTAAAAGAACTTTGAATTTTCTATTTTGGGCATCCTTAAAAGAATTTTATGCTTCTCCACTTTCGTTTTAGGAAATGAATATGTGGCTCTTATCATATCTCAACCATCAAAATAAATTTCAACCACACACTTTTTATTTTTCACCAAACACCTTTAACTATTCAACATCTTACTTAAAGTTTGTGAAGTCATACTGTCAAGTTCTCTTAGGGACAGAGAGTTATCTTTTGAAGGACAATGGCTCTTGAACTATGTCTTTACCCTGTACATAGGCGGGTAACATGTATTACCCTGAAGAAAATAGCATCATAGAACGGGCATACCAGAGCAGTACTGGACGACCATAAGCAACAAGCCTAAGACGCGTAACACAGCAAATTAGACCAACACCAAAGGACAGCCCCCTGCTGGTGCGCAGGTCAGGCAACAAAGCATCAACCTACAAAGTAAAAACAGCCATAACCTACCAAATACATACAGTTTTTAAGTCACCATGTCAGAAGTGAAAGAGGCAGTTTTTAGCATTGGGAATGATAAAGTTCCTGGACCTGATGGGTTTACTTCAGCTTTTTTTAAGGATCAATGGCACATTGCTGGGAAATGTGGAGACCAGAAACCAAGGTGAAGTGATGCAAGGAGTTAAACAACATAATATCATCAGCAAAGGCCACATATGAGATACCAAGCTTTGCGCAAAGAGGATGATAATTGAAGATTTTCTGTTTAGTATTCACATTCAGCAATTTAGAGAGATACTCCACACACATGATGGACAAGCTTGGGGACATGGGATCACCTTGTCTAAGTCCTCTTCGCCCTTTAAAAAATCCATGCATACCCCCAATAAGTGAAATAGAGATGGATGCTGAAGTAATGCATTCCTTCACAAGACTCACAAAATGCACAGGGAAGCCCAATCCAATCATGACATCCTTGAGGAAGGCCCAGGAAACAGTGTCATATGCCTTGGTGATATCAAGTTTAACCATACACCTAGGTGAAATTCTGCGCCTGGCATACCCCCTCACCAAGTGTTACGCAAGAAATACATTATCCACCAAGGATCTCCCTCCAATAAAGGCTTCTTATGCAGGATCGATCAAGGCAGGCAAGAGGAGACTCATCCTATTGGCAAGAATTTGGGTAATGACTTTATACAGCACATTTGAGCAAGCAATTGGTCTAAAGTCCTTCACTACAGGATTAATCTTCTTTTTAGGAATCAACACAATGACAGAATGGTTGATTTGCTTAAGGAGCTTCCCCTTAGAGAAGAATTTAGACACAACATCAAAGACATCCTTCCCAACAATGTGCAACTGATCCTTAAAGAAAGCTTAAGTAAACCCATTAGGTCCACGAGCTTTATCATTCCCAATGCTAAAAACTGCCTATTTTCACAATCGGGCATTGTATTTTTGTTACTACTAATGTAAGGATAGTTTTAGCAGGTAACTGAAAAGATACTGTTTATATTTTTTTAAATTAATGTTTTCTTTGGGCTCTTAGCTCTTCATTGCTTAAATTAATCATGTGTTAGTCATTCTTTATTTACTTCACAACCTCTTTTATATGGTTATATTCTTGCATTTAAGGTTGCACTGGTTATACTTTGTCTTTCGTATCGTCCAATGTTTGAGTACATAAAATATATTCGTCCCTCCAATGTACGGAGTATAAATTTTTTTTATTGTAGTAAGTTCTATCTTTTGAAAATTGCCAAAACATAGATATAATTTTATATTTATTTGCATACAAGTAATACAACAACAACTAACCCCATGAAATCACACAAAAATAGGGTCTGGAGAGGGTGTGTGGAGAGGGTGTGTGTGCAGACCTTACCTCTACTTGAAAGTAAAGAGGTGGTTTCCTCAATTTTTGTGTATAACTAAATTTAACTCTCTCAATTTGTTTGTGATAACTGTATACACCATGACCCTAAGTTTAGCAAAAATGTCGTCTGTAGTATATTTGGCACCATCAAAGCACACCCCGCTGTGTACCTTCAGTATCATATAAACTCTACAATGGAATGGCAATCTGGTTGCCTCGATCTTCACTAGCCCACACAATGCTCTTTAGGAAGCAATCTCTCCACTCTCGCGAGTGTCCTCATATGAGATTTAGGGCCTAGCCAGCTGCGTACTTTATTCTAAAGAGCCTTACTAACTGAACACGAGAATAAAAGGTGAATAGCAGGTACCAAATGCACATGACAAAGGCGACATCGCTTGTCCACACCCAAGGCGTCCGAATTGGCTTACTGTTGAAAGCATGCCTCTGAAAGCCAGCCACACCATGGATGAGAACTTGTGCCTTAGTCAATCATAAACCTATCCACAGCTTAGCTTCTTGTTTACACAATACACACATACTCTGGAGGCCAAGTATGGTGCTATCAACATCACCAAACTGACCAAAGATACCAAGGTGTCACAGATACTAGCCATTTTCTTTAAAAGCTTGATGTCCCTCGTGTGGGGATTGCCACTCCCACATGGGTGATGGACCTTGCATGAAGGTTGACTCCATGGACCCCATGAATCCATAAAGTATCAGCTTTCCTGTGAATGTTTTACAAGCTATCCTGTGAACTTATTGAATAGAAATAGAAAGGAAATGAAAATAAAGTTAATTTGTTGAATAGAAAGAAATAAAAAGCACATAAAAGAGAAACTCCCTTTGCAAGAGTACTTCTTGGCCTAGCTAATGTTCAAATATTTTCTTGTAAACTCTGTAAATTTCTTCAATGGGGGCTGCCATATTTGCAAGGGAATTATTGATTAAGGAACACATTTTCAGGGGACAGAGGGAGTAGATGATTGGAGGTATAGAGTCCATAGAACCAACCCCAAAAATATAAATAATTAAATAGGTGAGCTATGTAGGGTGGATGCTCACCTTACGTGCCTTTCTTTAAGTCTCAAGGGCATGCTTCCATTTTTTTTTGTCAGGGGACCGTCCTTTTGGTTTTCCAACCAGCTGAGGAGGGAGGGGGAGGTGCAAAGAGAATGCTTGATGCTGGGATTCTCGAGGGTGTTGATGCCATCTTCGGTCTGCACGTCAGTCCTATTCATCCTGTTGGAACGGTTGCCATCCGTCCGGGCCCTATATTGGCTGGGAGTGGATTCTTTAGTGCACAAATTAGTGGAAAAGGGGGTCATGCGGCTATTCCCCAGAATACCATAGACCCAATCTTAGCAGCTTCAAGCATAATTTTCAGTTTGCAACACCTAGTTTCACGGGAGGCTGATCCTCTTGATTCACAGGTATTGTCTACCCATCTGTCTTGATTGCTCTTACAAATACCGAGATACGCACAGGGCATGCGGCAATCTAAGCCATGCCTCAGGCTTTCTTCTATTAACTTGGCTAGGATGCGTGCTTAGCATCCCCGTTGAGTGAGGGTTCAGAGAAGGGTCTTACCTATAAGCAGACCTCTCAATTGGTCGTCCAAGGCTCCCCTTCATCTGTCGTCCATATTGCATATTGCCGTAGTATCTCTATTTTGTTCACTTGCTTTCATAGTAAGGCCATGTTTTATAGCCTATAACATGGAACGGCTTCATATATTCCCCTGTTCTTTTGCAGGTAGTAACTGTATCAAAGTTCCAAGGTGGCAGTGCATTCAATGTTATACCGGATTCTGTAACTATAGGTGGTACATTCAGGGCATTTTCAAAAAATAATCTTGTTCAGCTTAAACAAAGGATTGAAGAGGTAACACGTTCTATAAAGTGAATGAATGCATAACTTTTTAAGGAGTTAAGAATAATAAATCTTTGGTTATCTTATAGGGTGTTGCTATATCCGCTCCTATTTTTGCTAAATCCATCCCTTTTGTGGTAAATAGATAATTTTGTCCATACAAAATACAAAAGAGAACATTTAGATGAAAGCTCACTTTTAAGGGCAAAATTGTCCATTTAACATAAAAGGGGTGGATTTAGTCAAAATGGGAGTGGATATTGCAACACCCTATTTTATATTCTCTTCAGTAACATGTTATTGGTGATAAAGAATTGATGAGCTGAATAAGCAGGTTATTGTGAGACAAGCGGCCGTTCAAAGGTGCAATGCGACTGTTAACTTCAGTGACAAGTCCTTTTACCCACCAACAGTGAACGATGAATCTTTGCACAAGCACTTCTTTAGCATAGCCGAACGCATGGTGGGTGCTAAGAAAATCTTGGAAAGAAAACCGACAATGGGTGCCGAAGATTTTTCATTTTTCGCGGAGGCTGTTCCTGGCTATTTCTACTTTGTTGGGATGGCTAATGATACTCGGGGAGGAACCGTGCTTCCACACTCCCCCTTCTTTGAATTGAACGAAGACGTGCTTCCTTATGGTGCAGCTTTACATGCATCATTGGCAGCAACATACATTCTTCGGTTACACGAAAAATCAAATGCGCGGGAGACCCAATTTCAAGATGAACTCTGAGGTGTAAAAGGTGTAAATGTGTGTAAGTATGTGTATTATTCGTGTCAGGCTTATGTTGCAAATCCATCTATTGTTCTGCACGGGAATGTAGTGTTTATTTTTTATTTTGGAGTATATAGCTGAGTGTAGCTGAGTGAGGAGTAAAATACAAGTAAAACATAGAGAAAAAAAACCAAAATAGGGAGAATGACTCGTGTTTTTATCCTAAAAATGGGTTTAAAATTTACTACTTCTGTCTCAGAGTGTTAGTCCAGTTTGACTTTTTTTGAATCAAACTAGACGTATTTTGAGTTTCAACTAAGTACGAGTAAAAACTAGAATGAATATTACTCCCTCTGTCTCATTTTAAATTGCATGTTTTCCTTTTTCCGTTTGTTTCTTGTTATTGTAAACTTTTAAAAGTAAATACCTAAACTACTCCTAAAATAAGTCACTCTTTTCCATCTTATCTTTTTAAATATCGTCACCTCTCCTAAAAAGTAATAGCAATTTCAAAAAGTAAACTCTATTTTTTCTCTTCCTTGCCCTAAAGTCAAAACGGGACAGATGGAGTAATGTAAAAATAATTTTCTTAGATTTAATTTGATTAGAACTATTAAATTTTTATTTCATTGTATTAATATGTGATACAAATAGAGAGTAATTGATACAAAGCAATTAAAATTTGTCCAATTTGATTCAAAAAAGTCAAACTACATGAATATTTTGGGACATAGAGAGTACTTTTGAAAAATTTGCATATATCTATTACAAAAAGCCAACCTTGGTTTTGGTATCAGTGAGTAAGGCATGATTAAAAATACAGGTCGGCTCTCATGACATTGTCTGGCAATGCCATTGGATGATCTGGAGACGCTCTGATGTCATGTTCGTAAAATTGACGGTACTCACCCCTAACCCTCCCTGTAAACTCCCAACCCCGCTCCGACCTTCCCAGTCCCTTCAATTGCACCTTCCAAGTTAATTTTAATTTTGGAGTCAATTTTGACTTCAAAGTCAAAATTAACTTTTTGGTAGATTTGAAGGAGTGGGAGAGTATGTTCGGTTCAAGGCAGAATGAGGGGTTTTATGTGGGTGTTAGGAGGGGTATGAACCGTCAATTTTACGAACAAGACACCGAAACGCTTTCAGATCATCCCATGACATGAGTTCCAATGTCAGGAGAACCCCACCGTTAAAAATAAGTTGGTTAAATTGGTCAAAATTAGTTGGGTTTCGGTTTCGAGCTAATGAGCACCGAATCGAATGAGTAACCGATCCCATACTTATGCGTACAAATTAGACCTGTGCAAATAAGGATCCGGGCCGGATTTGGGCCGGGCTTGATACAAATTATTAGTCCATTTGAATGGGCGGGCTTGGCCCGGCCCAGATTTGATGGGCTAAACTCTTTACCCATACCCGCCCACTTTAGCGGGCCGAACTGCCCACCGGGCCGCCCGGCCCGGATAAAACATCAAGTACATTTTTTTATACAAAAAAATCAAAAAGAAAATATTGAACTCCTTTTCAATTGTTTAAAATAAAATTACCACTCGCCACATTTACATAGAAAACATAATAAAAATATTGTTACATAATTAATAAATCCATCATACAGATTCATTAAAACACTATTTATTTTTGTTTAAGAGTGGTGAGTGATATGAACTATTATACATGAATTAAAGAAAATTTTAAAATTTATAATGTCTAGATAATTAATACGTAGTAATGAATTAAATGTACTAATGAATATGGGCGGGCCTATGGCCCGGATGGGCTTAAAGTAATTTCCATATCCGCCCAAATATAATTCAGGCTTGAGCCGGCCCGCCCATGTGGGTATTAAAGATTGTCCATATCCGCCCATTTTAAAGGGCGGGCTGGGCGGGCCGGACGGGCCGACCCTTGTTTGCACAGGTCTAGTACAAATGTACAATACACCATATTTCGTATTTAAATTATACGGATGCCAATAATTTCTTGAAGAAGACTCCGTCGGTTTTGGTTTTAATATAACCGACCGTTAATTTTTTGCTTTCATTGGTTTGGTTACTTCGATTTAAATTTTAAATCGAATCGGTTTGGTCGGATGGTTCAACGTTCAAATGATAAAACAATTTTGGTTTTTTCGGTCTCAAAACTGATGTTGACCCACGTGGCTCCGACGTGGGTCCCTGATGGAACCTACCAAACCTTTATGAAGAATCCAACGGTTCATTTTGGGAGGAAGCGCGTGCCGCTCCGACTCCCCTCTCGTGCCAGCACGTGCAACCCACATGTTCGTCGCCACGTAGGCAATACCCAATAATAAAGTCCCACGTGACACACTTTGTGAATTCCCCACCATCATCTTCCTAGAGAGAGAAAATTATGGACGCTTACGCTACGGCGGTATGTTGCCGGCAAACACCGTGCGCCGGAGTTGCGGGGACATATCCCCGGTCATCTTACCGGCCGAAGATTCCCTCTTCCGTGAGGTGCAACGCGATGGTATCGCGGTTCGCCGACGAGGGCCACTTGGGGTACTATTCTGCCGGTGGAAGGAGGATCAGATGCGGGGTGAAATCGGAGACTCGCCGGAGTGACGTCAAGGTCAAAGACAAGGAGACGAGTAAATTGATGAAGAAGAGGTCGAAGTTGCTCAAGAATCTGTCCAGGGACTTGTTCACGATGACCCAGATTGGATTCGGGTTCGATTGTGCAGACGGGTACGATCTGCCCGATCGAGAACGAGAGAAGGCTATTTCGGTAATTTCAACTTAGCAATTCTTCGTTCGTTTTATCTTCTGATGATTATATGTATAGGCTTGGGAACAAAATCCATGGTAATTGTTTTTCGGAATGTTACAAAGCCAAACTTTCATTTTTTTCCCTATGATTTATGAAATTCAATTTCTATTTACTATGTTCATATTCAATGTAGTTTTGTACTAATTCCTACTCCACTTTAAATTATTTCCATTCATGAATTATTAATTAATAAAATTTATTATAAACTTAAAATTTATTTCAAAAGGGTATGAATGATTAATACTCCCTCCGTCCCTAAATGGATTACAATTTTTTTTTCTCTCTCCTCTCGATAACTTTTGTTTGTTTACGCAATTTCATTAAGTATTTGATAAAATAAAATATTCTTGTCACCTCTTGTTTTGTAGAACTTTTGACGTAGTTTTTTAATATGTAATTTTTATATCTTATTGATATACAAATTTGTAAATAAAATGATTTCAAAAAGCAGATAATTTTACTCCGTAACCCGCAATTTGTAATCAAATTGGGGACGGAGGGAGTATGTATGTAGGGAATGAAGATACAGGTTGAAACCTTGGAAGGAGTATTACTCATAATATAATCTTGCTGCAAATTCAAACAAGCCTTAATGGTTGGATTTCAATTTCTTGCAGGGAGCTGCAGAGGCATTGCTGGCACAACTCCAAGAACTGAAAACGAAGGTCAAAGATGAAAAGTGCCGGGATTCGTCGAGCTCTTCTTCATCAGAATCAAGCGACAGCGATTGCAAGGGATCAATCAATATGAACAGAACAAAGCATAAACCTGTTCTGCTTCCAGATTCGCAGCCTCTGTTCAATCAAGAATCCCTCTACTCCCTATCAAAACCTGTGATTGATGAAGGCACGATTTCATTCAAGAATCCAGATTCACAGCCACTGTTCAATCAAGAATCTGTTTACTCTCTATCAAAACCCGTGATTGATGAAAGCACGGGTCCAGAATTGGGAATTCAAGCCCGGAAAATCGAGGTCTGCATGGGTGGAAAGTGCAAGAAATCTGGGGCTCAAGCTATACTGGAAGAACTGCAGAGTGCAGTGGGCATAGAAGGTGCTGTTTGTGGAAGCAAGTGCATGGGGAAATGTAAACTCGGTCCTAATGTGAGGATTTCGAGTGCAACGGATGATCTTTGTCTCGGCGTAGGGGTGCAGGATGTCAGTTTAATTGCCTCTGGTTTCTTGCGCGGCAAGGGAAAGGAACTTGTTGCATCTTGATCCTCAGTAGGTTTCATCTTGTGCCTGCAGATATAGTTGTGTAGTACGGAGTATCATATTGTATTTATATCAGGTTTTGCATTTATCTCTGAGTCTTGTGTATATGATAAACATCAATGTGCAGAATTTTTTGTTGCTTTTCTTATGTTTGGCATCTATGAGTTCTGTTCTGTGACAACAATATGCAAGAAATATACTTGTTCACGGATACCTTTTTCTTTGTTTATACTAGTACGTGGTGGTGCTTGGGATTTCATTTTATTTATATAAAATTAGAATAATATTCTCTATTCTTATAAGTTGGTTATTATGAGCACAAGAAATGAACATAACATCATGAATTATACTCTTTGTCCCAAATTAATCCTTTCATTTAGTTTTTCACGTATATCTTCTGGTATCAATCATCTGTCATGGAGACATCGACCATTCCTGCCACCTGCTACCGTTATCGGTGAATCCTGCCAATCACTAATTAAATCATACTTTTAAATCTCTCCAAAAAAAACTTCATTTCATATTTCAAAACTCATCTTTTCTCTTATATTTCAGAATTCATATCATATCATGTTTTCAAAATTCACAGAACACTTTTAGGACCCATTTGGTGAGTTTTGGATATATGATAAGATATGAGTAATGAAATCAGGAAGAAATGATATGAATTTTGAAATCTGAAACAAAGTTGTTTAGAGAGATTTAAGATCATGATTAAATTAGTGATAAGCAATGGTGACTGACAACGAGGGTGATTGGCGGTGACAATGGAAGCTGGTGACGGAGAATGATCAATGGTTGAGAAAGATATCAAACTTCCATATTGATATCTCTCAAATTCCAGAGATATCAAAATCCTCAATTCACTAAACACCTAAAAAATTCTGATATCTAAAGATATCAAAACTCATATCTTGTTTGCTCACCAAACACACCCTTAGTTTAGAAAAAAAATGATGCAGGTCATGACGTTTTCCCAAAACTCCATAAACTTCATGGTGTCACTCTTGACCATAAACCCACTATACAGGGTCTCATATATATAGTGTCACTTTTTGCATTAGTTATTTAAAATAATCGATGCAAAAAAAGAATAACTGATACGTGAATTTATGTCTTTTAGATCTTTTTTTAAGAACCGATGCAAGTTGACCAGTCTATTGGCATGTTTTGACGTAGGGATTTATAGGTTCTAACTTTGTTGTAACCTTTCCGAATTCATCTAGATCACCATTGAAGCGCCCTCCTCTACCATTTGAAAACTAAACAATTACTACCTCCGTCCCAGAGTATTTGTCTACTTTCATTTTTACACATCATCCAATACACTTCTTTAATCCATTTTATCTTATAATTTGTATATTAAAAAATTATAGAAATTATATATTAATAATCTATATGTTAAGACAAATCAAACAAGATCACACATGACTATATTTAGGCTTATATATTGAGAGAATTTGATGAGTCAAAGTGCTTAGATGAACAGTTCCAAAAGTCAAAACTGGACGAATACTCCGGGACGGAGGGAGTATTTCTTCAAGTATCGCCTACCGAGTAAGAACACTTTTTACTTGTTGTTTCCATATTGTAAAATCATGACATCCATCAAAAGGTTCAACAAAAACATTCATATCGATGTCATTTCCTCACATTCTCTAATATTTTTCTTAAACCGCTTACAAATCTCCCCGTCCAAATACAACTTCATAAGAAGATAATTGAAGCTCCCAACCACAATCGTCATAAAAAATTGATAAAAACTTCACTGCAAGCCATAATAGATTTTGTCACAACCATAGAGGATCGTTGATTCTTTTAACAAGTAAAGAAAAATATGATCATTGAATTTTTTAACTAGAAAAAAGAAGAGAAAGTAGGCGGCAGTGAGAGGCCGGTTGCTATATGTGTCGTTCAAGAAGAAAATAGGCGGCAATGAGAATCCTTTATTTTTTTAAAAGGACCTTTAGCATTTTCCGATCCGCGTCAACACACACACGATCGTAAATTCTCACATCATCTACAACTCCAATGTCCTATGTAGAGCAGGCAAATCGGTCGGTCGGGTCGGGTTCGAGTTCGGTCATTTCAAGTTCGGATTATTTCGGGTTCGGGTCAATTCGGGTTCGGGTTGAGAACTGTATGTTCATGACCCAGTATTGTCGGGTTCGGGTCGACCCAACGGGTTATGACTTTGGTTTTTAAAATTTTTAAGTTCACATTAACACTTACATTTTCTATTAAATAAATTTAAAATATCCAAAAAGTTGTATTAAATCTATAAAATAATTTTATTTTAAACTCTGAAGTAATTTTTAGATATATAAATCAATATAAGAAATTTAAAAATGCATAAGTTTTGGGAAAAAGTAAGATAATTATGCAATATCATTAAAATTTTATCTGAAAATTTAAATTTGTACACTAAAAACGAGTAGTAAAGTGTATGATTTTGAAAAATTCTTACTTTAGCGGGTTGGTCAGGTCGGGTTCGGGTTCGGTCGGGTTTGACCCATTTTTAGCGGGTCATTTCGGGTTCGGTCAACTTCGGGTTCGGTCATCAAAACCTTTGTTCAAAACCCAGTGTTTTCAGGTCGGGTTTCGGGTCAAAAACAGGTCGGGTCATTTTTTGCCAGGTCTAATCCTATGCATCAACCATTTACAACCACGATCTTCACCCCACTCCAACCTTTATTTACAACCTTCAAATTAAAGCTTCGTCTGACACCATCCACGGGATCCCCAATCTCGCTCCATCCACCATCTCGCTCGCCTTGGAGGAGTTAGTGAAGTACATCTTAGCCATCACCTACGAGGAGGCACGCAGCGATCTCAGTGGTAGAATTAGAAAATTAGGTAGATGGGGATAGCATTGGTCGGGAGTCTGGGGCACCGCCCGAATTTTTTAATAGACCATATGAAATGACAAAAAAATATTAAATTTCATTTCAAACATTTATTGAATGTAAAACATTCATTACTACCTCCGTCCCATAGTATTTGTCCACATTCATTTTTACACACCATCCAATACACTTCTTTAATTCATTTTATCTTGTAATTTGTATATTAAAAAATTATAGAAATTATATATTAATAATTTATATGCTAAGACAAATCAAACAAGATCATACATGATTATATTTAGACTTACACATTGAGAGAATTTGATGAGTCAAAGTGCTTAGATGAACTGTTCCAAAAGTCAAAACTTGACAAAAATTGGGGGACGGAGGGAGTAATAGGTAATGTAAAATTATATTTCATAATCAATTAGTTATATGTAATAAAATATACTTTATTTAAAAAATTAATAAAAAATTTAAATTTAGGCTAGTTGGATGAGGTCACATTAAATTTTGTTAAAGACATAAGCCCCCTACTCTAATTAAGTGTGTTTGCCACAGGTCGACCTCAAGATCCTAATGGAGAATGTGATTCGTGACGTCGTCACCTACACATAGCATGCTCACAGAAGGACTGTCATTGCCACAGACATTGTCTATGCTCTCAAGAGACAGGGCCGCACCCTGTATGGTTTCAGCAGCTAGGGTTTGTGGTGTCGAATCTATGTATTCTTTTGCAAAAATTGATTATATTAGTATTGTTACAAAAATAATTTTATAAAATATTTTCAAAATATTATTTTATATAGTTAGTATATAATATATATTTTATTTAATTATAGGTTAAATGATGAAATTGTTTACTCCAAAAAGTTAGATCTGAAAAACAATCAAGGACTAAGGTAATGTTACTCAAATATTTAATTTAAAAAATGAATCGGGCTGTTAAAACGGAAGAGAGAGAGATAGTAGGACAGCGTTCCATTCAACTTATTTTTCTGCTTATTATTTATTCTTATTATAATCAGATGAGATTAGACCAGTTCAAATCAGACCATATCAAAAATAGCTTTAATTATAACTCTAATCATATCTGATTAGACAAGATCAAATCTTCAAAAAATCGGATCAGATTAGATCAGATCAGGCTGACGGAACGCAACCTATGTGGTTACTCCGTATTTTTTAAACGGTCCGGTTCCGTGGCCATTGGGTTTCAGTGGCCACGGAAGCCACTGTCCCGACTTAGACACCTACGAATACGATGCTCTGTTCGTAAAATTGATGATTTCTATCCCTCTTAAACCCCCATGCTTAGTCCCGACCACAAGTCATCCCCCCACATATGTCAATTGCACCCCGCAATTTTCATTGACCTTGTGGTCAAAACTTTAGACTTTAAAGTCAACTATACTTGCGGCTTGGTCAAAACTTATTGGTGCTTATAACGCCAAAAGGGCAATAAACACCGCCCCCTTGGGGCTTCATGCGGGCTTTATGTCTTATGCCTCAAATGTTTAACGGGCTTCATCCATTAAAAAACAACACAAAATTACATTAATGCCATAAGATTAAATATTTTTTTTACTCTTTATATTCTTTCTCTTTAAAAAAATAAAACATACTCAAGCATAATTTTTTTTACTCTATATTTTGTTGTTTAATGTAATATTTTTTAGTAATGTAATTTTTTTTGTTTTTTTAAAAATTTAACATACTTTTTTTATTGACTGTATTTTTTGTTTAAAGAATTATTTTAGTTTGCAATATGTTACCACAACTCGGATTTGAATGAAGATATTTTTAGTCGCTCGAATAATTAGTAATTTCTTTGTAGTGTTGTTTTTATGGATGTAATATTTTTTTAATGAATGTAACTTTTTTATGAATGTAATATTTTTTTAATGAATGTAATTTTTTTAATGCACTAGTCTCCTTTTGATTAATTTAAATAATAAATTAGTTAAAATTTATTAACTCAAATTTAAAAGATGTATATTTAAAAATGTAAAAATTGAAGGTTTGAAACCCCGAGGCTTCAAAGGTAAGTTAAAGCTGTTGAAGCCACTAGTATTTCCATTTTCCAGTGCTCTCAGACCAAAAGGTGATCAGATTTCGGACAGGGTCGGATGCAAGAATAGATGGGTTCACTTTATTCAGACGGCCTCACTTTATCTGCCTATCCGAGTGTATTACACCATTGTTGTAATGAACTCTTTTTAGGTGAGAGAGAGAGAGAGAGAGATGGATCTGATCCATTCTCTAAGTTGAAAATTGTGAAGCCGGACGGGAGATGCCGAAGGAGATCAGTATTGGGCTAGGATCAGAACCCTAAGATCTAATTTCGGCGACAACTACGGACGATGAGGTAACATCCTTTTCTTCTTTATGTTTCAAATTATTTATATTTAGATAATGCTTATAAGATATTTGGTTCTTGGAGTTTCTAAATTTTAAAAATCTAGGTTTGGGGTTGTGGAAGACGACCACTATGAAGGCAGGGGACAACTCAGACGGAAATAAATTTTCACCTATGATGGTTTGATATTTTCTTCATTGTCTTATGCTACAAGTTGTGATTTGCCAAAAAAGATTGCATTGCATAAGGAAATCAGGTATGAATGGTATGAATCTCTAACTCATTGATTTGAATCTCAAACATATATTTCAATTAAAATTTATGTAAAACACTACTCTCTATTTTCTATGTATGTGTTTGTTGTTTTCTAAGCTTTTTAAAAATATTAATGAAAAAGATAATTTTTTTGATCAAACTACTACTTCCATCTAAAATCCTTATAATTTAATTTTGAAGAACCTATTGTTGTTGCTGATGCTGTCCTGGATGAAGTTAGATAGCAAAACCAGGATATTGTCTGCTACATGTCTACATAGTCGTTGTAGCTAGGAACAAAGTAGGAAAAAAAAGACGAGGAGCTAAATTCCAAATTTTTAAGGTAAACTTTAAATTACATCTTTACGTGTGTTAACTGCTCATAAAAAATTATGTTAAAAAAGGTTTGAGTAATATTTTTAAAGGAGTTTGTTTCAACAACATTTTCATTTTTTATATGTGAAGAAGTCAAAAAATTTGGGTAGATGCCTGCGACTACAACTAAGAAAGTGTTATTCTTTAAAAGAATGGAATGATATCATTCGAATTAGTATGAAGCTACAGTATTTCTTCAAATGAAGAGTATGACATCATTTCCTAAGTATTTGTTCAATTGTTTCATCATCTATAAATGAATATCTGTTAGGAACATTTGTAAATATATTTGTTCAGCTGATGTTAGATTGGTGGTCCAGGTAATCGTTAACAAATGAAATTTCAGCTTTGTTATTGCTCACATATTTTATCATTTACTTCCATTATTAAAAAATGAACAGATAATGGAGCAATGTTTAAGAGTACTGCACTTTTAGTGTTTTTATAGACATTATATTAAAAGACATTATATTCTATTTTTTTCATGTTGCCATCATCATGCTTTTCTTCTAAGCTCACTGCAGTAGGCCAATCAACACCTGTAACTGTTTCACATCATTTTAAGATCTTTTCGATTCTCTTTTTACATTTGAATATGAGCTTGCAAACCATGAGTGCCAATCATTTTTGTTGTGGAACTGAATCAAGGGTAAAGTCTTTGTCTATTTGAAAAAATGGTTTTATTGAGTCTCAACAATGAAAAAAATATGTGAATCATAAAACCTCAGGTTAGATTTTCTATTTATCATCTTTAAAAATTTTAATGTTTTATATTCAAAGAGATAATGCTGTTTTAATTTGGGGAGTGTAATGATGACATCTCATAAAATGACTATTTATCCTACAGATTTGTAGGTTGAGCAGAATATGGATGCCAAACATGCTTGAGTAGGTGAGTCCGAACAAATGCTACTATGTGCAACCATTTCTCTTCAATTATTAAGAAATTTTTTGTCTGTGTTTCTTTAATGAGGTCTGCAAGAACAAAAATAACTCTATTCCAGCGCGAAGACCCATCATAAGGTCAGTGTAGAAGCATTTCTGATTATTGAGATTTCTTTTCTTTCTCTTAATTGATGAAAATTCGCTGCCCAGATTGCTAGCTCCCAGCAACATAATCATGAGGTATATTTAAATGATTTTCAATGTTTAAAAAGAAGAAAAATTTAAAGAAGGTGAATATTTAGTGTTTTGTAGAGTGACATACAATTTGCATTAATATTCAAAATATCTTTCAATGATGATGATGGGAACAGGTAACCAAGAAACAAAGAGTGCACTGGTTGAAGAAGAAAAAGAAGAGTTGAGGATATGGGAGGATGTGGATTTACAACAAGAGGGTAAAGACCAGCCTGTTCCCATGTCTTTGGAGCAGACAGAAGCACACTCTATTGAAAAGGCCCTCATGGTAATTATTAAATATACAATTTAAAACAGTGGCAAAGTAAAATATGAATCCTTTGGAGGATTATTCATTTTTAGCAGACATATCTACCTATATCTACCTAATTTTTGTTTTAAACCAAAGTATTTTGGACATGCTTTATGTTTTTAAAGGATGAATCTCTTTTTCTGTTTTACTTTAATATGCCCTATATGTTTTTCTTAGTGTTACTTAATAGATTAGTTTGAACCAATTAACTCATACCGGATGGGAATTTATTTGAAGCTGAATTCCAGATTATGTTATTTGCCCCATCCTGACAAAGAAGAGACTGGAAGAGAGATTGCTCAGTTCATATTTGGGTTTGAACAATCAATGAGTGTTGCTAATGGAGTGGGTGGATGGGTTGAGGTTGACACATGATAGTCCACCAAACTTTTATCTAAATTGCTTCATTGCCTTTTTCTTCTACTTAGCATATCATACAAGATAATACTCCATGGCAGGTTTTGGATCTATAATTAGTAATGTAGACGTCTTTACCACTGTCAAGGATACAAGTACTACTACAATGGTTAGTGTTGGTTTCAGTCCTCAAAGGCGACCTAAGCAAACAAGGTGTGTGAGCCATTCAATCTTCAACCCTAACAATTATTTCTTTTTCTTTTTATACCATATTTGGGTATAAAGAATTTATTTATATAAACAAAGTTAGTACCCTTATTGGGTTTACAAAAGAATAGATGTTTTACCTCACTCAAATGGGACATTTTTTTGGACAGAGATTGCACATGTTCAATTTAGCTAATGAGAAATTGGACTGACTTGGAATCCATGAATGTAACATAATGCCTCACTCAGTCCTCAAGTATGTTTTTTTATGTCATTCATTATCTGACCTTTGTACATTTTGGACCGATTTAGGACATTTCAAAAGCTAAAAACTATTCTAAGTATAGGTGTTACTTCAGAAAATGTAGCACATTGCTTTGGTGTGCCAAGAGTTTACTTCTATATGTATTGGGTTGTGTCACTTAAGAAGGTTATCCAGGGGTGGTCAATTTACTTTGTTTCATAGTAGTAATATTACAAATATTTGGCCATATGTATTTCATTTTGGAAAAATAAACTATCTACATTAAGAGAACGTAGACAAACCATTAATGCAGGGTAGTTTTAGAGGAGGATATGAAAGATTAGAAATTTTTTTCGATGTGTTCGAATAAATTGTTTTCTTTCACTATTCTAATGAAGATTTTTTTCAACTTTCATTTTATGGATAGTGGTGCAAACATCGCCTTAAAGCTGGAATTCTTAACATGAATAAATGAAGATGGGACCTTACAAGCAGTATCATTAACATTTTTGTTTCATCCTTTTGAGGTGACTTTCTCTTTCTTTTATTGTCTTCTAATTTAATTAACCCAAAGTTTTATTATTAAAAAGCACCATTGTGGTGCTTTCTTGAATAAGTACCTCACAAGTGTTCAAGAAGCAGTTAAACCTATTCTTAAGTTCCATGTCTAACACCTCTTTTTTCAAATACAAATGCACCATTTTTCTTGCTAAAAATCCCTAAATCATTAAAAATAAGTCATTCCAAACATACTTTTAATGGGTGTAGATGTGTATTTTACCATATAGAACATGAGGTAAGAGGGCTCTCTTAACGTGTGTGGGATGAATCCAGTAGTGTTTTCCAGAGAGGTTTTGGCCAAAACAGAGGCATAATTTTCATGTTATGAATTTATCTAGACATAATTTGCATGGTTTGAATTTCTCTATTTAAAAATAGAAATGAATTACTGACCTTTTGATTACCTATTGATTTTTTTTTTTGGTTTTGTTCAAGTATTGATTTCTAAACATGAAATGTGGTTGGCATATGATGGGTAGTAGGTCATTAATGTTGTGGTATTTAAACAACTTATGAAGTAGCTAATCGATCCTATTTAAATTATAACAAAAAAAATTTTGATATTGTTTTGTGTGTTTAATAGTCTTCTTTTTTAATAGGGTCTGAGCCCTACCTTGCTCATGGTAGACGGCGGCACAACACAGAGAAGATGGTCATATGGTTATGTATTTATATGATAATTTAGTATATGATGACAAGTTGGATTGTCTCATACAAAAGAGCAAACTCGAGTGGTATGTACTCCATATCTATAAAATAAATTATGAGTTCGTTTGGTAAGCACAAGTGGTTCTAGATTATGATGGGAATGATTAAGAGCAAGTGAAATGAGCTGGGAGTTTCGACTTCTCTCTCCTTCCTAAATTATGTCACATTCCATGCTATTTGGTTTGGCGGGATATACTAACGTACCGCATAGTGTATCTCTTTTGAGGTTTATTCGTTTTTTTCTGCACGCTCTTTGGTTGTCCGAACTCTTTTGCTATTATTACTAATTACTATGTGTTCATATTATGTTTATTTACTAGCTAGGGACTATGAATGGGAAGAAAACTTTTCAATCTCTCTTTGCCTTTGGATGTGTTCTAAGGCCATGGGTATCGTTAGAACACGTCTAAAGGCAAAAAGAGATTGAAAAGTTTTTCTCTCGTTCATAGTCCCTAGCTAGTAAATAAACATAATAGCAAAAGAGTTCGGACGACCAAAGAGCGTGCAAAACAAAATGAATAAACCTAGGTAAATATACACTATGGGGGTACGTTAGTGTATCCCGCCAAACCAAATAGCATGGGATGTGACATAATATAGGAAGGAGAGAGAAGTTGAGACTTCCGGCTCATTTCACTTGCTCTTAATCATTCCCTTCGTAATCTGCAACCACGTGTGCATACTAAACGGACTCATAATCAATTTTATACATATGTAGTATATATTACTCAGGTATTGTACATTATCATTATTTTTTGTGAGTACATTGTACATCACATTGTCATTATTTTTTAAGAGCAAACCTGAGTCGTTCAACAGGATCTGCTAAAGGGAAGCCTAAGATAGAGTCTTATAACAAAGATCTTAAAAAAGGTTATGGGGCTTTGATAACTCTTGCGAAAGTGTACTTGCTCATTCTACCATGCACTGTTTTAAAAGTAGATTCTGTGTGATTATTAACTTTTATGTAATCTTCGTAGGTTTAAAATTCTTCTGCGGATTCTATTCTTGGGCACACTGACCTATAGAAAAAGATATATGTTGAAGCTTCTGTTGAAGAAACTCATGCCAAAGAGGAGAAGAAAAAAAAAGGAAGCAACTGGAGAAGATGAAAAAGGAAGCAACTGTTTCAAAGGACGAAGGCGGTGCTTCAATAGAACCTGAAAGGAAAGAAAAGGAGAAGAAAAAGAAGAAGAAACATTCATCCGAGAGCGAGCAAGTTGAGAAACAAGATGATAATGTCAAAGCTGGAAAGAAGAAAAAGATGTCTGAAGATTAAACGTAAGATGTCTTATGGAGGAAGTGTAGATGTAGGGGACAGATGCCTTTAGTTTGTTGTTAGACTTAACAAGTTAGCTGCTGTAAGTTTTATGTGTTAAATATGACACTCCAAGTTGTTTGATTAGGTGGTTTAAATTTTTAGAAATCATACTAAAACATAGAGAAAAGTACCAAAATAGGACTTTCATGTTTTTTTTTCCGGAATAGGACTTTGCACTGTGGTAATGTGACTTTGCATTGTGGTAATGTGGCAGTGTACATGTGCAAATTACTATACTTTTTTGGTAATGTATATGACCATGTTTGGTAATGTAAGTCCTATTTCGGGAATAAAAACATGGAAGTCCTATTTTAGTATATTTTCAATGTTTTAGTCCTAGTTTGGTCTTTCTCCCTTTAATTTTCTATGTATTGTTTTGTCCATATATGCCCTACCCTATGATATTCAGAGTACTTTATTGAAAAAGTGTCAACTGTCAAGTAATGAGCAATTGAGCATAGGGTAACTCTTCCATTTGATTTACGTCTATGGTAAGTTCTTAATTAAAACAAAAGACCAAATTACAATCACACCAATTTTGAAATAGGGTATGTTTCGTACACAGAATTCAAACTATAGAATTAGAATTGGTGACTGTAATTTCAATTCTGTTTTTTGGTAGCATAAATAAATGTAGATTTGGAATTAGTAGTGTTAAAAATGAATTGGAATGTTAGAATTCAAATACATACAAATCAATTCTATAAAATTTCAACTTCTAATTTAATTTTAATTTCATCAATCCTACATACCAAAAAGACTCATAATCTATTTTATAGATATAGAGTATATATTACTTGGGTATTGTACATTGTCATTATTTTTTATCACATGGATGCTCAATATATGTCTATATGCTAAATGTATATGGCATAAATTTTTGGTGACAAATAGTCTGTTCTCTTTAGTTTATTTTTATTATTTATTCGTATTGAAATGATGTCAGATTGGAAATAACTTTTAATATAACTACATCTAGATCATATCAAATTTTATTTCATTAAGATCAAAATCAATTAGATCAGATGAATAGAACAAGGTCAAACTCTAGTCTTGAACTAGTAATACCCTATAGTTGTTAGACACTACAAGCACCTTGTGCCCACAATATCTTAAATTAAATCAGTACAAAAGTGATTTTGAACTATTTTATATATAGCGTAAATTTTTGAGAATTTTCAAACACAAGAAATTAATATTCTCTCTCCATCCCAATTTTGATTACAATGTTTCTTTCTCTCACCTCTGGATGACTTTTGTTTATTTGTGTATTATCAGTTTATAATTTTAATGTTAGTAAATCTAATAAAATTATTTTTGTACCAATTTCATCTTAGGTATTTTAATGTTTATCAAATTACATTCATTCGGATCAAATCTATTTAAATCTATTCAAATCATATCTGACAGACCTAAAAAAAACTAGAACAAATAAAAAAGAAAAATTATCAGTTTATCACCAATAATCCACCTTTGTGCGCTCTTTAAAAAAATAATCCTACCTTTCTGAGTGGTCAATAATAATCCAAGGTTGTACACTTTCTGTAGGAATTGGATATCCGTTTAAAGCTAACGTTTGACTAAGTCAGACTATCGTTACTGAAGGGCTAAGCTTTAAACGGATGCTCAATTCCCACAGAAAGTGTACAACCTTAGCTTATTATTGATCACTCGGAAAAGTAAAATTATTTTTAAAAGAGCGGATAAAGGTGAGATTAGTGATGATAATTTTTCCAATAAAAAACACTAAAAATATTAACATGCACTTTAGATTTCAAAAAATTGCTGCCGGGTATCTCATATTTTGGGGTAAGAACTGTCAGGTACCCCTAATTTTTAAAATATATTCTCAAGTACCCTAAATTTTAAAAACATTTATCGAGAGGATACTTTCCATCACTTCTCCCTCTACCCCATTTTATCCGTCAAATTAATCATCATCATCATCATCATCCCCACCACCACCGTCCCATTTCTTCGTTCTTCCTCCTCGGCTTCTTCTTTTTCTTTTTCTTTTTCTTTTTCTTTTTTTTTCTTCTCCTCCACCCACTTTCAATCTTCTAGACCCCCACCCCTCACCCTTTATTTCTTCTTCTTCTCCTTCTATTGTTGTTATTATTATTATTATTATTATTATTATTACTATTATTATTGTTATGGTTATTGTTATTATAATTATTATTATTAGTATCATCACCATCATTCTTTTTTTTGTTATCAAAAAACTATCATTCTTATTATTACCACATATTATTATTATTTATTAAAAAGTACTATTTTCTTCTTCTAAATTATTATTGTTAATATTAAAAATTAATATTAATAATTTTTAATATTAAAACTAATTATTATTATTTATTTATTACGAAGTATAATTTTCTTCTACCTCTACTATTTATTATTATTGTTACTATTATTATGAATTTATATTTTATTCTTCTTATATTATTATTCATTATTATTATTATTTTTAAAATTTATTAATAGTTTCACTATAAAATTGAAGGTGCGCGACAGTTCTAAGCACAAAATTAGGGGTACCTAACAATAATTTTTTTTTTACATTAATTGAGATTGTGAAAAATTAATGGAGTAAATAATTTTTTGGTGGGAGCGTTAGTGTTATTTTTCTTAAAAATATAGTAGCAAAACAACTAAATAATAATAATAATAATCGTAATAATAATAATAATAATAATAATAATAATAATAATAATAATAATAATAATAATAATAATAATAATAATAATAATAATAATAATAATAATAATAATAATAATAATAATAATAATAATAATAATAATAATAATAGAAGAAGAAGAAATAAGGGTGAGGGGTGGGGGGTCTGGAAGAGGAAGTGGAAAGAGGAGGAGGAGAAGAAGAAGAGTTGAAGAAAAGAAGAAAAAGAAAAAGAAGAGGAGGAGGAGGAAGAACGAAGATGAGGATGGTGGTGGTGGACGGATGATGATGATGATTGATGATGGCGCACTTGACGGATAAAATGGGATAGACGGAGAATAGATGAACAATATATTCTTGGTATATTTTTTTATAATTTGGAGTACCTAAAAGTGTATTTTAAAAATTAGGGGTATCTAACCATTCTTATCGCAAAACTTGGTTATGTAGCAGCAATTTTTTGCTTTAGATTTTAAGGAGTAGAAATTCGGGAAGTCAAAACTCAAAATTATACTCCGTATAGAAAAGTCAAAGAACACGAAATGGGGACCTGGGGCCTCCCTTCCATTACTCTTTCTTCATTCAAATCACCCCCACCCCCTCCCTTCTGATTTCTAAAATCCGTTTGCTAACGCGCGGCCATGGTTTCACATCCAGCCCCTCACGCCGCCCCATCCTCTCTCTAAAACCATACATATGCATTCATATCTCCATCCTGTATATCCTGATTCCGAATTTTTGTTTTTACTTGCACGCGAAGTCTCTAAATTATTCGCGTTGATTGTTTTCGCCGCGTTCTTCTTCCTCAGGTCTGATTTCTGATTTCTGTCTGTTCTTATTTTTAATGTAATTCCCTTTTAATTTGCATGAATGTGATTATAGACTTGTTCAAATATTGTTTTTTCTTATTTTGTATGCCCTTCTGTCATAGATATTGGTTTCGGAGGAGTGGATTTAAGGGTTTTTTTGGGGGTGTTAAGATCAGCTTAGCAAGGCACTGCTAGGTTTCCATGTTCTCATGGTTCAGGTTTTTTTTTGGAGCGAAAATCTTAGTAAAATGGAGCTTCACATCATGAGGTGGTTTATCTTGATGCTCCAATCCGGTAGGGTGTGACTTGTGAGAAAGCTAGCCTGCTCCTTATGATTGCACGTTTTTAGACTCCCATTATCAGCTATAGCCTAAATTTATCTCAAAACGGTACATGACGTTACAGTATTTAGTTGCATATGGAAGTTCACTCCATTCTTCTTCATAATGTGATGCCTTTGAACGGTTCAATCTAAGAGGTCAGACTGGGTTGGGCTGCTTGCAATGGGACATGTTATGGAAGCATTATTGTTGGTATACAACAACCTAGTTGGATCCCACGAGAGTAGGGTCTGGGAGGGTGTGGGTGTGTGTACGCAAACCTTGCCCCTACCCGAAAGTAGAGAGGCTGTTTCCATGAGACCCTGGGCTCAAGCTGCACTTAAGATCACAATAGATAAATAAAACAAGAAAAGCACAACTACAATGCAATAAAGCACCAAGCACACAGAACTAAAATTAAACTATTTTAAATAAAGCTACGAAACGGGAGTATAGCAAGCAAATAGCAAAAAGCACTAAGCATAAAAGGCCTACAAAGCACACAACAACAACACCCTCTAGCTCAAGGCACTTACCCAGCTACTCTAATCCTATTTCTTTAAATGTTCCTATCTAATGCCATATCCTTAGTAAGTGTACACATTTTTTGTCTTTTCCCTTTTTAATTGTTCCAAAGTGTATTTTGTAGCTTCTATGTCATTAACTAGAAGAAAAGCTAAATCACTGCACTCGTTTGAAGTTTTGAAAATGAAAGATAAATCCTCTTGGACCATTGGGTGCCTATATTGACATATAAGTTGGTTCTGGGTTTCTTCACTGTTATGTAATCAGACTTTGGCCCGTATTTTCATGGTTAAGAGTTATTTGTTTTGAGTAAATTTCAAATATTTTCCTCCTTCTAATTGCATGGTAGGGTAATTATTGTGGTTTATCTAGACACTAATGATTGAACTCTGCAGTACTAGTTATGCGGAATGCTGGTTTATAGTTCTTGTAAGATGCAGCAAAAATATTGTATAACCATTTCTGGGTTCTTCACAGACTGCTGCTGAAATCTTATGAAGGTTGCTCTATCATATGTTAGTGGGAATATAAAGTTGGATCATTGCTTAGTGTTATATTCCCTTGCAAACAGCTTTTCGTACTTCGTACTTGTGAGATTATTGTAATGATTTCTCAGACATTGGTTGGTGAAAATGTCTGTGGTTGTAACAAAAAATCATCATCAACAGTTATAAAGTTGTCACCCTCTACCAAATCATCTGAACCATTTTCCGGGAGAGATGACAAGCTGTCAAAGAGCACAGGTTCAGTTAATGCGTCAGGAACTGATGTGCTTTCTACTGCTTTTGACTATGTAAATATAGCACAACTGTCTGAACATAAGTATGGGAAAATAAGAGGTTCCCCTAAATCTGATGATGCAGTGGAGAGAAAGTGTTCTGAAATTGTATGCATGACTCCATGCGAGTGTGGGCAGAAAGGTTTACTGCTGCATAATGAATTTAAACAACCTGCAAGAAATACCCGGAGGGAAGCAGCTAAAAGAGTAGCATTTGATATTGACAATTTGAGTATCATGCGTCGGAGAAGAACCTCATGCAGAAAGCAAACACGAGCGTCTGTTTGGGGATCTTTGAGAGATGCTATACAAGCTTTTGGTGGGGTTGAGACACTTAAAAGTGATAAAAGGAAGTCAAGAAGAGCAAAGCGTTGCCAGAAAAGTGAAAAGAAAGGCAAGAATCAGGCTGCGCAAAGCTTGCAAAAGTCAATGACAAAGACTCGCATCTGTTTAAAAATAAAATTTGGGCAACGATCTCTCATGGATATTCTCCCACTTGTTGAAAATGGTGAGGAAACTTATTCTTCTATTTGTTATGAACCAACAAAAGGTTCAGAAAATATTGGTGATCTGTTTGTGGACAAGTTGAACAGAAGTTCACGGTTAAATGGGCTCAATGAAAGTTCAGATAATTCTTTTATGTTGTATGATGCTTCTGCTACAAATGCATGTCTTGCTAGCAAGAGCATTGTTGAAAGTCCAACTGAGAAATATTTGGCGAGTCGTCATGAGTCACCTTCCCAAGCCGCGGCAGTCAAACCAGAAACACCCGTTGATGACATGTGCTCAAATCCTGGAACTTCTCCTGATTCCGAAGTTATCAATCTCATGACTGATGCTCATATCAGTTTAAATGGTCTAGGTAACTTACGTGTTTTAATGTCAACCCAACCAAGTGTTGCTGGTGGAGATGTTGAAAGTATTTGTATGCTAGAGAACTGCCATACAAAGGAAAATAAAAACGACAAGTTTAACAAAACAGTTGATTGCAGTGTAAAAGCTACCATCCATAGTTCAGAAATTATGAGCACTGAGCAAACATTGGTACGAGGAGATATCAAGGGCAATGACTCTTATCATGACCAGAAAGACATGTCTATTGTAACCACAGCTGAAAATGCACGTCGCAGTGTGTCTAGCATTGAGCTGCAACCCTTGTCTAAAATGGATGACTTTCAAATGTCTTCTGCTCCTGTGTTTGAAGATAGCGGAGAGATAAATCATTGTCGTAGTCTTGATACTCGTTCACTGGTGTTACAGATGCCTGAAAAACCACATTCTTCTCTTGAGGGGCTCAAAATTTTAGAAATAGGAAAATCCAATGGAGTAGAGGAGAGCCAGTCAGAAGTCTTAAAGTCACCAAGCACAGCAAATTCATCTAAAGAGAAGGCTAACAAGGGAAAACCAGCTCGCGAGTATGAAGCAATGAAGAAGAATCATGGTGTTCAGGGTCTTACTGAATTGAGAAACGATCCAAAAACAGGTATGACACTTCCATGATAATACTCTCACTTCTCAAACCCATCTCCACTTCCTTTTCAGAACAAGCACTTAATATCCATATTTTCCATCATTTCACAAATTAATTGTCATGAAGTAATGTTGTAGATGGCCAAACACCCTCTCATTGTGGACAAATTGCCTCTGGAAACAAAATTCCTGGTTTTTTATCAAATCAAATTGAAGAGTGTGCAGCACCGGTAACACCAAGAAATGCCTGGGTTCAATGTGATGATTGTCAGAAGTGGAGGCGCATAACAGCTTTACTTGCAGATCAAATAGAAGAAACAAACTGCAAATGGTGTTTATCTTGCTCATATCTCTATACTGAATAATTAATAGGTTTTTGAATGGAATTCACAGGTTTAGTCTTGAACTTTCATGTTTGGTAAAAAAGAAAATATTGGAGCTTTAGAACTTAAATGGAAATTATGATATTGGTGGATGACCTGAAGAAATTTTCTATTGGTGTATGTAGCCAACCCTAATCATTTGGGATTAAGAGATGGAATGGGGTGGGGGAGAGGGAGGGGTACCAGGGAGTTTTTTTTGGGGGAGGGGAGTTGTGATTCCAAATAACGTGATTACCTTAAACCAACGAGGCAATGACAAAAAACTATAGTGTTAGAGTCAAAACTACAATCACTATATAAAATNGTTTGTAACAAGTTTGGAATATACTCCCTCCGTCCCTTTTGAATCTTCTCATGTAACTTATCTTTATTTATAGTTTGATATAAGATATAAAAATGCAATTTTTCAAAACTATGTTTCAGAATGAGCTTATTGATATTAAATTTATATCACAATTGAATGTATTTTTACTGTAATTTGTAATCAAAGTTTAAAAAAGTTGACCTTGAAAGTCAAATAAGGAAGATTCAAAAGGGACGGAGGGAGTATAATTTATATTCTCCATGACTCTACCTTGAGAGAGTGTGTGGAATATGAGATTATAAAACTTATATCTCATCATGATGTACAGTGGCATCATCTGTGACACCACCTTAGGATATGTCATCCCTGATATCATATTTGGATTAGTATAATCCCTGTAATTAGCTACAAATATAAGAGTTGTCCATGACCACTCTATAAACCTTCTCCTATCATTGCTACATTCTCCCAAAAAACACTGAGGCAAGCAGGGGCGAGCTTCAGGGTTTAGCCTCAATGTGCACTCTCAAACACTTGTACAGAGAGCTAAAGAAGACTGTTAATATACGTTATGCACACCATCATAACCGATTTAAATTCCCTAACATAGTAACCATAGTTTCATTAGTTATTTACAGCCATATCATGTTTTTCTCCCAAATGGATATGGAATTTCTTCTTCTTTGCTCTGATCATAATGTAGTGGGTCATTGGAGTGTTCTAGATTTATCATGCATACAAGGAACAATACTCCTTGGTCATTACTCCTCAAAATTCTGATGCTCTTTGCATTTTATTGGTTTTAAAGGATTTGTAAGGACAACAATGATAAAGACTTTGCTGATTGTTCAATTCGTCAAGAGAAGTCAAATTCAGCAATCAACGCTGAGCTTGAAATATCTGATGTCTCCGAAAATGAGGATGCTTCTTGTTCTCTCAGTCGCAGTCATCCGGGAAAGAAGTCTAAAGGTATTTGATTATGGTAGTGATAACACTTGATGTATTTATCTTAGAGCATGAAGTTTTCTGACTAAGCAGTTCCACATTTCTTCATTATTTACATGGACTGCAGTTGATCAGAGCCCCTGTTGGAAATTGATCAAGTCAAACTTGTTTCTGCACCGTACTCGCAAATCTCAGACCATTGATGAGGTTAATAAATAAACTTTACATAGTTTCTATACATGTCTGTTTTTCATTGTGAATTTACTGTTTTATGGACACTGAAATCTTGCTCTTATGACTCTAAGTACTCCGTATAAGACATATCCCCACATAATTGTGGTCTTTTATATTGTTTCTTTTTTGTTGCTGTTGTTATTTAGACGTTATTTGAGAGTAAATGCTGCATTTTGTATGTGATGAATTTGTATAGTCATTGAAAAGTGTGTCAACTATGAAGCATTCGTACTCTATTTTTACAAAGTGTGTCAACTATGAAGCGTTGGTACTCCGTTGTTGCAAAGTGTCCCTATTAGGTACTTTTTGGTACTGGCACTCGTTGGGTACACCTAAGTATTAGGTGTATCATGGGTATGGATGGGTATGAATGGTACAATGCGAATTGGGTATGGTTGGGTTTGGCTAGGTATTGCCGGTCTTTTGTCTGGGTACGGCTAGCCACTGCTTTGTCTTTTTGGACACTATGCAGCTATGCTTAGTAAGAATGATGTAGCTTTTGGGTTTTTTTTGGGGGGGGGGGGGATACCCTTTGCTTGCTTTTACCATGGTTTTTCAAAATCCTGCCTCTTCTTTCGTTTACTTGGTTACACACACCTCACCTTTAGCATAACTCGACTCCAACATGGAACTCTCGTTCCAGTTTTAAGCTACAGGACTTTTAGTATTCTGCTCAATTTGAGCTTTTCTCATTCTCATGCAATTATTTTGGCTTGTTTTATGTCAAAGTTAGTATGCTTTCTAATTTATCACATGAAGGTTTAGCTTTTACTCAGTAATTTATATATTTTGAATATGTGTGTGTAGTCTGTACCCCTTTTTGAGTGTGGTGCGGATACCATTTCCGTATCCATGCAACCTAGAGGGACAGTTTATTTGTATAATGCAGATTTACTTATTCATAATTTGTTAGAATGAATAACTTGTAAAATCCATTGCAATTGATGCGGTCTTCATAGCAGTGCTACCAAAGTCGATATGGCTAAAATATTCCTTGTGGTTGGGCTCAAAATGCTTTCCAGCATCTCCGATGGAGCCAAAATTTCACCATTTTTTGGCTTTGGGGTGTGATGGAATAAATCAAAATGGATCTCTAAACTGTCTGCGCTTCTTTAATTACTTCTTTAATTAATGAAGTAGCAGTTAGTCAAGCAATGCAACTTTCGACGTTGAGCCGGGGGTCTCTTTGGAAACAGCCTCTCTACTTTCGAGTAGGGGTAAGGTCTGTGTACACACACCCTCCCCAGACCCTACTCTTGTGGGATTTAACTGGGTTGTTGTTGTTGTTGTTGTTGGTTGGGCTCAAAATGAGTTGGAGTTGGATCATTGCTGGAGGCTTTATGTATATTTTCACAATGGAATCTTTCCTGCAAAATAGGACTTTTAACAGTCCTTACATTAGACAATACCGCATTGTTATTTTCATATACTCCATAGCATCAATAAACTTGTTTTTTCCTGCTAGGTCATGGTTTGCCAATGCAAGCCACCCTCAGATGGTAGAATGGGATGTGAAGATGGATGTTTGAACCGAATGCTTAATATTGAGTGTGTTCAAGGGACATGCCCATGTGGGGAACAATGTTCAAATCAACAGGTTCATATAATCTCATGGGAACACTCTGTGATTTCTTCACGGAAGTAGTCAGAATATCTTTATGTTTCTGCTTGCAGTTCCAGAAGCGGAATTACACAAACTTGAAATGGTTTAAATGTGGCAAGAAGGGATATGGCTTACAATTGCTTGAAGCTGTATCAGAAGGACGTTTTCTAATTGAATATGTTGGAGAGGTACACTTGATTTTTTTCACGAATCTGAAATCTGAAAGGTGTTTTGGTGCAATTTGAAGTATGAAGGCCTTATTTCCTGGGCTCACCAAGGAAATGCTTGCATTAAAAATTAGATGTTATTGCCTTTGTCCTGCATTGTTTGGGTTACGGACCTAGGGTTTCTTTAATGGTTTCTTATTAGCAGTTTCCAATTATTATTATTATTATTATCATTATTATTACTATTACTATTTTGAGGGATATGATTATTTAGGGAAAAGGACCGGAATAGGACTAAAACATGGCAAGGAGACAAAAAAGACATCTATGCTCATGTCCCAAAAATAAGACTTATAATGTCAAAGAGTATCATTATTTAATGCTATAAAACACTGTGAAAAGCCACCATACAATGTCAACTTTTGGCATTATACAGTGTGACATTCCTATTTAGGGGTTAAAGACATAGGAAGTCCTATTTTGGTATAAGTTCAATGTTTTAGTCCTATTAAAGTAAATTTTGTTATTATTTATTATTTGTTTCCTATTATGATTAGAAATAGTAAGCCTCCTATTAGTAATTTAGTATTGATATATTGTTATTTTATTAATATTCCTTAAGGATTCACGTATTGTTATTTTTTTAATATTACTAAAGGATTCCTAATAATTATTTACATAGCTTTCTTTAAGGCTTTACCTATAGGGAGATTTATTAATTAAATCATTGTTGAAGTAGAATAAGAATCAGTGGTTCTTTTGACTTCAACATTTGATGTCACATTATGACATCGGGCACCTGCGGTGATATGTTGGGCCCAAAAGTGGTTCCTACCCCTAATCCATAGCCCCTCTGCGCCTGGTGCGCCCCCCCCCCCAATCGCAAAACTGTAGCAAATCAGCAAGTAAGAGAGGGGGCTATAGGGGGTGTAGGATCCATTTTCAAGCCTAACAGAGCACCTTAGATGCGAGCGAAATCATCATATGACATCGGCACTTGATGTCAAAAGAACCGCACCATAGTCACCAGAACAATTGTTATTCTCTGTGATCTCTTCTCGACTCACAGACAAACAATAGAGAGACCCCGGTTCTTCTTCTTCTTCTACATTCACTTCTTGTCATTGTACGACATCCCTGACCAAGGCCCTTAACAATTTGGTCTCTGATTTGGGATGACCCATGATACTTGTATCAAATGAATTTACAACCTAACTCTGGGAGTTTTTCGCAACCACCATGACCAAGCTCGCCTCTATTGCTGAGAAAATTTCCAGCCTCGAGTTGGACCACAAAGTGTTGTCAGGAGAAGTCCCTAGCCTCATCAGAAAGAGGTAGGGGAAAACATCACCGGGGAGAAGGGTTCCCGGATTTCTGGTTGTCAGGACAGCGAGCTTCGTTGGGCAGAGGACTCCCACAGGGACCAAACTGGGGTTTTGTGAGCCCGATATACCAAGATGGAGTTTTTGACCTTTGATGGCACATTACTGAATTGGCTGGCTGAAGCATTGCAAGTTCTCTGCACAAAATGACATATGAAGCCGACCAGGTGGGTACTGTTTCCTTCTACTAACTGGAGGATGCACAACTTTGGTTTGATTAGATGATGGAGGAGGAAGAAATGGTGGGCTCATACCTTCAAAGAATTTTGCATCAAGCATTTTGTGCCACCTTTAGACATGGACCCGGTTTGCGATCTGAAGCTCTTGATGTAAGCCGGGACTGTTGAAGACTACTGCACACATGTCCAGCCTTGGGACGGATCACTGGGGTTCAATTGCAACATCAACTAGCCCTTTTTATTGTGACCCAGCTCTAAGGATTGATGTCCAGTTGGCCAAACCCTGGAATTTGGGTTTTACAATGTATCTGGCCCGAACCTTGGAAAGCACATTGCTCTGCGCCTCGATGGTGACCCACCCGAGGACACAAATTGCAGGAGTCACGTTGCAAAACCAAGAGGGATGAGAAGCCCCCAATAGCTCAGCCTCACCAAGAAAGGGAACATGATAACCCATCGATTGAATAAGGCGTAGATAGTGGAATTGTGTGTCCTGTGACTTTGCTACAAATGTGATGAGCAATGGACTACGATGCGCAAGTGCAAGCAGTTCTTCATTGTGGTGAAAGACGGTTATGAGGCAGAGGAAGACCCACCAAATGAGCAGCCGAGGTTGCGCCTCCACACTTTGAGCTTGTGGGCAAGCTCAAATTCGAGTGAGGGAGCAATGTTACATAGGGTTCAGACCAGACCAGACCAACATTCATATCATTGACACTAGATCAGACCAGTCAAATCCTAAATAGTTCAGATCATATCATATTTTGCACGCAAAGAGTACACATCCTCTGTCTACTAAAGAACCAAAGTTTCACAATTTTGAATCTATCATATGTAATTATTATTCAACAACAACATTACCCCAGTCCCCATTGTAGGGTAAGGGGGTCGGATGTACGCAGTCTGACCCCTATGTTTAAAACATAGAGCGGCTGTTTCTAGCTGACCAATATGTAATTTTTATTCACTCTTTAAAAAAACCAGTTCTGTAATTTATTGAGTCGGTTGAGCCTACAATGAAGTTAATAGCATTTGAATCAGTCAAAAGGGCACTTGCAAACTCCTGCAGATGTTAAGATGAGATTGGTTATAGCCACCTGAATTTCTGCACCATTTTCAGAAATTTGATTTCCTAATGGGCACACGTATTGCACAAGTACATACTTTCCACTTAGAACCTGTTCTTTAAGACTGGAAAAAAAGAATTGGATGTTGTAAGAAACTGGAAGAAACTGGAAAAACCGGAAGAACGGGAAGAAACTGGAAAAAATTAAATGAAATTTAAAAAAGTAGAAAAAATTAGAAAATATAAAAAAAACTTTAAAAAACTTTTTTTTTTGTATTTTTAAATTATTCTCATTCTAATTCTTGTTGTTATAAATTATTAATATTGTTGTTATTATTATTATCATTATTGTTGTTGTTTTTGTTGTTGTTGTCATCACGTTATCTTAATGAATGCCTTTAAGATAAAAAAATATTGTTATTTTTCATACACAAAAAAACTACTTTTGCAAAAAAAATTAATTAGAATATAAAATTTGCATAAATATCAAAATGTTAAATACTTAAAAGTTATTGTGGCCACGCTGCACATCACTTTATTTATGAAGTAATTATCATAAAATAATATATTTGTAATTTTACTTTATATATTACAAGATTTTATTTTAAATATTAGACATGTCACATAATGTGATTAGTGTGAATCATAAAAATAGTGAGATGAAAAAATGAGATAATTTGTAAACTATAGTTATGAACATAATAAGTGTAATAATAATAATAATATATTTTTTTAGAATAATTGGTCGGGAAGTAGAAAGAGTTTGAAGAAAATAAAAAATAGTTGGAAGGAACTGTAAGAAACTGGAAAGAACTGGAAGGAATTGGAAGTAACTTAAAGTTAAGAGTTCAAGCCCTAAAGAACAGGTTCTTAATATATATTTTACTCATGTATAGTAGTTTCTTGCTTTATAGGTGCTTGATATGGATGCTTATGAGAAACGACAAAGTGAGTATGCATCCAAGGGTCATAAACATTTCTACTTCATGACACTTTATGGCGGTGAGGTATAGTCTTTCTACTCCCATAATCTTTTCTAGATTTTCTAACATTTGATTGTATAGCCTGATAGTTTCTTCCCACAACAATACAATATAATCCCAACTTCGTTTTGGGGGTGAAAATATATGCAGTCTTACCCTGTGAAAACAAAGAGAGTATTTTTGTGAGAACTTAAATGCATTGCTGCATTTACTTTCCAAATTTCATAGAAAGTTAGAGCAATGAGAGTTTAATGTGACATTCTGACTAGTCCATTATGTGCTTGAAACTAAAACATTGTAAGTGATGACTCTTTTAGCTCCATTGTTAATGATTTAGTCCAACCCTGAACATCTTAGTATTCCTAGTCCTAATTTATCCATTATACTCTATTTGTCCCTTAATTTATCTATCACACCTTGTCCATTGACAGTAGAGCTAAAAGAGTAAGTTCGGAAAATGTTTTGGCTTCAAGTAAATAATGGAAAACTCAAACTGGGTCATTAAAGTTCCCTTGCTTCTTGCTCAACCTGTTAGAAAATTATCCTTCCATTTGACTTTTCTTGCTCAACATTTTTAAACTTTTACCACAATATGTGGAAAAAATACATTGCATTTTTATATACTCTTGAAATCAATAGATAAATTTTAAAACGTAGTTTTGAAATATCCTACTTTTATAATATATATTCATATATAAATAGAGATATTAATGATCAAAGTGTTGCATTAGAAAATGTGAAAAGTCAAATGAGAAAAGATTTCAAGACGGATGGAGTATTTTCTATTAAATTTTAGGCACATTAAACTTCCCTTGCTTCTTGCTTTATACCAAGGGCCTAACGAAAACAGTCTCTCATATTTTACAGAGGTAAGCTTGCTTACATCTAACCCCACAAGGCTCCAACATAATCAAGATTATTCTTGGTTGTTGTTGTGCGCTTGTGCCCCATCTATCCCATAGGTTGGGCCTATTTTTTCAAACACAATGTTTTAGTTTTGGTAAAGTATGACTATTGAAAGTCATTGAAAACAATTACTCCTCACATCCCACTATTTTTGGGACATAGGTAGTTGCATGCAATTTAAAAAAACCTAGAATTATAGGGTTGATATTGATATTTAAAGGTAAGAATCAATGGGAGCACACAAAATCACCAAATATGATACAACAACAACTAGTTGGATCCCAAGGTGTGGGGAGGGTGTGTGTACACAGACCTACTCGAAAGTTGAGAGGCTTTTTCCAAGAGACCCCCTTGCCCCTATGGTATGTGATAAAATTAATGGGACAGTCAAAATGGTAAAAAATGACAAATATAGTGGGGCACTGGGGCAGATGGAGTACTGTTTTTAAGTTTATTTGTTGATTCATCTAAAACACACTTGACTTGTTTAGGATACTTTTTCTTTGTAAAAACATTAAAATGATGAAAATTAACTAGTTTTGTTCAAAATAGAGTTTTTTTTTAAAAAAAAAAAACTTAATAAGCTATACCCAATTACTCATACTACGAGTTGTTTCATGCGCTAAATAAACTCAGACACTTAAGAAATCAGTTGGACAAGTTGATTCACATCTACGAACATGGAAGCTAGAAGTAATGCCACTATGAGGTGTAGTTTATAAATAGTTATGTTTCATTTGCTTTAAAATTGAATAATAAAGAAAATAGATTGTGAATAGCTTTTGTTAAACTTTCTTAACAGAACCAAACACACGATGGAATGGAAATAATAATTAAAGAGATGATATTAGGGTGCTAACATCTGTTTGTGCACCTAAATTGCTTATAGTAATCTCTCTTATCTCTTGGTATATGTTTCTTTACTTGTTGAATTTAGTTTTTATGTATTTTGTCAATGTTGCCTATTGTTTAGTATGCCTCACATTTCAGGTAATAGATGCATGTGCCAAAGGAAATTTGGGTCGTTTCATAAACCATAGTTGCGATCCAAATTGCCGTACTGAGAAGGTGAATGAACCTGTTACTATATAAATTGCATTATTAAAAAAATTTCACATCATATACTATGGGAACACTTTTGATCTATCTAAAAGGTTAATGAGAAGTCACTTGTTCAATTTGTTTGCTTACAATTATGTTTTCAAAGGAAAACAAGTGCCTTGAGACAAAACATTAAACCTATTTTATAAGGGAGTGTTCTTTAATGGGGATAGAAAAAAGGAAATGTAAAAAGAGGAATGGGTTATGGAATCATCTATTCATCTGTAAACAAGCCTACAATCCTTTGCAGAAGGAATCATGTTATGAAATTCCAAGCCTTCATGATAATCAGTCTTCCACTTAAATGAAAATTATCATGGGGTAGTGATGGTTGGGATAATATACTAAGAATTTAATGCGGTTATGTTAAACATTCTCAAATAATTTGGCCATTGTAATTTACCTATCTTTTATCTTCTTGCACAGTGGATTGTAAATGGAGAAGTTTGCGTTGGGATTTTTGCATTAAGGGACATTAAGAAGGTACAACTATACAATAACCTATGTTATAGTACCTGATTAATTTTCACATGTATGTGATGTCTTTTTGTTCAATATTGGCATTGAGAGCATATTAACTTCATTATTTATTTACGGAGTATTTATTAACTTGGACCAAGATAAATCCTTGTCTACAATGTGTTGTTGTAGCTTGTTAGTTCACTTGTATGTGTTGTTACTTTGTAGTTGCTTACCACAGCACATTGTTGACCTGAATTCTTTGGGCCTAATGAACTCTCTTTAAGGAAACATCTGATTTCTTGGATTTGGCAAGTTTTCATGCTGGTCAGAATCAGCATCTAATATTTAACGAGTTTGTGTGCTGAAGACTTCTTTGTTCAAGACTTCTTTTTTTGACAAACTTTCAATATCATTAGTAATCTTGCAAAACCTTACACCCATAATCCGATCAATAAAGCAGACATAAAAGCAGAAGTCACTACAATTGCTCACTGATATTCAACAGGACATTAACTCTTTTGTAGGAGTTTTACAATAAACAAGAGTAAATCACACAAACTAAAAAACATAAAACTAGCACCTAGATTAGTAGAAAACAAAACCTCACGCCTAGATGAGAAGACAACATTGGAAATCAGCAACTCTTCTTAATTGGACAATAATGGCAGAAGAGCATGCATTTTGTCAAAGATGATAGAGATGTAGATCTTTTTCTCTGTATAGGAAGTGATGAGGGAACCACCACAACATCATCCTACTAGTTTCCTCAAAAGTGGGAGAAGATGAAGAAGAGCAGTGACAATGGGTTTTGAAGAGAATTTCACGCTTTGTTTGGATGGGTAGAGAAACCAGAAAGATAGAAAATGAGAAGTAAATGAAGAGAAAAGTATATTCTCTGTTATTGTTTGGATGGATATAAAATAAAGAGAACAACAACAACAACCCAGTTAGATCCCACAAAGTAGGGTCTGGGGAGGGTGTGCACGCAGACCTTGCCCCTACCCAAAAGTAGAGAGGTTGTTTCCATGAGACCCCCGACTTAAGCTAGTACATAAAAAGATCACACAGTATATACATAGAGGGGGAAAGCACATATACAATGCAAAACTAAATTAAATAAAGTTACAAAACGAGAGTATTGCAAGCAAATAGCAAATAGAACCAAGCATTAAAGGCCTACAAGGCACACAACAACACCCTCTAGCTCAAGGCACCTACCCAGCCACTCTAATCGTATCTCTCCAAACACTCCTATCTAAGGCCATATCCTCAGCAAGGGAAAGAAGTCCTAAGTGCTATGTAATCACCTCCTTCTAACTCTTTACAGGTCTACCTCTTCCCCTACTTCCCCCTACCAACGTGAGTCTCTCGCATCTCCGCACTAGAGCGTCAACATCATGCCGTCTCACATGAACGAACCACCTTAACCTAGCTTCCCGAAGCTTAACTTCCACTGGCGCCATGCCTAACCGACCTTGAAAACCTCTTTCGGAATTCTATCCAGCCTGGTCCGCCCACACCTCCACCGCAACATCCGCATCTCCGCCCTATGCAGACAACACACATGACTCTTCTTAACCGCCCAACATCCTGTGTGAAATTTTCTTATCGCACAACACTCCTGGTGCCAACCTCCACTTAGCCCAAGCTGCTCCAACACGGTGCACAACATCCCCGTCTACCTCCCCATCCGCCTGAATGACCGAGCCAAGATACTGAAACTTGTCCACTTTGGGCACTGGGTGAGAGTCAATCCTCACTTTCACCCTTGAATCCGTCATTCGGCCATTGAAACGACATTCCATGTTTTCAGTCTTGGTTCTATTGAGTCTGAATCCTTTAGTCTCCAGGGAAAGGCGCCAAAGTTCTAACTTACCGTTTAGTCCCTCGTGTGTGTCATCGATAAGCACAATATCATCCGCAAAAAGCATGCACCACGAGACTTCTTCTTGGACTCATCGCGTTAGGACATCTATCACCAAGGCAAACAAGAAAGGGCTAAGGGCAGACTCCTTGTGCAACCCCACCCTTACATAAAAAGGGTTAGAGTCGCCCCCAACAGTCTTTACCCTCGTCCCTGCCCCGTCGTACATGTCCGTGATCGTGCGGGTGTAAGCAATCAGAACTCCTCAATACTCAAGACACCTCCACAAGATCTCCCTTGACACCCTATCATACGCCTTCTCATGGTCAATAAATACCATATGAAGATCCTTCTTCCTAGCCATATACTCTTCCATCAACCTCCGCACTAGGTGAATGGCCTCTGTCAAACACCTCTTTCTGCAGCCTATACTCGATGACACGCTCCCAAACCTTCATAGTGTGGCTAAGCAGTTTGATGCCTCTGTAATTCTCGCAGCTCTAAATGTCGCCCGTGCCCTTAAAAAAAGGGACCAACACGCTCTCCCTCCACTCGTCCGGCAACCTAGCCGTCCGGAAGATAACATTGAAAAGTCTAGTTAACCATACCAACCCACCACGTCCCGCATGCTTCCAAAACTCCATTAGGATCTCATTGGTTCCAAAGCTCTCCCGCTACGCATCCTTCAAAAATCCCGAGCAACCTCTTCTTGCCTAGTGTGTCAGCAATACCCAAGTCTTGAAGCGCCTCAGACTGCCCCAACTCACCTAGTTTGAGCCTGTGGTCTCCTCCATCATTTAAGAGGCCACAAAAATACTCCCCCGATCCCCCCAGCACTTCGCCACCTCTGTAGTCGACCCCAACACTCTACCGTTGCTGCCCTTCACGGAGTTCACGCATCTCACGTGGTCCAGATCTTGTGCCTTCCTCCTCCATTCCATTTTCTTCTCACGTGTGGAGAGACAATTTTTCATGTGGACCTCGGCGCCATTTTCTCCTCTCTTCCTTTTCTATCTCATCCAAACAAGTGAAAATGTTTGGACTCCGGGTTTTCTCTTCTCGTGTTTTAGTTCTCCCTATTTTCTCATCATTCTAACACAAGCTTAGGGTTTTTTGGGATTGAGAATTAAATACAAATTCCTCCCTTAATTTTTTTAAGACTTCAATCAAATGTGGTTTATGACTTCAATCAAAGCACTCTTGCTATGTTCGAGAAGAGAGAAATTATTTTCTAATGAACAATGACTTTTCAATCTTTTAGAATTTTAACCCATGCCTTATGAAGCACAGACACAGGTGTAGGTGTGGGAGAGGACATTTTGTAAAAGTATGAGACACAGGTAAGAGGGGGATATGACAAGTTTGTGTGTGTGTTCGTGTATAGATACGAGTACGCAGTTTTTTTTATTATAAAACATTTACTTCATAAAATCTCACACATAAAGTCATGAAGTTAAAAATCCATTCTACAAGCAGTCAGATACTTAATAAATAAATGAGCTTTTACACTATTGTAGGAACCACTAAATTCATAGTTTGCAGAAGTTGCACTTAAAATTTATGTTACCCCTGCCTTTGAACATCTCAAGTACTTTAACATGACCCCAAAGAAGAAACTTGTTTTCTGCAGATTTTGATGTAACCCATACACTTGCATCCGGGGAAGAGGATCCCTGAAGCCAAGTAAAAGAAAGATAATGATAGTGTAGGGGTATCAAAATATGGACACATAGCTCAACTACCTCCAGAAGTTAGGGGGGTAAGTTCTGTATCAAGTAGTAGATTTTGAAGTAACCCCTACACTTACATCTCTCTCTCTAAGATGTAACCCCTACTTGATGATGTAAGTTTAGTGGGTATAGAACTACTTGATGATACAAAACTCAACTTACCTAAGTAAGAGAGAGATGAGATGATGATATAACTAGGCTTTTAATATTTGAAGAGAAAGAGGTGAGAGTCTGAGAGAGTGGTAGATTGAATATACAGAGGCTGGAAAATGAATTGAGAAATTAGATGGATTGACATTGGCTGAAGAGTTGGGTATGAGCCTCCCAGAGTCAATGAATACACAACTTTTTAAGGCCTAATTTTAACACTTTAATCATTTACTTGAGTAAGTTGAGTTATTAAAAAAGGACCCTCTCTCACACACATACACACTCTCTCTTTAAATTACTCAGCGGAATCGTTGAAGGCTCCGTAGTGTGTACCAGCATTTCTCTGTATTAAAAAAAGAAAAAAGGAGACACATCTTAGGCATGACCCTGAAGTGTCAGACCCACTTACCTCACCTTTTTGAAGTGTCTGTGCTTCATAGAAGCATAGGGAATCATAGCTCAATCCAATGAGAACAGAGCACAGGGATAATATTTCCCAGTTTTTAAATATTCAACCTTAAGTGTTCACTGTTGGGGTTTTTCTTATCAGGGTGAAGAAGTGACATTTGATTATAATTATGTACGGATCTTCGGTGCTGCTGCCAAAAAATGTGTCTGTGGTTCTTCTCAGTGCCGAGGTTACATAGGTAGTGATACCTTAAATGCTGAAATAGTCGTTCAGGATGATTCAGAAGATGAATATCCAGAGCCCGTGGTGGTTTTTGAAAACATAGATATTGATGATGAATTAAACTACGTGAAATCAGCAGCATGTTCGTTTAACCATTCAGAATTGAGAAATGTTGATGAATCTCCAGAAAAAGATATTGTAATTAATGGACAGGGTTCTGTGCACTCACAGAACACCATTGGAATTAAAAATGGCAATCCAATCTGTACAGAAAATTTTGAGACTAACATACATTCTGCTGCTGTTGAGTGCTTGGTGACTACTGAGATGAGTGAGAACTTGCTGGATTCATCTGCATCTTCTACAAGGAGAGAGGAGACATCTTCAAGTTTGGAGGGTTCAAGAGGGATGCAGTCTTTCGATGCTAAAGAAGATGGGTTGGAGGGTGTCAACAATTTACAAACATCCCTGTGTTATCCTGTGAAGTCAAAAACTCTTAGCAAGCAATTTAAGAACATAAAATCTTGCTGTGCAAGAGTTAAGGCTGAAGCCTCGAAGCCTCCCCCTCTTGTGAAAACTCCTCAAGTTTCATCTTTAGTGAAGAAAGCTAAACCCAAGAATACAAAAACATCACTGGCAATATATAATGGGCCTAAATTGCCAGAATTGAAATCCAAGAAACTGTCAGATGGGTCGTTAAATAGCCGTTCTGAAGCTGGTAAATGTTTTCTGCTTTTATTCGTTTCATTTATCTTTTGCTTTAGTGGATTTTCTTTATTGTGGTACTTGCGTGATCCTTACAAAAATTTCATCATGCAGTAGAAGAAAAGCTCAATGAGTTACTAGATACGGAAGGAGGAATAAGTAAACGAAAAGTAAGTAGTTCCTCAGTTTATAGATGATTGATGGCACATTTATACTCTATTGTTTTTAGCTCATTTATATATTTTTCGTAATTCTTGTGATTTCTGTATGACTGTATTAGAGAGAGATGTTCATAGCCTTGAGTATTTTTCATTCGCTTTTAAGTGTTTTTATGTATCCATAATTAGGTTTTCCATTAAAGAAATTCCAATACGAAATTTTTATAATTTATTTGTCACTTGTGCCAGTTTAAACTATTTCCAGGATCAATTATTCTCCCTCTATCTCAAAATAATGTTTTACACTTTATGCAAAACGAGCAAAATTTCAAGTTTTTTGTAATTCGTTTTATTTAAAGATTGGTATACAAATTAAAAATAAAACTTACATATTTAAAAACTACGTTAAAAGTTCTACAAATTAAGAGGTGACAAGAATATTTTATTTTATCAAATAATTCATCAAAATGCACAAATAAACAAAAGTTTCCGTGGCTTTTGAATAGTGAAGTGTAGTTCTTTTTGGAACGGAGGGAGTATATTCATTTCGTTACATTTAACAGGATGCATCAAAAAGCTACCTGAAGCTTCTCCTTTTGACTGCTGCTTCAGGGGATAGTGGCAATAGTGAAACAATTCAGAGGTACTAATAAGATACGCCGTAACATTTTAACCTCAACCAGCTATGAAGTTCTTACATTTAGAGTTATGATTATTATTTGTTACCGTAGATTGATGATGTTGCTTGAACTTAAATATTTTGCAGCAACCGAGAACTTTCTATGATCCTAGATGCACTCCTGAAGACAAAATCTCGTACAGTTTTAGTCGATATTATCAATAAAAATGGTAGTGTCTTTAGACTCTGTTGTGTCCAACCTTTACTTTGTTTAGTAAGGTAGTTTGGTAACTGAAAAGTATAAGTTAACTGTTAAATTGTGGTTGCTAGGTTTGCAGATGTTACACAACATAATGAAAAGATACAGAAGGGAATTCAATAAGATTCCAATACTCAGAAAGCTGCTTAAGGTATTATAAGTTAAAAATGTTTAAAATGTGATCACTAGCCATAACTAAAACAAAAATGATCTCAATTAAATGCCACAAATGGGATCTGGGGAGGGTGAGTGCACAGATTGGCTGGCATCTACCTGACATCTACTTCAAGAGTAGAGAGGTTGTTTCCAAGAGACTTCTGGCCCAATACACAAAAGAATTCGAGTAGTAAAAACAAGTAAAGAGAAGGGGAAGAGAAGAACACGTAAGAGATAAGCACACATCTAGATACAACAAACCAAAGCACCAAGTCCCACATAAACCACTCTCCAGGGCCTCCTCTACCACCCTAATCCTAGACTTTCAGGCGTTCCTATCTAAGGCAATATCCTCGATTATGTTTTGGAGCCATAATAAATGTTTAAAAAATCAGACCGAACTGGTTGGTTCAACTGGGAACCAGTCTCAAAGCCGGTCCAATTGACTCCACAAACTGGCCATGTTTAGTAACCAGAAAAACCGGCTCGAATCTCGTCAAACTGGTGAACTAGACTGAACGGTGTTGCTTAGGTGGATGTTTTTTATTTTTTATTTTAATTTCATTTATATAAAACATTATTTCTAAGATGGAAAAAGCCTGAAATGATAAGGCCCAAATGTGATGCTCTATATGGAGGCTGCTTTAATAAGTTTTTGGGTGCTAAGATTTGAATTAAAGTTTTGATGTGAGATGTGATATAGCTTTAGAATCTAGTTTTGCATTTTTATCAAGCTACTCCTTTTTCCTAATAGAATTCACATTTTCTTTTTTCATCTTACACGTCTCCCATTTTTTCAGAAAATGAATATGTAGCTAATTATGTTGCTCACAATATTTCTCTTATTTCTTTTTTAGTAGTAATAATTAACCACTTCTTTTTTCTCTTGTGTGTGTGTGTGTATGCCCCTTCATTTGGTTTTTACTCCTAGTTGAACCATTGAACCAGTAAATCAGTCGGTGTAATTTCTGGTTCATTTTTTAAAATAATGATCTCAAGTCCCCTTGCTCTAGCTAGTACGGACTCAATCCCTTCTCACATCCCCTAGCTCATGCCCATTGCACCACGTCAAAGGAGTATCTGTACTTCTCCTCATCATGTGCTTAAATTATCTAGCTTCACATAACTTATCCTCCCCGCAAACCACTCTCACCCTAACCCGAATATCTTCGTTCCAGCCCCTATCCATCCTCGTATGAGCACACGTCCATCTTAGCATCATCATCTTTGACACTTGAAGCTTCTGAATGTGAGGGTTATTTACTGCCTGGCCCTCTTCCCCATACAACATAGTAGGTCTAACCACTGTCCAGTAGAACTTGCTTTTCAGCTTTGCCAATATCCTCTTGTCGCATATGACACCTGAAGCAAGCTTTCACTTCATTCAAGCCGCTCCAAATCTCCAATATGGTGAACATCCCCATCGATCTTCCCATCTGCCGGAATGATGGATCCAAGGTACCGAAACTTGTCCCTTTTAAGTTCAGGTTGCACACCAAGCTTAACTTGCACTTCTGACTTGTTAAACTGTTGAATACTTGAAACAGCACTCCATATACTCAGTGTTAGTTGTGGGCAGTCTGAAACCTTTTGACTCCAAAATCTATCTCCACACCTCTATGATTGAGTCCCTCTTGTGTTTCATCAATCAAAATAATGTTTTCCGTTACACCAAGGTGCCTCCCCTTGGATATGTTGCGTCAAGCCATCCATCCCCAAGGCAAACGGGAAGGGACTAAGGGCATTCCCCGAAGTAGTCTCATCTCTACTTAGAAAGGATCTGAGTGCCCTCCTATCGTTCTCACTCTTGTCCTTGCCTCATCATACATGTCATTAACTACCAAAGTTACTTTTAAGTACTTTCTTAAAAAAACAAATCTGAAAAAAAGCGTTACCAACTTAAGTTGGTAATAAATTAATCATTTAAAAGTTTAAAAATTAAGCACCAACTATTAATTAAGATAAAGTAGAAAAAAAACATTAACTTTCAAATAAACTAATTTATAAGGCATTAAAAAAACAAAGCACTACAGCCGGGTGCATAAAACACTTTAAAAAAAATAAGTTACTGGGCTAAAAAACAAAAGTTCTGGACTAGGCGAGGCTAAGGCGACGCCTAGGCGATGAAAGGTGAGGCCAAGGCGACGCGTAGGCGAATAATGCAAAATAAGGCGAGGCGAGCTCCCATGGCGAGGGTAGAAGGGTGCCTGGACGCCTAGGTGTCGCCTACGCTACACCTTGATAACTATGCATGAAACTGCCTGGCATGAAACCGAATTGGTTTCCAGAAATGTAATAAGACGTCGAATCGTATTTACTATCTAGAAATACACATTATGAGGGATTCCGTGTCCAACCCTAACGGTTGGGTTCCGTTGTCCCATTCTGAAACATCTCAGTCCTGTCCTTAAAATGTCCCGTTTTGTTTGAGTCGGCAAAATTTTGTCCCCAACCCGTCTCGGATCGATTTAAAATGGAATCCACCCTCATAATGAGTATTGCTACAGTTTCAGACGTTGAAAATGTATTTTTTGAGATTTAACATTTTTTATCCACCCTCCCCCTATTTTTCTTTCCAGTTTTCTTCGTTAGCACTTTCGGCATTCTAAACAGTTCCTAGCAGGTTTCCTTATCTAAACAACTATTTCACATTCACTTCTCGACACTCCCCCCCCCAAAAAAAAATACTGTTGGGATTATACTGGAAATGTTGTTTTATTTGGGTCATCTCACCATTTGAATTTCGTTCAGGTACTGGAATATCTAGCATTAAGAGAGATTTTAGCATGTGAACACATTATTGGGAGCCCTCATCGGCCTGGAGTGGAGAGGTTGGTGAATTATTTCATTTTTTTGTTTCCTCTCGTTTGTTTTTCCTCTTAAGTTAATGGTTTCTTTTAATTCTAGCATGCTGTTTCTGTGTTTCATCTAGCATCTGTAAATACCTATGCTGCATTGTCACTTCAAAAAAAACTGAAAAATATGTCAGACACAGGGGACATGGTGGCTGTAGGGACACCTTCAGGGTGCAACACATGTTTCTCTTATACGACTAAAGCTTCTTTAAATAATTCCAAAATATTGGACTATACTATAAAAAGCATGACCATAGATGTCTATCCTATTCCGTATCTACCATGGGTGTGTGCTCAGCAAAATCATGTTCACATTTGACATTACCTGTTTTGGGAAGTTTGGACTAGTGGTGACTTTCACTCTCAACTACCCAACCAAAATATTACCCCACAACTTGTTAAATACTCCCTTTTGTCCTACTATTTTTAGGGCAGTAGAGTGACACCCAAATTTAAGAAAGTGGAATCGTGTGCTTGATATTGAATCTTTGAAGTATAAATTGATTTGAGCCACATAAGTCATACCAAATATGGTATTGGACATACCAAATTAGGAAAAAAGGTAAGCGTAGTGGGAGTGAAGGAATGACCGTTATCCTCCAATAAATGACCCCTCTAACCAAATTCTCAATCTAGTTTTAAATTGTGTGCCTTTTCACATGGGAAGAAGATTTTGGCACAGGAAGAGAAAGACATATTGTGTGTGTGTGCATGTGTGTGTATGATCTGACAAAAGTGGTCCTTGAGTAAAAAAGGAATGAATATGGTGCACTAGCTTTGAGAACCGCCTACAGTACCAATGGTTTTTTTAATTATGTGCAACTTCTGCCTTCATGCTTCTTTGAAAAGTGCACATCCCCATAGTTAAAAGTGCAATCACACTGATAAACATGCATTAACTCAAGCATTAGTGTTTTCAAGTCAAGGCTTATTTTTGTTTGAACTTTGAACCACACCATGTGTGTGTGTGCGCGTGTAAGTGAGCTTTGCATTCAGTTCAAATACTCTGCAGTTGCCCATCATCAATCAACAGGGAAAACTTATTTTATTTTGTGAAACTTGTCTACTTTTATCAAAAGGTTATTCTATTAAGCCTACATCTTATACCACTAGGTAAGTCTCACGAATAATGAGATATTGTCCTCAAGTCATGCATCAATATTTCATCATGCATTTTTTTGTCATTTACAGTTAACCATGTGTTTGTGGTGCCCCTTAACAATCTAATGGATATTTTAACACCCTCGATCTATGTGTGTTTTTACTCAAGGACCACTATTTACAAAATCTTACACCATAATAATAAAAATACTACCATTGTTTAAACCAGATTGATCTTGTTATTGTAATGCTAATTTAAATGTGAAGACTTTTGTGGGGTTTTCTTTAGTCATAATTTGGTTTCACATAGATTTTATTTCCGTGGGCAAAAAACATACGAAATTATGGAAATGTAGAAAATAAACCAAATAGTTCTTTCAGTTCGGGCAAATTTAGGTAAAGCACATAGTTACTTTCGAATCCCTTATTTAGGTAAGCAATTAGTTACCATCCTCTTCTCTTAAATTTAAAGTTAACAATATGTGGAAACCCATTTTCCCATCACTCGTTTTGTCCTTGTCAACATTACAAATCTTTTTAACAAAAGGGTATTTCATTTTTTGGCATCTTGTAATCGATTCTAATAATTTTTACAGCTTCAGAGACTCGATATTAAGCCTGACAGAGCACATAGACAAACAGGTGATGATCTTAATGGGGAATTTTGTATGCTCTATTTATTTGATCCATCTTTCTTATTTATATTCTTTTATTTTAAATACTAAATTTTATCATATTCAAATTTTGCAGTTGTACAACATTCAATTTAAGTACTAAAATACTAAATTAAACGTTACAATGGAAGAATTGATTTTAATTTCTTTCACTATCCCTTATAAATTTGGTTTATTGTCTTGTTTTTACTCAGCTCGCTTTTTAGTAAACTGGAAATTATGCATTTGAAATTTGTTTAGAGGATAGAAATAATTTCTAACTACAAATTTTTTTCCTGAAAATGAAAGTGGAACAGAATTTCGGAACGGACCAAATACTCCTTACATCCCAAAACAAAACAGAATTTTGGGACGATCTAAATACGCCTCACGTCCCGAAATAGAAGTTCATTTTCCGGACATAAAGTGGAAGAAAAGTATTTAAAAGTGAAAAGTGTGGTTGGAATTGATATGAAGGAGAGCAATAATGACAGCCGCACGTTCCTTACCAAATAAGGAAATTGATTCTTATTTTGCAATGGGCCAAATCAGAAAGTCCATAGTTTATTTCGGGACAAAGGGAGTGAGAAAGATGGAACAAAATTATGGGACAGAGTGGGCAAATTTACTTTTTGTGTGGCTATTTGGTGAAATATGGCACATGCTGGACAAAAACGTGTACATAATTACAAAAGAAAGTATATCATAGACATTAACCAAGACTTAGTCCAAAACTGATTATGTCATGTGGATGAACTAATAGTCTCTAGGTTTTCTGCTAAAATTTTCATATTTAGTATTTTTATACATACCAAATGCCCAAACCAATTTCTAATGCCACCAGACTGAACTTATACTGGTGGCAGTAGTTGACAAGTGTTTTCTTTTTTCAGGTCCATCATATCGCAAGAAGCTTTAGAGATAGGTGGATACCTAGACTACCCAGAAAAAGTTGTTTCATGGACAGGGATGAGGGATGGACGACAGAGTTGCACTTACATTCAATGGTTGGATCTACGGCCACAACAGATGCTTGTGCACTAGATTGCTCGTCTCTAGCTAGCTCTGGTCTTGGTGTCTCCAACAACATGACAAGGGTACGTAAACGTAAAACTCAGTGTGATCCAGAGTCTAAAACAAATGATGATTGCCAGCAGGATATAAATGACGATGATGCCCCTCCCGGCTTTTCATCCCCCATAAATAACCCCAGAGAACAGTTTACTTCAACATGGCCAGTCATGGGACATTGCCAACATAGATATAATCCAAACATTCTGCTCTCGTTTGGAATTCCTGTTAATGAGGTGCGGCAATTAGGGACACCTATAATTGAACCCTCGGAAGGCTGGGCCGTGGCTCCGGGCACGCCCTTCCATCCCTTCCCTCCATTGCCTACATACCCATATCGCAGTAAGGGCATTGTTCCTCCTGCTCCAAGTTCTGAAGTCCCACATCAACCTGCTCGAACTCCGTGTGACCATAAGAATCTGCCCCAGCCTTTCAAAAATTGTTTCCCAGATTATCCATATCAAACCATGCAAAGTCCCACTGCAGGGGCAGGAAACCTGCCACCTGTGGCTGCAACTAGAGGGCACTCTCGTCCATCGCCTGCCGGCTCTTTTAAGATGGGAAAGAGATACATCAGGCAGCAAAGGTGGAGTGGCTCAAAATTTCAACCTCGGCGAAGGGGTAGAAACAGTTGGGGATATTCAGGAAACCATGGGATGTGCAATGCACGGTTCGGAGGCACGCCAAATGAGTTTAGATTTCGTGGCCAAGTGGATGTTGGATTCAAGGAGGGTCCTTGGAATTTGTTACCCAAATATTAACTTCCTTTCCTACACAAAGAGAGCCTCAATGTAGTTTCTTGTGGTCTTTTTTTTTTTTGCGACACGGGATGATATTTGATTAATTTATTGGTATCTTATTAGTTTCCAGGTATATGAGTAATGGGACCAACAATTAATCTTGTTATTCATTCATTGGAGTTTGAGATGGAAGTACGCCAAAAAATGAGTATGTGTGCTTCAGCAATTGATCTGAAAAGTATTTTGAGACTTGTTGGTTTATTGACTTTTGATTAGGTCTCATCTAATGAAAAGATTCAATGTATTTTTTTTTTTTTGGAGCAGAATGAAAATTCAATAAATGCCGCGTTATTCATCCTAAAGATAATGTCCATTATTCACTCTAACCTTTTTATGATGATTGTAAAAAGTTTCTTTCACCAAACAAAATTTAGATAAAATAAAAATGGTGTTTGAGATGAAAAATATGGGAATCGATATGATTCATAGGAGTGAAAACTAGGAAAGTAAAGTTGTGGTTTTTTCAACTAACTCACGTATGATTCATCGGCAGCATGATGATGGGACAATAATTAGGTATTCAATAGAGGTAGTTAAAGTGTTGAACATCATTAGAGTGATCAATTCATGATTGGGGGCTCGAGTTGAATGTTAAAAAAAGCTGATTGATTGTGGTCTTCTTGTGATGGTAAAATGTACGGAGTATCATCTATTGTTGTTCCCTATAGACATCGGGAGGTCGGCATTGGAGGCGAATCTTCTTGGTGGGGACGTTGTAGAGATGCAAGGTTTATTAGTGACTTGGTAAAGAAGAGAGCTGCTAATGCTATTGATTTGACGCATCTTCTTCCCGAATTTGGTGACCTGTAGGGTGAGTTACTTCTGCTTCGCTCTTCTACGGGTACTACCAAATTTTCTTTGGCTTGAGGATGTGTCAACCTGTACACATGATAGAAGTAGCGTTCGTCTTTGACAGAGGATTACGGCATTACGCGAGGCGATTGAGGACATGGTGATTTGTGGAGGTCCTTTCTTTAGGGATCTTCAAGTGTGGGGGGTTCAGGACCACATCTTAGGAGACAGTGGTATATGCGATATGGGTTCTGATTATAGTTGTACTTTGGCATGTCTTCGTAATACGATTTCAAGTTTTGACTTCAATGGTTTCATTGAAAAGGACATCTCCCTCTCCTAAAGCTCAACATGCAGCTCCTAAAGCTCAACATGCATTGGCTAGTGCGCTTTTTAAAAAAAATTGTCGAGGATATAGAAGTACACCTTAACATGATCGTTAGGTAAAAAATTGTTTTAGAATATTTACGAGAACCACATGCCCAAGACTTTGTTTCGAATTGTTATTCCATTGATGGGCTTGGCCAACATATGTTGCCTATGGAGTATCGTTCTATCATCAAGTATTGACTGCTGATTTCCTTCCTTTTGGTTGATGAGATATGCCTTGTTTATTATAATGTTTATTTCTTAATGCATCATAGACAATGCAAAATGTTTTATCAAAATATAAAGAGTTATAAATTGAAAATTGTTTCTCTCTAATGTTGTGGCTGAGATTGCAACTTTTTCGCTCCTGCAACTTGAATCTCTTCGCACTTTTCCGTGTTTTATTGATTATTGATATCCAAGATCTCTCTTACCATAGATCTTCTCGCTCTCCCTTCTACGCCTTGATTTTCTCTATTACAATTTTTTTGTATAAATTTGTGTTGTTTCTTTATGTCTCTCAGAATGCCATTTTATGAAGTTTCAATGCATGACTGCGTAAATGAAAATAGAGGAACAGAGTTTCCTCTCATTTAAAATTTCTTATTTTCATGCAAAGATATTGTGAACTATTACACAATATAAGTTTATAAATATTTAGTTAGACCTTAGAAAATTGATAAATTATACTACAAATTTATTTTGATTAAAATAGTAAGTTAAATTACCAAACTAAACTATTAAACTATACAGTACCACATTATCACAATGCAAACTCTTATTTTGGGAATAAAAACATGGAGCTTTTATTTTGGTATTCTCTATATTTTATTTCTTTTAGGATAATTTCTTATAAATAAAATAAAATTACAATGAAGAAAATAATTTTCTTATTTCTTAGTTTTTATTTTTTCCATTTTTTGGGTTCTAATAAGAATATTTTTCTTTTTTATTTTTATTTTCATTTTTAACAACAAGAGAAAACAACACATTAACACTTTGTGTAGAGTCTAAAACGTTAGAATCCATCGCTCCATTTATTTTTAGTTTCATTTCTTATCAGTTTGATACTAGTTTTTATCGTTATCTTTTTATTTCATTAATTTTGTATGGTTTTAGTTGCTTTTCTCATTTTCGCTATTTTTTATATTTATTTTTTAAGAACAAGTAAAAAAAAGTTAAAATAAAAATTTATCAAAAATAATCTCAATCTTCATTTTGTTGCACAGAATAAGCATTCGTTAACCAATTGTTAGCCGCTTAATGGTGATTTAAAACTCACAACTTTTAGTGAAATTGAGATTATTATATATCATAGTAAAATATGAAATTATTTTTTAAATTACATGTAAAGTTAAAATTATTTTAGATAATTTTTCTTAGAAAAATATTAGGGGTACACCAAAGGTGTACCCCATTTGTCGCTCACCCCCTCCTCCACCACATAAATGGACAAGTATTTTAAAAAAATTTAAATAAATAAAAAGATGATAAAAGTTGGTGGTGAAGAAAGAGGTGGGGAACAAATGGGGTACCCTAGCATTGCTCTTTTTCTTATTATCTATGACAAACGTGATTCCTAACTTTTTTTTTTCTTTTTTATTGTGTCAAAGTTAAGGAGCAGCACTAAAAAAAAATGTTACGGAATAGGGAGCATTCAAAAACGGGATGAAAAGTTAAAAAGAAGATTTTCTAAAGAATTTTTACGAAAAGGTTAAAAGGACAAAAAGGGCAAAGAAATGAGAAATCTCCCCACGAGTTTAAAGTTTCAACCCCATTATCGTCTTCTTCTTCTTCTTCTTCTTCTTGCCAAGTCGCCATTATAGGAGCTCTGAATGTGTAGAGTGGGAGAGATCATAAATGGAAAACTCACTTGCACCCATACGCTTTATTCTCCTCCTCGGAGCAGCTGCCGCGGCGGCGGCGGCGGATATTCTTCCCGGGTCAACCCTCTTTGCATCCGACCCGAATTCAACCTGGCCGTCTCCCAATAACACATTCACTCTCTCCTTCTTCCAGGACGATCCCGGGAACCCCAACTCCTTCTTCGCCGGAATCCGCTACGACGCCCGGATACCCATCTGGAAGGCCGGCGGGGACTCCGGCGCCCTCCCCTCCTCTGCATCTCTCCGATTCCTCCCCAACGGCGACCTCCAGCTCACGTCCGGCGGCGGAAGCTCCCCCACCGTCGTCCTCTGGAGCTCGAACACCGCCGGCCGCGGCGTCTCCTCCGCGCGCCTTGACGACTCAGGTAACCTCGTTCTCCGGAACGCCACCGTCCCCAACATCTGGTCCACTTTCGATAACCCCACCGACACCATAGTCCCCTCCCAAAGTTTCACCCTGAACCATACTTTGAAATCTGGGAAATTCTCATTCAAGCTCCGACAGAACGGGAATCTGACGCTTCTGTGGAACAATTCAATCACTTATTATAATTCTGGGTTTAGTTCTTCTGCCGATTTCGAATTAAATTCCCCCAGTTTGAGTATGAATCCGGTGGGTATTCTCTCCCTCTTCGACCCTTCCCTTCCCAACCCTTTGAAACTGGTTTACAGTAGCGATTACTCCGACGAGGGCGACATTCTGAGATTCGTGAAGCTCGACGACGACGGGAATCTCAGGATTTATAGCTATAACAAGAAAGGGAGTAGAAATCCCATTCTGCGGTGGTCTGCTCTAAGCGATCAATGTCGGGTGTTTGGGTACTGTGGGAATTTCGGGATCTGCAGCTACAATGATTCTGGCCCGATTTGCAGCTGCCCGTCGGAGAATTTCGCTCCGGTGGATCCTGAAGATCTCCGGCAAGGGTGCCGGAGAAAAGTGGAACTGGGGAGCTGTTCTTCCAATCAGAGCATCTTGCAGATGGATCACTCTGTGTTCTTGACCTATGATCCCGAGCTTTCTTCTCAACAGACCATCTCCGCTGGGATTTCAGCCTGCAGGCAAACCTGTCTCGTCAGTGCCGCTTGTATTGCTTCCACGGCGGTGGCTGACGGCACCGGATTTTGCTACCAGAAGCTACCGAATTTCGTCAGCGGGTATCGATCCCTCACCCTGCCGAGTACTTCTTTTGTCAAGGTCTGCGGGACCCCATTGCCCAACCCAACCGATGACGACTCGGAGAAGAAGAAGAAGAAGAGTGGGTCCGAGTTGCACGGGTGGGTGGTTGGGGTCGCCGTGGTGGGCTCACTTCTGGGCCTGATTCTGTTCGAGGCCGGTCTTTGGCTGTGGTGCTTCAGAAACAGGCCCAGATTCAGCCCGCTGCCCGACCAACTCACGCTCCTCGAGTACGCGTCGGGCGCGCCCGTCCAGTTCTCGTACCGCGATCTTCACCGAGCCACGGGAGGGTTCAAGGAGAAGCTAGGGGATGGGGGGTTTGGCGCGGTTTATCGCGGCGTTCTTCGCGCTAACAATAGAACAGTTGTTGCAGTGAAGCAGCTCGAAGGGATCGAGCAAGGCGAGAAGCAGTTCCGGATGGAGGTCGCGACGATCAGCAGCACCCACCATTTGAATCTGGTGAGACTCATCGGGTTTTGCTCCGAAGGACGCCGCCACAGGCGTCTAGTCTACGAGTTCATGAAGAACGGGTCCCTCGACCTCTTCCTCTTCTCCGGCAAGTTCCTGAAGTGGGAACAACGTTACGTCATCGCTCTGGGAACTGCCAGAGCGATGGCGTACCTCCACGAGGAATGCCGCGATTGCATTGTCCATTGTGACATCAAGCCCGAGAACATTCTCTTGGACGACAGCTACAATGCCAAGGTTTCGGACTTCGGGCTTGCCAAACTCGTGAGCCCGAAAGACGACAGGCACAGAACCCTGACGAGCATAAGAGGGACGAGAGGGTATTTGGCTCCAGAATGCCTCGCGAATCTACCCATCACGTGCAAATCCGACGTGTACAGCTACGGGATGGTGTTGCTGGAAATAGTGAGTGGGAAGAGGAATTTCCACGTCTCGACGGAGACGGACGGGAAAAAGTTTTCCACGTGGGCATACGAAGAATACGAGAAGGGTAACGCGAACGCGATTCTGGATAAATCGCTAGATGCCCGTGAGATTGATATGGACCAAGTGATGAGAGCCATTGAAGTGAGCTTTTGGTGCATCCAAGAGCAAATCTCTCTGAGGCCAAAGATGGGCAAGGTGGTTCAGATGTTAGAAGGTGTTTGTCACGTCGATAGGCCACCGGGCCCGAGAGCCCCGATAGATCGGAATAGCATAAATATAGCTAGTAGTTCAACTTCGTCTTCTCGTTCCGGGCAGAATCTGGGGCGGGCTTCTTCGTCGCTCTTACACGCAGATTAAGTTCATCAATGGGATTTGTTTTCGTTTTTGGGAATTGGTTTAGACAATGGTTGTATTTCTTCATGCAATTAGTAGTATAGTAATATATTTGGTATATAGGTCATCCCACTGTCATGTAGGAAAAGTTTAACAAGTTTGGCCATAAAAGTCAAACTTGGGAACCTAGTAGTTGTATGTTATTGTTGAAGAATATGGTTAAAGAACGAAGTGTATATTATTCTTACACATGCTTTAATTTTATCGAAAGGGAATTATTTCATTTATAAATAAATACTCCGCACTAAAATGTACTCCGTAATACGGAGTAATGTTTTATTTCATCTTTACTCGTTTCTTTACTTTCCCTTTTTTCCTATCATATACTCGTATATCATATCATATCATATATCATATATCATATCCTTTACTATAATAAAGGAGACTCCAATTCACAAGAGTTTGACATTTGGCGTGTCTACTTGGCAAATTTTTAACATGTCAGCGCCACGTAATCCTTTAGTATAATATATCATGTCTCCAAGAAGTTGACATGTGTCATCTTACATATCAAATTTTTAAATGACATGGCACACGAATAAATTATATGACATGCTTTAAATTCTCATTCATCATTTATGGAAATTTATATATGATAACTTTTAAAATATGATGAGTTTAAAAAAATATATTTTATATTGAAAAAATATGGACTTTTTAATTTATGGAAAATTATGTAAATGAAATAAATGTAATTTTTCAACAAAGAGTAAATAAATTAATCATAAAAAAAAATAATCATGATTAGACTGGGTATTTTTCATAAAAATAAAAATCATATTAAAAGTATTTTGAGTAAACTATAGTTTTTTAAAAATTATTAATTTATTCTTTTGTATCAAAATTTATTGAGCTAAAATATACTCTGGAGTAGCTCATCTTTTACCACTAATTAAAGATGAGAAATTTATTAGAGTATATAAATTTAGTGCATTATGGGTTTATGTATATTAGAAAATTTTTAATATGAAAATTTTGTGGTTTAATGTAATCAATAACTTTTTTAATAATTAAAATTTCCTTAAATATATAATAGGGAGTATAAAAAATCTATTAAGATTTAAATTTTGTTTGAGATATTATATATATTTACATCACAGTATTGATAGTCTTTAAAAGTATTTATTTATGATAGAGACAATGTTTATAAATGATAAATTTTTTGTTTTTAAATGAAAGTATTTTCATAAAGGAAATATAAATTTTAAAAAGAATTGTTTCCATCCGCTTTATTAGTAGGACTTTTTGAGCCTTTATTTTTCTTTATTAGAACATAATTTTCATAGAGAAAATATATAACAGTAAAAATAGATAATTAAAAAAATATAATCTTAATATTCATATATTTATATATTCAAGTATCGAATGACAACGTATATTTTTGAATAGAATATATTAAAATAGTTCCAGCGCTCTAAATGGTTTGAAAAAAGGTATGAATACCTCATTTATTTTCAAAACTTATTTAAAAAAATGTCTATCATTTCAAAAGGATACACACGCACCACATCGGTTTGTACTATTTACCGTTCATTTTTTTATTAAAAAAGGGGCATTGGTACGCATTCCAATCAACAAGATCTGATGAGCATCAATGCATATTATCATTTTTAAGGTTTTTTCATATATAATTGTTCTTTATAATGTTATAAAATTCAAATTGGTTTGTATTTGAAATAAAAAATTAAATTGCAATTAAAAAAAAGCAGATGACACTAGCTTTAATAGAAGTATCTACAGTGCACCGTTCACAAAATTAATGGTTCTACCTTCGACACCCTGGTAAACCCCCACCCAGAGCAAGTGGCTCTAAAATCGTTTCGATAATAGTAGTTGTAATAATAATAATAATAATAATAATAATAATAATAATAATAATAATAATAATAATAATAATAATAATAATAATAATAATAATTGTGTAATACCTTCGAAGAAGAATTTTATGTAATCAAGGTTTTTTTTATAAAAACTTATTTTTTAATTATTTATATAAACATTATTATGAAATGCATGGTATGTATGCAAAACTCTAGAATTGACATCTTTGTCGAAATAATTTAGTCTAATATTAACTTTTTTTGCAGAACTTATCTGCCCAGAAGATCTAAAGAATTTATGATTGATTGAGATTGAAAAGTTATTTAATTCAAAGGGACGATCCTTAATAGGGTTTGGTGGTATGTCATTTCCAAATGACAACCCACTCAATAGATTTCATAATAACTTCTTGGTGGAGGAGTTGAACTATGATAGAGAAAAATTGTCATCTGATCTTAAACAATACTTATCTACCATGAGCGAAGACCAGAAGAAGATATATGATGATATAATGGAAGTTGATCGTGACAGCTGAAAAGGAGGTTTATTTTTTGTGTATGGTTACGGGGGAACCGGAAAGACATTCCTCTAGAAATCATTATCTGCTTCTCTTAGATCAAAAGAAAGGTTATTCTGAATGTTGCATCCAGTGGCATTGCAGCATTGTTATTGCCAGGTGGAAGGACTACACACTCTAGATTCTCAATCCCATTGGCGCTAACTGAGTGTTCAACGTGTGCCATCAAACAAGGGAGCCCAAAAGCTGAATTGATCCAACAAGCAAGTCTGATCATATGGGATGAAGCATGCATGATGGATACTTTTGCTTTTGAGGCTTTGGAATGCACAATGAGCGATATCATGGGGTTATCTAACAATAATTACATAAATGAACCATTTGGAGGGAAAACAGTTATACTCAGAGGTGACTTTTGGCAGATCCTTCCAGTTTTACCTAGAGCTTCGAGAGGGGAAATTGTAGGTGTTACGGGGTCAATTCCTCACATTTGTGGTCGTACTGTAAAGTTTATGCGTTGACCAGGAATATGAGACTGGATTCATCCACGTCTACTTGCACAGATAGAGACACACAAGCTTTTTCTGATTGGATAATCAAAATGGGTGATGGAAAGGTAGGCCATGGATGGAATTAGTGGTGTTGAGAGTCTGCCCGAACTCTTAATTCTTGATACAAGTTATCCTATCAAGAGTATACTGGACTTCACTTATCCGAATATATTAGAGAATATGAAAAATTATTCTTTTTTGAGGATAGAGTACTATTAGCACCAACTCTCAAAGTAGTTGAAATGATAAATGAATTTGTCTTGTCCCTCATTCTTGGTGATGAAAAAGGATTACTTGAGTTCTGATTCTTCGTGCCAAGCAGATGCAGATGTAGGTATTGATGGCGATTGGATAACAGTTGAGTTTTTGAATGAAATCAAATGTCTGAGAATCCCAAACCACAAAATAGTCTTGAAAAAAGAGATACCGATTATGCTATTAAGGAACATTGACCAAACATCTGGATTGTGTAGTGGGACAAGATTAATTGTTCAAGAGCTGCAAAATAATGTTATCGGTGCAATTGTTGTTTCGGGAAATCGTGTCGGGGAAAAGGTTTACATCTCTATAATGAATTTTGTAGCATCTGATCTTGAACTCCCCTTGAAGTTCTAAAGAAGACAATTCTCGATTGCCTTATGTTTTGCTATGACTATCACCAAAAGTCAAGGTCAAACATTGTCATTTGTGGGATTATATTTAACCAAGTCGGTGTTCATACATGGTCAACTTTATGTTCCTATTTCACGGGTGAAGAAAAAGACAGGATCAAATATATTGTTCTAGATGACAATGGGAACCCTTGCAACCATACCAAAAATTTTGTATGCCCGGCCTGAAGTCTTTCAGAAAATTTTGTATTAAAATAAACATTGTTAACTCTACATTCAGTTTCTTAAATACTCCGTATTATTTATTTTACTTTGGCATTTTTCATTTGTAGTATTAAAAATCATGTGAGTAATATACTTTCTTCATTGAAATAATTCAGAATCGACATAAATTTCGTTCGAACCCGTGCATGGCATGGGTTGAAATACTAGTATATATATAAAGTAGGGTTTGTTTGTTGTGGTGTTGACACGTGGCAACTGATTTAGAGAGTGACATGGAAAATTAGAGACGTGGTGGCTGATTTGGAGGGTGACATGGAAAACTCATGGTGAAAGAAAAAGAGAAAACCATCTCCTTTTCTCAAAAAAAAAAAAAAAGAGGAGAAACCCATCGGATAGTAGGGAGATGCGTAAACGAGGGGAAATGGCGGCGCAAAATTTCCTACCGCTGCGGAACAAGCAATTCCGACCAAAAATCTAGAACTCCATCATCGCCGCCTAGCCTTCCCAAACACCCAGCGCCGTTGCAGCCGACCAGTTTCCACTGCAGATTTCCAGCCGCTTCCCCTGATTAGGGTATGTACGATACCCCCATTTTTTCTCCTTAATATATTTGTCTTGAATTCCAAATTTTAGGGTTTTTGAAATTGAGAGTATTCTTTGCATTTTGGATTAATTATACTGTGTTGGTAATTAATTTGTTGGATAATTGATGTTTCATAGGGAGTGAATGATGATTTTATATAATGATATATTATTATTATTACAAATTGTCAATTTGAATATTGAAATTAACTGTGTAAAATCCAAAGGAAAATGATATTTATCCAAGTAATAAATTTGAATATTGACTTTATTATATCTGCAATGCCTAAAGTTTTCTGTTCGAATTCTTAAATCTAAGAATGCTTCTCAGAACTTGCATGCATTTTTCCATTTGTTCCTTGTACTTTTATTGCAGATTTTTGACCAATTTGTACCACTTATTTTCTTCTGCTTATTATATTTCTCTAAAAATCCAAATTTTAGGGTTTTTGAAATTCAGAGTATTTTTTGTATTTTGGATTAATTATACTATGTTGGTATTTAATTTGTTGGATAGTTGGATATTTGATATTTCATATGGAGTAAATGATAATTTTATATAATGATATATTGTTATTGGAAATTGTCAATTTAAATTTTGAAATTAACTGTGTAAAATCCAAATGAAAATAATATTAATCCAAATAATATATTTGAATATTGATTCTATTATATCTGTAATGCCTAAAGTTTTCAGCTTGAATTCTTAAATCTAAGAATGCCCTTCAAAACTTGCATGCATTTTTTCAATTGTTAATATTCCCTTAACTTTTGTTGCAGATTTTTGACCAATTTGTAGTACTTTATTTGTTTTAGTACCAAATAGGAAAAATAGTGAGGACTGGCAGTTTCAAAACATCTTTTTTTTTTGCAAAACAAATCCACCACTGATGCAAAGTTAAGGTTGCGTAAGCACAAAAGATGGAATAAGTTGGTGTTAGCATTATCTGCCATTGGTGATCAAACGTAAGCTAAAAAGGAGGATGAGTTATCATTATGTTTTTTTCTTTTCAGATACTAAACTGATAATTGAATGGTTCGTCTAATAAAAACAATCTCTTGCTATTTTTGATGTTGGTAATCAAAAGAAGTAAGTCAAAAAGAGGATGGGCTATCATTATGTTTTTTATTTTTAGATGCTAAACTGAAATTTGAACGATTGGTTTAACAAAATTATTCTCTAGCTGTTTACAAACGTAAAGTTGCATAGGTGTTGACATTGAGATCCGAACATAATAAGGATTATATAGGCTTTTGGTGGTGTCGTTGACTTTTCATGTTTCGGTGGTGTTGCTTTTCGTTGGTTTCTTTAATATCCAAAAAATTGCTCTTATATCATCTAGCACACTCACAGTAACCATACAACACATTGTTGAAAACTTTGGAGATTCTCAGGTTCCATCGGTGGAAATAAGTACGGTAGTACGGAGTATTTTTATCATAACATTACCGAGTCATTGTGTTTCCTTTTAAAACCCTTAGGTTTGCCTAAATTGTTCAAGATCATGATGATGAAGGTTTGATGATGTATACAAATCCTGGTGTACATTTATTAATAGTAAAATCTATACTCATGTTTTTACCAGGTTGTCTTTGGTTGGAATTGGACTGGACTTGAGTTTTATAACTCTGGATATTCGTAAAGATGTTTTTGTTGGATTGTTTCCCTATTGGTTGGCAGCTTCAACGTTCATCATTACTATAGATTGAGATCTTTAAAGTCAAAGTTGTTCAAAAAACTTTTTTTTGTGTTCAAATTTTTTCCTTATACTTTTTTCCCGTTTTCCCCTAACGTACTTCGTGTGGTTCATTCCTTATAGACTTTTATTTTCTCTTTTAGGGGCTTAATCCTCCATTCTCATTTTCGTTTCACTTCCCATCGACCGGCACATATCTTTGGATAGTCATTTCCGACCAAAATTTCTGAAAAAAATTGTCGTCGGCTTGCCTTCTCAGTTTCCAGCCGCCTCTCAGCCTCTATAGTTGTCCCTTCACCACCACTGATTAGGGTATCTCCAAAATCTATTTTTTCTCCTTTTTATTTTTATTGAATTCCTATGTTTAGGTTTTTATTTAATAAGAAAGATTCTATATCATGCTTGCAATTTGGGGTCTTTTAAACCGAATTGTAAAGGATTTTCTTTATTCAATTTTTTAATTTACAAATGGGTTTTACAAATGACTACTTGCTGATGAGGTGAAATGCTCTTAAGATAAATCCACATCCACATCCTCCCAATATGTGTATCCTCACTGCAAATTGACTCTTTTAAGGGTATACCTTTTCAAGTCTACAGCATCTGTTATGTTGTATCCATTAGGACTTCATCATTATTTTTCCTTCTAATTTTTAGTCACTGCCCTTCTTTTTTTCCCAACCCGCAGGAACAAACAAGTCCTCCTTATTTATATAAGAGTGGTTGAAAGCACATACTTCAACAGTTAAGATAAGGTTTGAAAAACAAAAACTTTTATTATCTAAATCGTCAAAATGTATACACATTTCATTACTGTACTCTTACTCTGAGAAATAAGGAATGATAGTACATATTTGTTTGAGGTGCGCGCAAAGACTATATGTATCTAGAAGACAACTGAACGATTATCCTTCTTTTTAATAGTTCATAACTTTTAGTGAAAGGGAACCATTTGGCTTTGTTTTCGAACAGACTGATGTCATTGACCCTTATTTTTAAGTGTTGAATCCCTATTTGAGTGACTGACCAACTCTCAAGAAGCATTTTAATCAAATACGGATTACCATTTTGATTGACTACAACTCTAGATTTGTTCTTCATTTTACTTTTTATTCAAAATTCTAAAAAATGGACAAACTTTTTCTTATTCATGAAATTATACCAAGTCATGCATTAGATTTGAAATGCTACATCATTTTTGGTAGCATTTCTATCAATTCATTTGCAATAACTTATGTTAGATTGGCTATTGTAATTGCTCTTCATCATCGTTGTCCAAACTTGGCCTCACCCTTTTTTACACCCTTTTTTACACATCTTTACACATCTAGATATGTTTCTAGATTAGATTTTTAAAAGAATGGTGCACTGCTACAATCTAGATTTTTTCAAAATTAAAGTTGGTTGCATTCGGGTTATTACAATATTTCTTTGATTTATCTCTTTATGGACTATTACTATATTGCTTTGAGTTAACTCCTAATTATATTATTGCTCTGTGAAGATGATATTGCATTGCCATTAAGTTTAAGTTTCCTTTTCCTATTTTTGGTTGTTACTGGATTTATGGCTACACATTAGAGCTAATGGCAATACCTTAACTAATGCTGCCTTGGGATTATTTTATTACCGGATTTGGTGGCTACACATCATAGGTAATGGCAATATCTTAGTTATTTCTGTCTTGCTTACTTACCTATTCTTCTTAGAGAGTTTTGATGCATTGAAATTTGACATTGTTTTTTTGGTTTCGTTTTCAGCAAATTGGTTAGGCTATACACTGACTTGGGATGCTGAGTTTGTTTGGTACTAATGCTGCAATGTTGATCTCCTTTGAGAATTTGCAATGCTTGTAATATTATTTATTACTTGGTTAGGATTTTGTTTTCTTTCTGCTTGGTCTTTTCCCTTAGTACTTTTTTAAAAAAGTTTTTAATCTTTTGTAATGCTTTTTTTCTCCTTTGAGGGGATTTGGTTTGGCCCTAACTTGCTTTTGTACTCCCTCCGTTTGGAAAAAGTGTTCCTATTTTGACTTTGTGTAAAAATAAGGAAGTATTAAATTGTAGTTGACTTCCAATTTTGCCCTTGATGTGATAGGTAAAAGTAAGATGTGATGGATAGATTATTAGAGATAAAGTATGATGTGATAGGTAGGGTATGAAAAAGTAAGGGTAAAAGTGGTTTTTTAATAGAAAGTGGAAGTGTTTTGTTGGAAGTGAAAAAAACGAAAGAGGAAGTGTTTTAAAAAACGGAGGGAGTACTATTTTCTCCTTAATAAAATGCATCAATAAAAATTAAGAAATCATACATTAAGATATCATATTTAAAAATTCATCGATAAAAATTTTGAGCAATTCATTTTTATTTATTTTTTGAATAGCGCTTTGAATTTTATAGTTATAATTTATGTGAGATTATACGAGCCCGTGCGAAGCACGGGGTAGAAAACTAGTTCTTTTTTATTCCACACCATTTTCCCTCTTAACTTTTCTCATGTCACTTTAATAAATCATCATACTTTCTCTTCTTTTTAAATGATGGATTTCGCATGTCATAAATTTATTTTATCTACATTATTTTTATTATAATAAACCAAGAGAATTTATCTGTATAAAAATTGAGTAAATTTATATTTTATGTTCAAATATAAAATTATGTTCTACAAATTTTTCTTTACATTTTATAATTTAGAATCGACATAAAAATTATTATACTCGTAAAACAAATATCAAACCACACACACAACACTCAAATTCGGAGTAATTTTTAAAATTTAAAATTTAAAATTTAAAATTTTCTTTTTTGGTGTAGTTCAAAAAAATAGAATAATAAAAAAGTGGTTTTTTTGTTAACTAAAAACTAACAATTTGAATACAAAAAAATGATACTCAAGGGAGGAAAAAAAATTCTTACCATTGTAAAAAAATCCAAATTTCTAATTTTTTTTTCTTCTTTCTTTCTCCTTTTCTTCATCTATTTTTTTTTCTTTTTTCATTTCTTTCTTTCTTCTCCTTCTTTACTTCCATCCATTTCGTTCTTTCTCCCACTTATTTTTTTAAGAAACCCCCCTAAATAGGAGTAAAAGATATGTCATATCCCAAAATAGGATCTCAAACTTAAACTCCCCTAAATAGGAGTCATTATTCTAATCTCTATTAAAAATATTTTACAACATAAATTCAATTAAAATAATCTTGTATTAATATATACTGTACATAATTTTATTTAAATAATAGTCCAAATATATCAAATTTTAGTATGGATAAATGGCCGACCTTTGAGGCTGCTCTGGTGCATGTTGCCGAGAAGTTCTTGCAACTTCTTGCGCCGGAGGTTTTCGCTGCCGTCAAGAGTGTTATTGGAGAACAACCTCTGATGACAAATTTTCCTCAGGTCTTGCCAGACCAGGAGGAAAATCAGACTGGACAGGTTGTGGTCGTGAGCGGTCGTGACGTCGGGCACGGATCGGTCGGAGAACAGGGCGTCATGGGTGTGGAGGATCTCCTTCGCCATGTCGGCCGAGGAGACGATCACGGTCGATTTGCACCCGCATTACGGGGCCGTACTCCTCCGCGAGCTTTGCCAGTGTCTACTGCGGCTTGTGGAACAAGTCCGAGAGGTTGGAGATGAGGGTAAAAATGGAAGGCCCGGGTGGGAGTTTCTTTTGGTGTTTGGTTTTTGTGATGGTTCTTAGGAGTGAGTGGAGAGTGTATAGTGCCAAGAAGAGGAAGAGCACTCCACATGAGCTCATTGAATCCATTTTTCTCTCTCCTTCTACACATTCTAACATGTGTCCCAGTCGTGCCGCATGATTCGCATAGATTTGGTTTGACATTATGTCATTGTGTAACATTGTAACATTATATATGAGCATATATGACATTATATATGGGCATCTATGTTATTATATATTATCATATGTGACATTACATAGTGCCATGTTTGACATTATTATGTCTTTTTTTGACACTGTATTGACTGTGAATGTGGCACTGTGGCGACGATGGTGCAGATTGTGATGGTAGTGTTGTTGATAATGGTATAGAGCAGTGATATTGTCGGTGGTGACGACGAAAAATCAAAGGCGTCAATGGTAGGTTTCGTTAGTAGCAGTGCGGCGGAGCAAAGGACGGCGATGGTGGAGATTCAAATGATAGTATAGTGAAAGGTATGTGGCGGCGAAAATAGCGGCGGTGGGCATCACCGTCGACGACGATTGCGGCAGTGGGCGTCACTGTCGGTAGCATGCTATTGTGAAATTGGCCGAATTTTTTTTGTTTTGAACTTGGCCACCACTGGTATTGGCCGCAAATGCAGCGCGTGTAGGGAGCATTTTTTTGTTTTATTAATTAAATTAAAATATTTATTTTAACTTTTTATAAAAAAAATGAAAAACTCAAAAACATGACTTGCGAAAAAAATTGCCGCATGCACTGGGTATGTGAATGTGCTCCTTACTTAGTTCACAATGCATCTTTAAAAAAATGTGCGTGGGGAGCATTTTTTGTTTTAATAATTTTGTTTTACTCCTATTTAGAGGAGTTTAAGTTTGAACTCCTATTTTGAGGATATCACATATGTTTTACTCCTAGTTTGTTCCTTCTCCCTATTTTTTTTCCTCGGTGCATCTTGTTTCCCCCCTCCCCTTTTATCTCTTCTTTTCCTCATCTTACTTAAATCACTCCTCTTCTCGTCCCATTTTCCCCATTTCACATCACCAATACTCAAACTTTCCTTCCCCAATAAAGTTGCTCTAACAACATGTGTGATTTGAGAAGTTGGTTAACATTAATGTTGTGTGGTACACATTTTAATTAGGGAAAGGGTTACATAAGGAGAACTTTGTAATGAATTGGGCTCTTTCTTCTAAAATTTCATGGGTCATATTTTTTTTAGTTGCAATAGCCTGAGTACATTTTTGAAATATGAAGTAATAATTTAAATTTACAAGTAGCCATGACACTAACCCATGATACTACTTTCCCTCTACGTCCATAAAAGATTGCCACTCTGCATAAAATAAATCAAAAATTCAAATTTTTCAAGTGATTTTTATTTAAAGATTGATATAAATTTAAAAAATATAGAAAACATTTGAAAATTTAAAAACTTAAAATAAGAGGTGGCAAAAAAATTTCGTTTATCAAATATATAATCAATACAAACAACAACCTAACATAATTCCATGAAAGTAAGGTTTGAAGAGGGTGAGTCTATGTAAACTTTACCCCTAATTAAAAGTAGAGAGTCGGTTTCCAAAAGATCCTCAACTCAAGCTAAATAAAAAAACCACAACGCATAAAAGAAAGAGCAAGCTAAGAGTAGTGAAACCAAATTACGAGAAACAAAATGAGAAACAAATATCAAATAATCAATAAAAAGAAAAGAATTCTGTAATTTTAAAATAATAGTAACAATCTTTTAAAGTGGAAGGGAGCACAACTTTTAAACGCACACCTACATTATTCATTACCTATCAAAATACCATCAAATACCCACTCGAGTTGTGGAGCGGGCGCGGATCAGTAGATGTGTCAAAAAGTCAAGTTCGAACCAGTCCATAATGTTCTATACCTGTACCTTTTTTTAAAAAATTAATCTTGACTCGTACCCGTTTATTCGATGAGTATTGAAGTTTAATCCTAGATTTGAATCTATTGGGTCTCGGTATCGGGTCGGGTATACCCGTGATAAAAGTTGATGTCTTTTATTTTTCCATAATTGAAAAAAATTAGTGAAAAACACTATGAATGAAAAACATTTTAATTGAATACAAAAAAATTAGACTAATACGCTACTGCAAAAAAAATCAGTCTACTTTACCAAAAATCTACAACAAAATATTAGATTCATAATCAACCTTCTGGTCACATTCATCCATGTTGCAAGAATGTTCTTTATAACATTATAACTAATTCCAAACAATTTTTTATACCACTGCAAAAATCAACGTATACATGTTTCTAATGTAGTGAAAAAAATACAAATAGATTTGAAAGCCACGCAACCAACGAAGAAAGGGAGTAGCAAAGAAGAGGGGATGGGTTTTGTAATTTTTAATATTATCCATTTATTTAAACGGTACGGGTTTTAAACGGAACGGTACTACTCATCCTATAGCCGACCCTTTATTTTTTTAAATAACGGGTACGGGTTTAGATATGAGTAAACGGTGTATGATGAAACTTCTGGTTTTAATTACAAGTAAGCCTCCTCCAGTTCATACACCAAGAGTACAATGTCATGGTGTGAGCAGCATCCCTGATTGTAATTAAAACCAGAAGTTTCATCATACTACTCATACATTGTACTTATGGTGTATGATGAAACTTCTGGTTTTAATTACAAGTAAGCCTCCTCCAGTTCATTTAAGCACGTAGTTCATGTTCTTAGCTTGGTTATATGGCAGTTGTAGGAGTATGCAGTGAGGTCAGAGGAACAACAATCGAGCTTAACAACTGCCAAATGGTGGGGTTATCATGTTATTAAACACAGGGGGAGGGAATCACTTTCCATCCCCTCCAACCAAACACTTCAGAAACGTATAATTTAAGCTTGGGACAATAGGAACTCGGTAGGTTTCACCAAATTGTGCACAACTTTAGATAATATTATGACGTTCTCAAAACCTTGGCAGAAAAAAATAAGCATCACCAAAATAACAAGGCAATAGCTCTTCTAGTGAGAGTATAGGATAATACATATGGAAAGCAAAATGGTGAAAGTACAAACCTACTTCTTTTTCTCAACTTTATTCTCAGCGGCAGGAACGGGTTGAATCCTCACATAAGGATTTCTGGTTAATGTCTCTCCTTTTAAAGCAGCAATGTATCTGTCATTTGTGTTCTCCTTCCTTTGCAGCTCTCCGAGATACTCTGCCAGCCTCTCTTTATTAACTTTTCCCATCATCTAATAATGAGAAAACAGAAATTGATTATATATTGCCCACAGCAAAGCAATTGGTGAATGATATCAAAAGAATGTATCAGAGCTAACATGCACAACCAAACAGATTTAAGAAAACGAAAGATGGACTCGGTTGGTTCAGAAAGTGTAATAGTGACTTGAACCTTCATCCTGTTCAACTTTCACACAGAATTAAAATTCATCACGCGCAAAATAGACAAACTAATGAAGCTATCTAAGGGCTTGTCCTCTTCAAGTTATATGATTGGTTGTGATCTAATTCGATTAAGTTCTGATGTGACTGAAGTTATATTTAAAGCTTTTTCTAATCTGATTCAGATAAGAATAAGTAATAAGTAAAATGAATAAGTTGAAGAGAACAAGCTCTAAGTTAGGACTTATGAATAAACAAATCTGTTTGTTTGACATTTTTTGTCCATTCTGTGTAATGTCATATGAAATTATGAATGAATGACATGAAAACACATTCTTCAAAAACAAAAGTGAATAGACTATCAGTCATGTGATGACCCGGGGACACTCCGGTGCCCCGTTCTTAAAATTGACGGTTCCTACCCCCCCTAACCCCGCCGGCAAACCCCCCACCCCGCCCCGCCCCGAACAAACCCCTCCACCCCCTCCAATTGCACCCCACAAGTCGATTTTGACTTTGGAGTCAAAATTTGACTCCAAAGTCAAAATCGACTTGTGGGGTGCAATTGGAGGGGGTGGAGGGGTTTGTTCGGGGTGGGGGGGTTTGCCGGGGGGTTAGGGGGGGTAGGAATCGTCAATTTTACGAACGGGGCACCGGAGCGCCCCCGGGTCATCCCATGACATTGGGAACCAATGTCATGGGAACCTTCCCCGTCATGTAATTGCCAATATAGCACTTTTTCTGAATGAAAATAGCATCAATTATTGACTGTTTTCATACAATTGCAGCAGATATCTTGGTTGAATGATTTCTAAAACAAAGACATGCTTTAGGAGAACTCTACACACTAGACACCCATGAACTTAATTCCTAAAATCAAAAAAAAAAATTAATTTCTGATGGAGAAATCAATCATGTAGTTTGGTTTCCAACGGATCAGATCTACACAGAAACGGAATGAACTTAAAGAATCAAACTGGATTGATCAGTGATAGTAGTATCCTAGGGTTTCGTCCGTTTGAACAATCAGAGTTCTTCAATACAGAAATCAATGAAGCGGGATTAGGGATTTCTGTCAGTGGGTGGAAATGTTGACTTACTAAGCTTTCTGGCCGAGCATCGCGGCGAAGCTTGGCTTCGAGTTCTGGATTGCCGGAGTTAGTAAGCTGCATGACGGTGTACCCGATGACGGCTGGAACGACGCCGCACACGGTGGCGAATGCGATGAAGAACGGCTTGGACTCCTTCGTCCTCCTTACCAGCCACCTCCATGTCTCGCTCTTCTCCCAAAGCATCGACATATCTGCCTCAGTCGTTCTAGAACGCTGTCACCGGTTTTTAACCAATTGGACTCCAATTACAAGCTTGTGGTTCGGGTTAAAACTTGAGTTGTAACTATAGCCTTTATTTTATCCATCACTCCATTATTACAGTTTGTTTTTTTATTAAACTATGACACTATTTGACGACAAATTAAATATAATTAAAAATAGTTAAATACTATAAAATGTGATATTTCAAAACTATATTTTGAAATGATAAATCTAAAATGATGCGAGTACTACTCATGTCATTTGTACATCAGTTAGTTTTGGTATCTACGGTGCCCCGTTTGTAATATGACACTTCCTACCCCCTAACGCTCGCCCTAAACCCCCCACCCCTCCCGCCCTCCTCCCTACCCTGGCAGTGGGTAAGAGGTAGACCTAACAAAAAATGACCTTACCAGTTTTTGACCCAAGATTCGATCCAAAAGTACTGGGCTTCGAATAACGGTTTTGCTGACCGAACCCAAAATTGACCGTACCCGAAATTACCTGTTAAAAATGGGTCAAACCCGACTGAACTCGAACCTGACCTGACCGACCCGCTAATGTAAGAAGTTTTCAAAATTATATGCTTTAATATGTAATATAATGCTATACAAATAAAATTATATGCTTTAATATGTAATATAATGCTATACATTTTTAATGTACAAATTTATATTTTCATACAAAATTCTAATGATGTCGCATAACTATCTTTCTTTTTTTAAATTCTTTTTGCATATTTAGTTTTTTTATTCGTAATATTCTCAATCGGTCATAAAATTTACTTAAAATTTCAAAAAATAAATGAAAGTCATAACCCGTTGGGTCGACCCGAACCCGATGACATTGGGTCATGAACCTGTGGCTCTCAACCTGAACCCGAACTTACCTGAACCCAAGGTGATCGAACCCAAACCTGATCCGACTGACCTTTTTGCTAGCTCTAGTAGGAAGTATCATTTTTACAAACGGGACACCGTAGGTACTCGAACTAATTGGTGTATAAGTAACTGGCGTCATTTTAGACGCTCCCTTTTAAAATAAACTCAATTTTACTAAATTTACATTATAAATATATATATACTTCTTAATAATTCACAGTAAAAAATGTCACAGTTTGACCAAAAAATTTAAAAAATGGAAAGAATTGAAAATATAAAAGGTTAAATCCTTTATATATAAATTTGAGAGTTTGAGGCATATTATGTGGCATTTGATTTATGAGCTAGATTCCATTAAATATTATTTGACATGTGATTAAATTTTAATTTTTGGTCAAAAATAAAATTATTAAAAATATTTTTTTTAAATACGAGTAAATCCTTTCTATGAAATTATTAAGAATAAAAATATTCAACAAATCCTTAATGTAAAGTGATTACACCAATTCACCATCTTCCTCCATTCCTTCCCTATATAAAGGCCACCTTCATCTCTTCAATACTCCACCATTTCAAACAAACCTTATATCTATTCAGTTGTTGGGAGTGAGGAGAACGTAGTGGTGCTGTCATATTAGTGTGAGGTCGCCGGAGTAGAGAGCTATCATCGCCGGAATCTTCGCCGAAAAATCTTCAAAACCTCCATTTAGATTCGAGGTAAGCCCGTAGATATATCCAATGACTAGAATGTTCATATAGTCGTTTCTACGTTCGTAAATGGTCATTTGGTTGAGTTTTGTGTTTGACATGTTTGAAGAACTAAGAATCATAAACCTTGAATTTGATGTTAAAACTATGAATTAATGATACCAAAATGATCTATGAATCTTGAAGAACATTTCTATATAGTTTAATTGAAGTTTGGAAACCAAAAACGGAATTTTCAAAATTGGAGTCGCGAGGTAAAAGACGATGAACAGTGGCTGAAAACACCCAGGGAGGATCGATCATACCTCCTGGATCGATCCAAATGAGTAGTTTCTCTACGGAGGATCGATCCAAAGTGCTGGATCGATCCCCTGACCTGTCTGCTCCGAAAATACTTCTGAAAATGCAATTTTTGAGCTCTAAAATCCTATTTTTGATACCAATTAATTATGATCATTATGAAAATGATTTTTCACAATAAAAATGATGTTTTTAACAAATAAAAGACCTTACGTGATGCATGAAGGTAAGCTAGGGTGTTAACACTTGAAGCTAGATCGCTAGTTGCTATTGCTTTGAATGTTATTATGTTAATTGATGATTATGATCCATGATTATTATGGATTAATGATGATGATTATTCTGAATAAAATGATGATTATGAAGTATTGAACTAGAATCAAAATAAATGGATTGATGATAAATGAGTTGTATTGTTAAGGTTATGTAGAAGACCTCTAAGATAGACCTCTGATTAGAATTAATGGGCATTGCGGGTATAAAAATATATATTTGGTGGCTTTGGATAAAAATGTACGTATGAGATCCACAAATCAAACTAGAGGCACTCGTTTGGGGATACCACCCAACTCGACAGTTAGTATTCTACTATTCGGTTTTCTAGATTTGTACCTAAAGCGAAGGCTAGTTTAAGAGTTGGTAAATAAATCGGAATATATGTACTTTAAACTAATGACCTAGCTTAAGAGTTGGATAGAAGTACCTTGAACTAGAACTAGTTTAATAGATGGTAAACATCAAAAAGATTGGTCTTAGACTAATCATAGTTTAAGGATATTGTGGAATAATGAATATTGAATATGAATGTTGAATGTTGAGATATTCAATATTGAAATGATTTGGAATAAAATTTTTAATATATCATGAATGAATCATATATTGTGTGCATATCAAATGGTTAATTGTGAATTGAGATTTAATTTATGTGGATGTTCGACACTTTAGATATGCTCACTCAGCTTCACCGCTGAGCGTGTATTGTGTTTTATTTGCTACACGCAGGTAGGCAGAATGAGTGATTGGCATCTTCCTGGCAGCGAAAGGGGCGAGACAGTCGTGGTGGAAATTGTGATTAAAATGAATAATTGTGTTGTTATGAAACATGGTTTAAATTTGCTTCCGCATTATTATTAAACACTCCGTATTTTATTATAGTTATGTATTGAATAATATTAATGATGAATAAAGGTATTGAAATGTTTTAAATTTTTTTTACGATTTCCAAATTAATATTTTAGTCCGAAAGGGGCTGCAGACCTGGACGGATTAGGGTGTTACACGTTTAACTCAATAAATTTAAAAAAATGTTTTTTTGGCTTGAATGGTTTCTTATTCAAACATAAAGGAAAAAAGAATTGCATGAGAGTTTGCCAACTGTATCTATAAATTTTCATTCAGAATCATAAGATTGCTAATATTTTTTGTTTGAATATAATTCAAGATTTGACAACAAAGTGAATTGAGACAAATAATCATTAATGTTATTCAAATTATTTAGACATTCCAATCTATGTACCATATATACGTATGTGGGGTAAAGAACACTTTCTATATTTGAATTAAGAAATATATTATAAGAAAACTCCCTAGATAGAAGTAAAAAATTATTAAAATACCAAAATAATAGTCTTAAGTCTTTTAATACCAAAATATTAGTATAATGACAGTGTGATGTAAGAGTATGCATTGGAGTGTGATGGAAAAGTGATAACAATAAGGCATGTGCTATATAATAAAGAAGCACTATTTTTTAATTTGTAATTTTCCCCCCTTTAATGTATTAACTTTGAGCATTGATATACTAAGCATTTACATACTTTTGTATAGGTTTTTCCCATAAATAATTAGCTTAAACTAATAATATAAAACAATTTCAAAATATACAAACAAATGTAAATATTATTCATAAAATTTGAAACCAAAATAACATTACCCTTGAATTTAATTAAAGTATTGAAATAAAAAATGAAAAAACATAAAGTATAGCCATATAATTTTTGTTAAAAAGCAAAAATTCTATATCTTTTTCGAAGAATATTCGAATATATTAGGGAATATGATTTTTTTAAAGCCAAATCTTATAATTTTAAATATTACTTTGCAATTATATGGGAGCTTTTGGTTGATATGAGACTTTATTTGATTGAAGATATTGTAAAATCAAGGTCTTTTTATAAAAAGGTAATTTTTGTTATTTATATAATGATCAATAGGAAATGTACTCCGTATGATATATATACAAAACTCTAGAATTGAGATATGGGTTGAAATTTAATCATTTAGTCCCATTTTAACCATTTTTATATAACTTATTATTTTTCAGAAGATCTAAAAATTTTATGTTTGATTGAGATTGAAAAGTTACTTAATTCAAATAGATGATCCTTATACGAGTTTAGTGATATGTCCTTCCGAAATGACAATCCACTTAATAAACCTTAAAATAATATCTTGGTAGAGGAGTTGAACTATGACAAATAAAAGTGGTCATATGATCTTAAATACTCCCTCCGTCCTAAATCGAATTTCCCAAATTGACTAAAACCCATTTTAAGGGATTGATTAATATGGCGTTGACTTTCAAAAATGCCCCTCCATATAAACCCAAAAGCATAAAAGTTTTCTATCTTTTCCAGTAATCGGGCAGTGTAAACGGTGGTCGGGCGGCCTTCTCGGTAGTAATAAATGAATGACATACACCCAATTAACATGTCTGGCCTGATCAAAAAGCATGGCTGCTAATGAAGCGACATGTAAATTTAGCTAAATAAGAAAACAATTGATGAGTAACAGATTGTATAACAAATCAAAAAAGGGCTGAATTGTGATTTAAAAACAATTGAAAAAAAACTCCAAACGCCTATAGAAAAAGCATACCTATGCCAATTTCTGATTGAAGGTAGCAGCTAATGAAACTCATCATCATCTCCAATTCCGTGAAGCTATTTAGACTTCGAATCACATACCAGCGACCTTACTACTCCTACCAGCATCCTTCTCGCAATCCCAATTTCTAGATGCCGAGTGGAGATGCTGAGATGCCGAGATTCTGATTGTGGAGGGGGAGCTGATGATGATCACACGATCTCAAGGACGACGATGGTTGCAACTCTGATATCTAGATTATAACCAATTATATGCCAAATTTTTTGTTTTACTTTAATTTTAATGCCTACAGTGTTAAAGAACGCATTACATATATTTCTATACTCATTTAAAATACATTGAAGATAATTTAAAAAGTCAATAAAAATTTTGGATTTTGGTATAATTACATAGAGATGCTTTCAAAAAAAACATAGAGATTGTTATAGTTTGGATGAGTTCTTTTTCCTTCATTATTTCAAACCAAGAACAAAGTGTGCCATCTAACTATCCAACCCTTTTACTGTAGTTCCTTCCATCTTCAGACATTTCTACGCAAGTCCTTCCTCGACAAACCTCGAGCTCTTCGGATTTCCGGCCAGAGTTTACAAGGTAATTTCTCCTCTTCCTTTTCCGTTTGTAGGATTCCCAATTCTAGTTTCCATCTGAAATGCGCGCATTTTGATCTGAAATCTAATCTGGACTAAATTACGGAGAAATATTCCTATGAAGCGATCTGAAATCAAATTCGACCATACGGAGTATCAGTTGTCCGAAGTTCAATGATTCAGCTGCATCTGAAAAAAAACTCGCGTCTATTTTGTTTCAAGTTTCAGCTGTTCAGGAGTATTCTCGTGAGAAAAAAATGTTTTTTTTGGAATTTCGTTGGAGAATTCCTCAGTAGCTAAAAGAGATGTTTTTTTTTTTACAATGTTTTAGCTTCGGGTAAATAATGTACAAATCAAAATGGAACATTCACATTCCCTTCTTACTTTCAATGAAGTTTTGGGAGTAAATGCAGCAATGCATCATGGGTCCAAAGGATGTTGTTGTCTACTAGAATTAAGTAGATAAACAATGCTTCTGGTGTTTGTCCTTTGAGTTTTTTGTTGTCGAATGGTATGGCTGTTGGGACAACTGCACTTGGAATTGAATTGCTCTAGTCTTATCAGTTTATTTTTTATTGCAATTCTAATGGGTTGATTTTGTTTATGCCAGCCAAACTGAAATCAATGGCAGGGTCCGGTAGTTCTATGTTATATTCGTTTCTTCTTTTTGTGTCCACTGTCTCCCTGCAAGGAATGTTTAGAGGTCTGCTAGCTTCTTCTGAGTTGTATACTATCCTTGGAGGCTTGACGAGTTCTTTCATATTCCTTACATTGCTAACGGTACAATCCACATTCTTATCTTGTGTGTAATGTGTTTTTCAAAAAGGTGCATGACACAAACAACAACAACAACACAAAGATGATCCCTTGATGATGCAATCTACAATTTGTTCACCTAAGAATTTAGATACATTTCTCCGTCCTGAGAAACACTGTCAAACAGCGACATTCATAATCATTTTTTCTAAATCATGCTTATTGTTATGAAGAAAACTGTTTTTAGTTACCATTTTGTTGTATGTCTTTTGTATGTGTCATGCACACCCTTTGAACTGTGCCAATATGGGTACATGTGTACATAAAACTAAGGTCCAAGGATATGTGTGCTATTTGTTCTACTTAGTTAAGCATTTAATAGAAATTACATTAATATATAAGATTTCAAAAAAATACTTGTAGTTTTCTTTTTCTCTTTAAATGGTTTCATCAATTTCGTAGAATCATTGTTTGTTTCTATGGTGTAGGGTATCTGCTATGCGATGCTTATTCCACATATTTCAATGTTGGTGTCATACATTAAAATGATAAAACATCTACAGATCTTAAAACAATATTGCTCTGTGCTCTTACTTTCTAAAAAGCATATAATTTGCTGGGACTTCCTACAACAAAGTCCACTAGATAATATGGAGTAATTTCTATGTATTTAATGTTCAGTTATGTGATGGGACTTCTTTATACATATACGTAGTGTAGCTGACTTTGATTATTACTCGATTTTGCTAGATTTTCTGTGCATGTGTAGACAGTAGATGCTTTCTTAGCTAACTAGCTTGGTTTGGATATTATGTTCACAGTTCATAGGAAATTATCAAGAGGCAAATGGAAGCAAGAGTGGATGGGGCACAGGTTGTGTGGATTTTCTTTAACTCATTTTTTACATAGTTGCAGTACACAGATGATTACTTTTGGAAGACTTCTAAGTTTGTATTCTTTTTCTTTCTCGTCTTTGTAGTTGTGCTTGCAGAGGCAGTCGCTTTAGTTGCTGCTAGCACTGTTCATCGAGTCTGTATCACAACATGGTAAATACCATATTTCCCCTCATTATGGTTTGAAGCAGTTAATGGTTAAGAATCTTAAAAATATGGATTCTTTCATGTGACTATTGGATCAATTGCAGCCTGATATTTTGGTAAGGTTAAATGTTATTGAGCACTCTGCCCTAACACCCCCTAAGGACCCAATATTATCAATGGCAAATGAATTAGAAGATACTGAAAAATTTGAAAATGTAATATTCTGTTAGTCCCTGTTATTTTTATCTACTTCAGCTTATTGTAGGACATTAACTGGGTAACGTCTCTCTCTAAATACAGAAAGAATTAATATAAATCCTAAGTATATTTGCCCAACTTATAATATCTCTCGACTACCTAAACAAAACAATAGTATATTATATTATATGTTAACATAAATCACAGAAATCTTCCTACACTCCTGACCCCCTCAAGCTGGAATGAATAATTCACATGGCTAGCTTAATATCTAAGTTTTTAAACTGGAGTCTAGGAAGTCCTCTCATGAGAATGTTAGTTGCATGGCTTATGGTACTTATGTAAGGCATGTGCATCAAATCACTGTCTTGCTTAATAAGTTTTATCCACTTATACATGTTTGTTCTACGGAGCAAAACAAAACAACATGGAATAGAATGATAAAAGAGGGCATCTGGATCACGAAGTGACATACGACATTATGGATGACATTCCGTAATATAATGTTTGGAAATGAAAGTTAAGTGTTCGGGTATTGACCTTTTAGACAAGGTGACGTATTGTTAAAGGCCCTTTGGAGTATGATAGAATTTAGGATGGGTATGGACAACTGGATTGGGCAATAAGACACTTGCGTTGAATCACATTAAAAGATTGAATCCAATCGATTAGTTAGTTCAACTCAAAAGCTTATATACTGATTATTTTACTCTTGGACTTCCGATGTGGGATGACACTTTAACACTCCCCCTCAAGTGGACAACCGGGCCATTTTGAATCTAACCGGTTGACCACTTGCAAATGAACTCCCATTCCCTTGACTTTTTTTTGAGCGCCAACACCTAAAGGACCACGGGCTGTTGGGTATGGACTTCCAGACGAGCAATCGTGTTTAAACAGGCCACAGGCCATTGGGTACATACTCCATACGGACAACTGGTCTAAAGACGGACGGGCCGCTAGGAATGAACGTCTAGACGGACACCTTGACAAACGAGGTGGGCCAAAACCTGCTTTGGTACCATGATAGAATTTAGGATGGGTATGGACAACTGGATTGGGCAATAAGACACTTAGGTTGAACCACATTAAAAAATTGAATCCAATCGATTAGTTAGTTCAACTCAAGAGCTTATATACTGATTATTTTACTCTTGGACTTCCGATGTGGGATGACACTTTAACAGAGTAGGAAGCTCGGCAGGAGAAAAAGAAGAAGAGCAGTCTCCCTGTTTGCCAGTAGTTCCAGTGGTTAGAGAGAGACCACGCCCCCTCAAAATTGAGCTTGTTTGCAAGGTTCCCAAATTGAGCTTGTTTGCAAGGTTCCCAATTGGATACATACCTTAAATTCCTTGAAAGGTTCCCAAATGGCATCGTAGTCAGCCCCTTCTTACTAGCTGTTCAAAGTGGGAGAACTCTCTATGTAGGAAAAAAAGACAATAAAAATACCAAAATAGGAGTAGCACTCCTATTTTATGTATTCTATAATACTCTAAAATGTTTTAATATAATGTAATATCTAGATATTTGTATAAGTAGTCTAGAGATGTAATCCTAGTCGTAGAATTATATCGATATCCACCTATAATTAAGGAGGCGAGGAGCTTTAAATATCCTTAAGGGGCCTCATTTATAACCAATCAATCCAAGAGAAATATAAAGACATTATTCTGATTCCAAACTTTCTTTCTCTAGCTTGGCATTCTAAAGACTTAGGTAAGCATCTCAGTAATGCTTCCTAGTATTCTTGATGTGCAAGGTCACCATGCTGCACAGGCTGAAGTTTGATTGAATAATCACCCTGTGACATTATTGTTATAACTTACAACACTTCAACACTTCACTTCCCTCCATTCTCGTGGACACACCGTTTCAGCTGGTTTATGCCTTTATGGCAGAGATCCTTCCACCTTACACTGGTGGTGGAACACGTGTAGTGGGAGTTGACCAGGCAGGATCAAAACACAGTTTTTTGGGTTGCTTGGGAGAAGCTGCTTTTCAGGACTGTTTGAAATGGCATTAAGACAAAGACTGTCTGGAAGTCAAGTTTCAAGTCAGGGATGGGATGTGGCTACCTCTGCAGGCGTGTCGTCACTAATCCATTAGAGGGCAAAAATTCCACAAGCTTCTGCCTTGTTACTTTGAAACTTTCTGCATCCTTTCTTGGATTGGAAAGCTGGCATATCGCTTTGAGTTACAGTCGACATGATCCATTCGACCTTTCGTGTCTAACTTCTGAGGCTTCATCAAGGTAGTCCACTAGATGGGATGGGACAGTTACCAACAGTGGCGTTCAAGTTTATTCTGACCCCAATGATGTTTTCCGTCGACATTAGAATTTGGGAACCAGGGAGATTCTAGTCCGCTGGTGGGGGGGTGTGGGGGAACTGAGGCAGAGGACATTAACTGCATATCTTGACTCCAGCTTGCGGGCAAGCTCAACTTTGAGGGGGGGGAGTAATGTTACGTGTTAAGGACCTAAGGTAAAAATCCTTGACATGGGACGAGTCCCTTGTTGACCTAGGGATCTGAAGTTCAGATCTTATCATCACCCACTTCAAGAAAAACTTTAAAAAGAACTAATGTTCACATGTAAGGTTTGAGCAAACCATTGTCATATTCACGTGAGAGGCAGTGTTGGATCTTTTGGTACATAGGGCCTCTCACTACAAGCTCAATCTTCGGGTTGAGTTGGCTGACTTGGCTCTTTGACATTACGGACGGGAAAACAACTACAGTGGGGCCTGGGCTGATTCGTACACGCAGACAAGGCAGGAGATTCGATTATTCGTGGTATTTTAATGCTTACATTTTTTTTATTAAGAATCCGAGTTTCCTCTTAATTATGGTTCTTTCTTTCTTGAGTTGCTATTTACGATTGTATTAGGCCTTACTATTCATATTGGACGCACAGAATAATAAATCTATCTTTCAGCAAATTATTACTCTGTAATTTCCTAAATTATCTCTGGTTCTTGGGAAATTACAGAGCTTTTCATTGCAGCCACGGACAAAGAAGAACTCGGTTTTCTTCTGCATCTTCCCATCACAGGCCTTTTCGCAACCGCTACAGCTGACCTTTGTATCTTTATTACTGAACACGATGTACTCTGAAACCTCCCCGGTTTCATCCCTTATTCCAAACCCATTATTCCTAAAAGGCTAAAATCAAACCAAACAGGGAAAATCTTTAGGACTGAGTAGTAAAATACACCTTCAACTTTTATATGTGATGTTAAATGTTATCTACTTTTATGCTCTCTTGTTTTTACTTGGTTCTAGTTGTAACTTGAAACTTGGCTCTTTAACTATCTTTTTTTTTTATCGAAATGGAGGGGTGAAGTCCCAAAACATCAAGAGAAGTTCCTCACTATTGATGAATCTTTAACTAGTATCTTTTAGTATTGCTAAAAGTTGTGGTCTTTAATGTTCCAAGTCTGTAAGACTAAAACTAAAACAACCTAAAATTTGAAATAGAAAAATGCTAAATTCACCTCAGCTATCACCCCAACCTTCTCACAAACGTCCATAGACATTGAACATTATGGTGTCTGTGGATGTCAGCGAGAAAAGATGGGGTGAAAGGTGGGATATCTACCCCTAGCATGGTTCTTTCAAATATGTTTTTCTCACGATATCTTAGCCGTTTTTTTAAACGGGAATAATCCTTACATGGTACAGACTACAGTTCATGCAAATATAGTATGGTTTTGTTGTTGCCCTGTGGCAATTAAGATTTGTGAAAAAATATTCAATTCTTTGAAACAATTCTGAAATTTCATTTAATTTTTGGTGCAGCATTTTGTTCTCTGTTGGGCTACTTTACGAGATCAACAAGCTCTCTCTGATGATGGTTTCCAAAAGTGAAGGTAAAGCCAAAAGGTACTAGTTTGGGAATGCCATCCCATTATAATGGTTTTATTTGCAGTCAGTCAATATACTCAGAGGGGTGAGATTGCAAACCATCAACTATAACATGCAGGACTACTTTAGTTTATGCTATTCTCCATATACTTCGGCTACTATACAATTGATATACAAATTTTAATTTTTATGCTTTATAAATTTAAACTTAAATATAGTTTCTCTCAACTTTGTTTTCATTTTTTGTATATTTCTTTTTTTTCATAAAAATTAATGTGATGTTGATGATGTTTTGTTTTCGTAATATGTTCCATTTTGAACATTTTAATACTCCCTCCGTCTCAAATTAAATTGTCTGCTTACTATTCAGAGAGTCAAATTTCATTCACTTTCTTTATTTATTTTCGTTAGTCATTTGATAAAATAAAATAATCATGTGACCACTAGTCATTTGATGTAGTATTTTAATATGTAATTTTTATTTGTTTTAATTATATACCAATTTTCATATAAAATGATTTGAAAATAATTCTAGTCAAACATCGTAAATTGAAACAGACCATATAAATTGGGACGAAACGAAGGGAGTATGATACAAACTACAAAGTGTTAATCATTTCATTTTCTTTGGTACCAAAATATAAAAGTACTCCGTTACTAATTACCATTATTTTGATGTCTGCACTATACTTTTTAGAAGTATTTAGTTTGTCATTATTGGTTTGATATTATAGATTGATACTGCAAATACTTGTCATACAAATAAATGGAATATGACACTTAGCGTTTAAAGTAGTGCAAGTATCAAAGCAATAATGAGAAAATAAATTGAAAAAAAGCATTAAAAGGATTAATCATTTTGACAAAATAAATAATGATAGAATTAATATAGCATTACATATCATTTAATGTTTTGAAAAGATTATTTATTACAAGCATTTTGCTTCAATTCTTTAAAATTTAATTTGCACTAATAAGAAATTTTCTAAAATAATAACACGAATTAAAAAGAGACGTGGATTTTGATATTTCATGATAATGATGATATCAAATTTTCTTTTGATGTTTGGTGAACCCTATGATGATCGGTAACTGTTAAAAATATTTAAGATTTAATATTTCTAGATATTATAAACTCTACAAATAGAAAGTTTCGATATTTTTTGAATTTGCGAAATATCTATGGTGGTTTGTTGTCTCTTTTAACTGACCACCACTCGTCCCGGGCTATACCTCTGTCATTGCCAACCACCCAGATCACATCCCCCCACTACCGATTACTCCGTACTATTTAAATTATGATTTTAAATTTCTCTAAATGATTAAATTTCATATTTCAAGATCCATATCACTTCTTTCAGACTTTAAAACCCGTATCATATCTTAAAAATTTACTAAACTGAAAGTTAATAAATTTATTTTCCAGTCAAATCCTGAAATTAGGATATTCTATGAAGACTGCTGTGGGAAAAGAAGACGGGTACAGATTCGTAATTTGAAGGAAAAATTTTGGACATACTAATTAAATTTGCATCCCGTGCAACTTGAAGTTAAAAGAAGATACGAACAATATAGTCAATAGTTGTATCTTCCGTCATTTGACTATTAGAGGAGTCATTATTACAATAATAATTAGTGACACCCCCCCATATAGACCTAGCTTAGGGCCAGTTTGGGAATATCGTTATAGATCAGCATTAACATTTTGGATTAAATTTTAACGGTGCATATTATTTTAAAAACGCCGCCGTAGATAGTCTTTTCGAAATAGTAACGCTATTCCCAAATCACTCTTACTTTTCTACTCCTTTCGTCCAAAAAAAGAAGAAATGTAACATTTTCCTATTCAAAAATTAAGAAAACTTTTGTTTTTATGTACGATTTCATCGATTATTTTGTTTTTCATAATGTCGCAAGCATTTTGAGACATGGATAGTAAAATCCGATCTTCACATTTTATCCGAAACTTGTACTTGTTTGATAGGGGCAAATTCAAGTTTGATTCTCGATAACTATGCTAAGAGACGATTATGTTCGACTTGAGTTCGATTACTTGGCAATTACGACTTTTGTATTTTGATGAAAACTATTACGGAGTATAAAAAAGACAAAAGTGAATTTATATATTTCAAATACGGAGTAATAATTAATTAAGGTGGTTTTTAATTACACTGTGTGTAATGGTGAAAGGCAGCTTATCCGGGTGGAAGGAACCGAATTCCCATTCACCAAACAATGGACCAGAAGCACTTCACGTGGGAATATAATCAAAGGCTCTCTTTTAAAGATATATATTTATTTATTTTATTTCAATTTATTTTTTATTTTTCCTATAATTTTGTGCATTGAATATGTTGTTATATATATACACGTACACATAAAGATGACATTACTCCTTGCCAAAAGCAAGAAAGCAAAGCGGCTAATATATTTTAACTGCCGGCATTTGTTGTGCCTATGAAGGTAAGAAAAATCTTCCATAGAAGTACTTAATTATTTTTTTTTAAATTTTATACTTTAATTTGAAATATTGCATGGATGAATTGGTCTTTGTTTGGGAATAATATTTTCAAATATTAGCATTTTAGATTACTTTTAATGATGTAAATAAACTTTGAAAATATTGAACACAAACTCGATCTATTATTTAACAATTTTAATTTTCTCAAAACGTTAAAACTAAATGATCGACACACCCTGGTTGTTCATTTTTAACCTAGAGCCTTGAATTGGAGCACTTACTTTCGTTTAAGTGTTTATGAGGGTAGTTCGATTTAGAATGTTTGACTTATATTTTTTAATTTAATTCATTTTAAAATTAGAATTGAAATAAAAAATTAAAAAAATACTCCATATATTTAGAAAATAAAACACGAGTTCTACTAGATATAGTAGAACCAAACACGGTGTATATTTTCCATTTTATTTTTTTTCTTTTCCCTTTCAAATTCCTTGAACTAAACATAGTGTATGTTAAGTAAAAAAGAGAAAACTGAAAATGAGGCAAAGTGAGTTTTTTTTTCCTTTCCCTGCTTTTCTTTTAACAAATTGTCTACGTACATACGTAAATTACATCACAACTATATATAACAGTTCAAACAAATATTCAAAATCCGATCCTTAAAAAAATCAAAATCTGAAATTTCTCAATAATAATAATAGTAATTACAACAAGAATACACAAGAAAGAAGAAAAAAATTGCCAAGAATTGTTTTTTCGAAAAAAAGAAAAATTGCCCTAGAAGGATAAAAGGCAAAAGGGGGAAAATAGGAGAAGAGACATATATTTCTTGGCATTATTTGCTTCATATATGGAACCCAAATCACAACAAGAGATTCTACTAGTGGCTGCCCACTTGGCTCTTAATTATATTCATTCATAAATTAGGAGTAAATGGTTAAATATATTTTCTATAGGGAACCTAAAAATATTCATTCATAAAAATAAAATAAAAATGTCTTATTTCTTACTCCCCCAAGCCGGCCAGGTAAATGTTTAGATGAAATTAAGGCCCATTTCATAATTAATAATGGACATATTTTTAATGAAAATAATGATTAAAATTTGTCTCGTTTCAATCGCTCAAAAAGTCAAAATCTTTTTTACAAAATAAGAAATAACATGATTATATTATTTTATCAAATGATTAATAAAAATAAGAAAATAAATAGATAAATTTGGCCGTGTGAATAGTAACCGGAATTTTTTTTAGAATGGGGACGTAATTATCTGCTGCTTTTGTTGCTTCGATTATTGTTTTGCTTTTAAAAAAAATAAAAAAAACTGCTACATTACCTTTTGATTGAGATTTTAATATATTAAGAAAATCAGAATAATTAATAAAAAAAGTAGGAATTAAGTTTTTCAAAGTACATACTTTTGTAGCACATAAAATATATTCCTTCTACTTCTTAAAACCTTTCTTGTTTTAAAAATGCGCATCTTAAAAATGACATTCCTCCGTCCTATAAAACATTTTAACTTTCACATCTTACTGGCCACATAAAACATTTCAATAGGTTAGTAGACACAATTACCTTTAATTGCTTTTCTTAGATCTAACCGAACGTTTGTCAACTAACTTTTACGGCCTATTCATTTTGACATTTCCCAAGTCATACTCGTTTCAATTGTCGTTGTTTAACCTTGGTCAAACTTTAACAGTAACTCCTCCCAAAAATCAAAAGAGAAAATGTTTTACGGAGCGGATGTAATATCATTTTGGTATTATTTTCTAATTTAATCTTACTTTATAATTGGATAGGATATGATAGGTAAGATAAATAAGTCATAATTGAAAAGTAATCACACCAAAATTACATACATTTAAAACGTGTTCTTTTAAACAATAAAAATTTTTGGGACGGAAGGAGTAGAACTATAAATGTGTTACAAATCCACATTAAATACGGAGACAATAACATTAATAATAACAATTAATACAACAATAATTGTCCAATATATAATAATACTCCTAATTCATAACTTGAAAGAAGACATAAAAGCCAGCATAAAAAATGAAAAAAATTATAGATATAGTCAACTCTAAAATAAATAGGATGTACCGGTGCAGCGGAGATGACTCAGATGAGTAGATTGTTTGATTAAAATAATAATAATAATAATAATAATAATAATAATAATATTTTCACTCCGTATTAGTTTATAATAATAATAATCCGCCCTCTCCCTTTAAAAAAATGAATAAGAAAAAATATTCACATGGTCAAAATACTCTCTTCGTTCTAAAATGATCTTTTCATTAACTATTCACATGATCAAACTTTAATCACTTTCTCTACCTATTTTCTTTAGTTATTTCATAAAATATTATACTCATGTTTGTTTTGTAAAATTTTTTATGTAGTTTTAAAATGTATAAGTTTTATTTATTAATTTTACACTTATAATGGAATAAATTGAATTAAAAAATATTTTTAGTCAAACCTCAATTTTCTTAAACCGAACTGGGAAGATAATCTTCGGACGGAAGAAGTATTTACCAAACCTACTCCATAACAATGCTCCATATATCTTTAGTAGATAGCTAGGTAGAAATTATGCTCCGGGGTTATAGATAGGTAATAATAATTTTCTTTTTGAAAAAAATAATTATTTTTTGAGAAAATAATTATATAGCACTCAGAAAAGTATGAAAATATTAATTTAATAATATTGATTCATATAAAAGTACGGAGTAATAATAGTAGAAATGTAAAAACGGTAAAAATGAAGTAGTACGTAGCATAAGTTAGACTCTTTTTTTAAGTCGAGTTAGACTTTTTAAACTTGCAGTAAAATTTAAAAAAAAATTACCAAAACTACTCGGTAATAATAAGTGTTTGATCATCATATCAAACATGAAGGCCGACTAAATTGCAATTGTGATTCTATTAGTAATCTCCATTCAGAAAACTAGAGAGAAAAAATGTACCCAGTAGAAATTATTTTCACTAGTTTTGGTTTAAGGAATTTGAAAAGAAAAAAGAAAAGAAAATAAAGTGGAAAGCTGATATTCTTGTTTGGTTAGAGAAAAAGAAAGAAATGAAAAATGAAAGGAAAAATGTACTAAGTGAAGAGAAATGAAAGAAAATTAATATCTTTTCTTTTCTTTGTAACCAAACAGGGTGTTAGTGTGACGGACCAAAAAGGGAAGTAATTAATTTAATTTTGATTTTTGTGTGGAATACTACTAATAGACCGTTACCTACCACCCATATCAAACAAAACAATGATGAAATTAAATAGAGAAAAAGTTTTATAGCAATGAATACATTATTTATATATTTTGGGTTTGAAGTTTGAACTTGAATTTGTACCTAGTGTTATAGATAGTTTATACAAACATACGTACTAATTCTGATTTATATATACATTAAAAAAATCAACCAAAATAACAGTAAATTTAAAAACAAATTTTTTATCTTCGAAATAGGAGTGATATTTTTTATTTCTAAAATAAAACTATTATACGGAGTACTATATATGACACTCTGACCACGCTATATATTGATATTCTATATTATTTTTTGATAATATATGTTGACATTATAAATATATCATATTTTGGGATAAAAATAGTATAAACATTTTGTTTTTATTGTTACTCCGTATTTTCTAGTTTTTTTTTTCAATTATTTGTGATCAACATGATTAATTAGGTCAACAGAACTTGCATCTGCTTCACGATTCTTATTGAGTCAACTTGTATGTAATCACATGTTAAATGTGAAGTGTTCTTAGGAACATTTATTCATGTCTTAATTGTTCATATAAGTTTGATTTATGGAGTAATTTTCTCGTTTCTTCTTCAATTCTTCTTATTCTACGTCTGGGTGCATGTTTAAAAATATATAATTTCTTTTTTTTCTTTTTGAATTTAATTTTTCTATTTCTCATGTTGAAACAATTTTCTAGAAAAGGTATTTTGGTCAAATTTACCCCACAATCAACCTACCTCAAAAATGAGAAAAAGTCAAAATAAGAAATATTGATCTGGACGGAGGGAGGAATAATAATTGAAATGCAATAATAATTAATTAGTTGGGAGAAACATTATTGCCAATGGGTTATAATGAATTCAATTAGACGGATAGTAAAGTGAATTCAACTAGAGGGTTATAATTTCTTTTTACTGCAATTTGTAACCTATATAACTCAAAATTGTTTTTTTTTTAATCTTGCGACATGTTAGAGATCCAATAACCCTTTTGTAAAGTCAAAGAAGGGATGAAAAAGATTTGGAAAAAAAGTTTGGGGATTGTAAAGTGAATGGGCCTAACATAATCTTCACAAGTCACAACCTTATTAGCTTACTTGTCAACTTTAAGCAATGTGGCATATATTTTTGTTTATTTACTTTTATGAAAAACATTGTGCTTAAAAATTTAAAACTTTTTGGAATAATGAATTTAAAAAACAAAGACTTTGTTTGTTAGCATTAATGTTTTAGATAATTTGTTAACGATATCGATTTACATTGAAAATATTAAAAATAAACACTGATATTTTTATATTCTTTTTTAAATGCTAAAATCAAAAGTCAAATTTGTTTTCAAACAAGCTCAAACTCTTCTAAATTTTTAATCTACTATACTTGTGAGTGACACTTAGAAAAATCTTTAACCAAATGAAGTACTACGGTACTACTACTACCAAGTATAAATAATGTCCCTACAATGCAAATTAATTAGTGAGTCATTTATTGTTATTTATTGATAATATTTAAGTTTTGGTGAGTGGGTAGTATATTTCAAATGTGGGCACAGTATTTAATGAATGTTACTCCAACAATCACACTCTATCTCTCTCTATCATACACTATAGTCTATCTCTCTATCACATTCTCCCTTTGTCCAATAAAATCATCATCGTTTCAAAAAAATTGCATTTTTTAAAGTCATTTCTATATCTATTAAAAAATCACTTTTAATCCTTACTTTTTCATACACTACATATCACATCATATTTTTTTCCTAATAATCTACACATCACATTCTATTTTTACCCATCACATCAAGGGCATTTTTGGAAAGTCAATACAAAATTATCCTTCTTTATTTTACCACTTTAATCAAGCCGTCCCTATCTTTATGGGACGGAGAGAGTACCTCGAAAAAGATAAAAAAAATGAAAAATGCTAGTGTCAAACATAATGGTCACACTAGACAAATTTGATATTTATGTATTTAAATTTTGTTCTCTTGATGATGTGTATAAATTGTGAAATGTGCAATTTGTAAGGTAACCACTGTGTTTGTGACTATAATATTTCAACTCCGTAGTACGTATCAAGACAAGATCTTTAAGTAAATCTAATTACATTAAATCTATAACTAAATAAAGAATATTTTTTCTCAAATTTGCAATTAAAATTTGTGAAATACCCAAAAAATTAAGATGTAAAAAGATTTTAGGAAGTGAGAGAAAGATAAATATCAAGATAAAACAAAAAGAAAAACATTATTCACACAAAACTATGTGAAAATCAAACCCAAGAAATATACTACATCCGTCCCATTGTCTTTGTCCACATTTGACTTTTGGAATTGTTCATCTAAGCAATTTGACTCATCAAATTCTCTCAATGTGTAAGCCTAAAAATAGTCATGTGTGATCTTGTTTGATTTGTTTTAACATATAGATTATTAATATATAATTTCTATAATTTTTTAATATACAAATTACAAAATAAAATGGATTAAAGAAGTGCATTGGATGGTGTGCCAAAAGGTAAGTGGATAAAGACAGTGGGACGGAGGGAGTGGGACGGAGGGAGTATTTATTATATTTAAAATAATACGGTAATGAAAATGAGGAGTGCATGTCACCGCCTAGAGAGTCAAATCCCGGGGCGATTTGTTAGATGGGAATGCTCTCCCCTCTCCATATACATACATACATTTCTCATCATCATCACATTATTATTGTTATTTATTTATATTCCATTCTTGTGTTATTTTTTGTCAAAATTCAACCAAGATTCTCCTCCATCAAAGATTCCTTCTTCTTTCCTAATTCCTTTCTTTTTTTAAAAAAAATGTGTGTGATTTAATTTAGTCTGTGCCTGAAATTAAACAACCATTTCTTCGATCAACACTCATATATATGCTTCTTCCTCTTTCTTCATCGCTCTGATTTTTTTTCTTTCTTTTCTTTGAACCAAATAAATAAATAAATAAAGATGGTGGGAGAGGACGCCGCCGTGAAGCACCAGAAAGTCGGCGACTTCTCGATCAACGTTGCCGGCGGCGGCGAATCTAAGTGCTTCGACGACGACGGCCGCCTTAAGAGAACCGGTATGTTGGATCTTCCCATTTCTTTTTTGTTTTGATTTAAGCGTTTCCTTTTTGTCTCTCTATAAAACTCTTTATAAAACACCAAAGTCAAAATCTGGTTAGGGGTGTGTTCGGACCGGGGCGGGTGGAAGTTTACCGGGGATTAAGAGGGTATAAAGTGTTAATTTTGCGAACGGGTCAACGGAGCATCCCGACTCATCCCATGACATTGATTCCCAATGCCATGGGAACTGGTCCTTTGTTTTAGACAAATTAAGTGAGTGTTTGGAAGTGATGTGTTTGAATATAGTTTTGGAATTTCTAATTAATTGAAACATAATTTTAAGTATTTGCAAGTTAATTTTAGATCATGTATTGTACGTTCAAAAGTGTAAATTGTGCTGTAAAAGTGTTTTTCTCAAAAGCTTGGAGTAACTGATTTCAGTTTCTGATTTAGCATTTTTGTTTTTTCAAGAACTCACTGCACTCTCAAACACACTCTATGAAATACTACGTACCTTGATCCCTATTTTTCCGTTTGGATTTTTTGTAGTTAAATTGATAAACTTTAACCGTACCATTGAATAAAATTTATATTAAATATTGATACAAAAATAATTTTGTTAGATTTATCTTGTAAAATATGTTCAGAATATATATTTTTTCAGAAAGTATGTAATTTTAATTTTATTATAAGTCAAAAATTGATATTGAGTGACAATAAAAAGATCAAAATAGACATATATTCTGAGACATAGAGAGTAACATTGTAATACCAATACTCTCCATATGTCCTAGTTTAATTTTGACATTTTTAATCATGTAATTTAGAAAAGGAATAAAATTTATTTAGATGAAAGAAGAGAAATATAGATCACATATTAAAAAAATGTGAAATGTTTTTTTAGAAGTACAAAACATATGAATCATGCACTAATCATTTTTTGTACAACTAAGAAGTGTGAGTAATATTTTATGGATGAATGAAAAAATAGTGTATGAATGATTTTGATATTTACTCGATCATGATAAAAACTTCCTTTTATAAAAAGTTAACTTTTTTACGGTCCCAAAAAATATTCTTCTTCTAAAAAAGAATCGAATGATGAATAATTTTTTGTTATTGGACAGATATTACACTAATAAATGTATTGAAAAAAAATTCTTAATTCTAAGTATTTCAACTTTTTTCCTTTGAATTTTTTGAAGGTTGACCATTGACCCAATAATAGACACAATAGGACATGCACCTGGGCCCCACGTTCACCAACCTGTTTTAATTTGTACTCCGCCCATCTGTCTCTTTCACTCATGTGCCCCTCCTAATTCATCTCAATTTAAATTATACCATCCTTTCCATAAAAATTTTTTTCCTTTCTTTTTTTGAATCATTTTTAGTCCTATTTTTTCATATCTACCCATCACATCATACTCTTTTACTAATAACCAAACTATCACATCTTACTTTTATCAATCATATCAGAGACAAAATTGAAAAAGTCAATCAAAATTACACTTTCTTTATTTTTGTCCAAATTCAAAATGGGAATGGTAGGAATAGAGGGAGTAGTATTTTTTTCATTTGTTTTTTAAATTAATGTGTTGATTTTAATTATTAGTAATTTGTGGGGGTCAATAGAGAAAAAATTAATCTCTATGTCTGAAAAAGAATTAGTAGGGTAAAAGTAGTTCCTTAATATTCAATTCATTCCATAAAACCTTTCCCCTTTCGTTTTTTTTCTAATTTCTTAAAACGCTTCAACTTTCTATCTAAAAAACATTTTTACCCCTACTTTTTCATACTCTACCTATCACATCATACTTTTTCACTAATAACCAAACTATCACATCTTACTTTTACCTATCACATCAGAGGCAAAATTGGAAAGTCAACTAAAATTAATAATTTTTTTATTTTAGCCCAAAATCAAAATAGAAAGGGTTTAAAGGAAGGGAGAGAGTACAAAAGAGAAAGCAATTTTTACTGAGCTCGGGCTAGTTTTTCTTTACTTTTGAACATTTGTGGCAATTTTTACTAAATAGATGAGAGATATTATTTGGTGTATTTTCTTTAAAGTAGGCCGTACTGTTTTTTGTTTGAAGGAACTGTGTGGACTGCAAGTGCACACATTATAACGGCCGTGATTGGGTCTGGAGTGCTGTCTTTGGCATGGGCCGTGGCCCAGCTCGGATGGATCGCCGGCCCAATAGTGATGATCTTGTTCTCTTTCGTAACCTACTTCACCTCCAGTCTTCTCTCCGAATGCTACCGCTCCGGCGACCCCGTCGACGGGAAGAGAAATTACACCTACATGGACGCCGTCCAGTCAAATCTCAGTAAGTTCGTTGTTCTTTTTCGTACGGTTTCACGAGACCGGAAAAATTTCCGGCGGTTTCAGCCGGTGACTGGCCGGAGGCGTGTTTGCTTCTTTTTCAGGCGCGCTTCAGGTGAAGATTTGTGGGGCCATTCAATATGCAAATCTGTTTGGTGTAGCTATTGGTTACACCATTGCCTCTTCCATTAGTATGATGTGAGTAACCTTACTTTGACTTTTTCGTTTGATTCTAGTTTGACTTTTTATATCCCACTTTTTTAAATTTTTTGGATATTTTTCTGTGCTTATAAGTTGGTCAAAATTATTTATAAATTATTTTTAACTTATAAGAAGTTGAAGAATTTCTCCATGCTTGTGGTTATTGATTTATTGCTTATAAATACGAGTAATTTTTAACTTTGCTTATAAGTTAAATATTTTTTTGTGGAAATAAAATAACTAATTTTTTTTGAGTAATCAGTCACAATTCAACTTAAAACATTGTCTAATACGGAGTACATCGAAATAGAAGGCAAATGTACAACAGAACGTGCCAACAGACCTTTTTGAATAGCAAAATTAAGTCTTTTGAAAACTACATTCATAAAACGTGACTTAAATGACAGATGTCATTTGACGATATTCATAAAAGGTGATGAGTAGTTTTGTAAATCATCCGACCGAAACGAGTAACAAGCTGCTTATACATTAAGTACTTTTTTGTGGAAATAAAATGACTACTTTTAAGTAATCACTCACAATTTAACTTAAAACACTGTCTACATCAAAATAGAAGACAAAACGTGCAACAAGCTGCGCTGCTAGACCTTTTAAAATGGCAAAATTAAGTCTTTTGAAAACTAAATTCATAAAAAGTGAATAAAATGATAGATGTCATTTGGAGACATTCATAAAATGTGAGGTATGGTTTTATATATCATCTGATCAAAACGGAGAAACACGAAAAATTATACTCCGTATGTTTTTGTTCATACTCTATATGAGAAGGTATGGCTAGTTTAGAAACAGAGGATAATGAAAGAAATGTATGAACCACAGGGCAATAAAGAGGTCAAATTGCTTCCATGCGAGTGGGGGGAAGAACCCGTGCAGGATAAACAGCAACCCATACATGATCATGTTTGGGGTGGTGGAAATCTTCGTCTCCCAAATCCCAGACTTTGACCAGATCTGGTGGCTCTCCATTGTGGCTGCTGTCATGTCCTTCACCTACTCCACCATTGGCCTTGCCCTTGGCATTGCCAAAGTTGCAGGTTCATCTTCTTCCTTCTTCTACCTGCTATCATGTTCTTGCTGGGTGATCACCAGTCTTTCTCTTTGCTCACTTGCTGTTGAACTGCAGAGAATGGGAAGGTGCTAGGAAGCCTCACTGGGATTAGCATTGCAACTGTGACTCCAATGCAGAAGATATGGAGAAGCACCCAGGCTCTGGGAGACATAGCCTTTGCCTATTCCTACTCCCTCATCCTCATCGAGATCCAGGACACCCTCAAGTCCCCGCCCGTAGAGTCAAAGACGATGCGGAAGGCGACCATCACCAGCGTCGCGGTGACCACCTTGTTCTACATGCTCTGCGGCTGCTTCGGCTACGCCGCGTTCGGCGACCAGTCCCCCGGCAACCTCCTCACCGGCTTCGGCTTCTACAACCCCTTCTGGCTCCTGGACATAGCCAACGCCGCCATCGTCGTCCACCTCGTCGGCGCCTACCAAGTCTACTCCCAGCCCCTCTTTGCATTCGTGGAGAAAACCGTTGCCGAACGGTACCCTGAGAGCCGGTTCATCGCCCGGGAGATCCCGGTCTCCGTGCCCGGATTCAAAGCCCCCTTCAGACTCAACCCGTTCAGGTTGTGATAGAATTTGGGATTAGTTAGTTCAACTCAAGAACTTATATATACCGATTATTTTCCTCACACTTTTCCGATGTGGGACACTCTTAACAGGTTGGTCTGGAGGACGGCTTTCGTGGTCACGACCACAGTCCTCTCCATGCTCCTGCCTTTCTTCAACGACATCGTCGGGATCCTCGGGGCGTTCGGGTTCTGGCCCCTGACCGTTTACTACCCGATCGAGATGTACGTCGTCCAGAAGAAGATCCCGAAGTGGAGCACCAAATGGGTCTGCCTCCAGATGCTCAGCGCCGCGTGCCTTGTCATATCAATCATGGCCGGCGTGGGGTCCTTCGCCGGAGTCGCCACCGATCTAAAGGTCTACAAGCCCTTCAAAACCAGTTACTGAGAAAAAAAAGAAAGATCTCTTGTGTGTGTTGTTGTTGTTCTTTGCTTTTCCATGTTTATAGGAAAATTTTCTTGACTTTCCCGCCTAAACTGGCAAGTGTGCCTCTGATTTTCTTCATTTCAAAATATATAATAGAGAAAAGTCAGATCAGTGTCTACATGTCATTCCATAACTAGTTGTACTATATGTGTTATCAGTGTTTGTAACAGCCAATTTGTTCTTCATTTCCAAAAGTGTACTCATCTATCAATGTCTTTGTGTCATTCGCACTTTTATCATTTTTGGCGTATAATATATGAAAATATTTATCACACTTAAGAGTTAAGAGAACTCGCGATCATTAATTAACGCTCAAAACCGAGAGTGGACCTTATTAGTAGTTATGCCCAAAGTTTGTTCATTTAACGTTTATTAAAATGCCAAAAATCCCAACGACGCCTATCAAGATATTTATGTTTTGAGGGAATATGCCAAGGACAAAAGGCTCACATTTCATTCCCATGTGCAAAACTTTAGAAATTCTTAACCTCTCTTTTGCAGATGACCTCTTAATTAGTGGTGTGCAAGGCATAGGGGAAGAATATAGGCTGCATAATGGAAGCTTTGGAACATTTCAAGCTCTCCACTGGCCTCCAACAAAACTATGACATATTGAGGTCTATTTGAAAAGTATTTGCTACCTGAGTACTTCTTTGACTTCTATCCATTTTAAGAGGCTATATAACAAAATTTAACATTCTTTTAATAAATAAAAAAATAAATTTCATAATTGGTCCTTTATAATAGGAGATTTTCCTATTTAGTCCTCTATTTTTAAATATTACCATGGTGGTCCTTTTATGTGTATCTTTCCACAAATAATCTTTTTTTATCTTCTATCATGTAGGTGTTAATTTGAAGGCTAAAAGTGTAATTTCACAATGATAATATATCTTTCTTGTCATACACAATTCCATAGGCCGCTCTTGATCCGTCTTTTGTAAATTAGAATCGCTTTCTACTTTAACCATAGTCTACAAATATGGTCTTTCGTCGAAATCATAGTCCACAACCATATTCATTATTTTTATGTTATCCGTCTAACCAATATCAGAATAAGTCACTGGACATAAGGTTGATGTCAAATTATACTTTTAGCCTTTAAATTAACACCAACATGATATAAGATAAAAAATGACTATCTGTGGAAAAGCACCCAGAAAAGAAGGACTACATGAGTAATATTTGATAATAAATGACTAAATATGGAAACTTCCTTGTTATAGAAGAACAATTATGAAATTTACTCTAAATAAAATGTACTCTTTTAGACTCATTGTTTTTGAGACATGAGAAGTTACACAAAAATTCAGAAAAGTAAGATTGTATGATTAATATCTATGTGAGAAAGTAAGAAATAATAAAATTGAGGAAAATTTATTCAGTTTCAAAAATAATTTTATCTTTCACTGTGATGCATAATAATCTCAATTAAACTCAACGGGTGATTCACATAAATGAATTGCTTTGTGCAACAAATGACAGTTGAGATTATTTTTTATGGAATTTTGTTTGGGAATTTTTCCTTAAATTTTTAAAATGACTTTCTTCTCTACCATTTCTTTTTCTTTTCTTAAAGATTAGTCTTTCCTCGTAAAAATAGATATAAAAAATAACGAAAATGAGAAAAACATCTAAAAAAACCATACAAAATTAATAAAAATATACTCCGTATAAGGTAATCAATAAAAACTAACCTCAAAGTGCTAAGAAACAACAAAATACAGGGCGATGGGTTCTAACATCTTACACACTACGAAGTATGAATGTATTACTTAATCCTTCAGTCAAATATGAAAATAAAAAATAAGAAATTAAAAAATTATTTTCTTATTAAACCCATAAAGGAATAAAACAATTATTTTTTATTAAGAAATAACTAAAATGAAATTAGTTGAAGAAACTAATTTTTTATTTCTTATACTCCTTATTTTATTTGTATTTCCATTTTTAGGGTTGTGTAATAAGAATATTTTTTTCTTGTTTTTATTTTTATTTTCATTTTTTATCTTTGATGAAAGAAATACATTAATATTTCATATAATACCTAAAATGTTAAAACCAACCACTTTATATATCTTTAGTTTTATTTCTTATCAGTTTGAGGTTATTTCTATTGGTTATATTTTTATTTCATTAATTTTGTATGATTTTAGTTTTTTTCATTTTCGTTATTTTTTATATCTATTTTTTTCTGATGTAAGACTAATCTTTTTTAAAAAATAATTGATGGAAGTAGAAACTCATATAAAAAATATAAGAGAAATTTCAAAAATAAATAAATAAAAATAAAAAAGAAAATTCATAAAAAATAATCTCAACTTTCATTTTGTTGCACAAAATAGACCTTGTTAACTAGCTGTTAGTAACTTAACGATGACCAAGAACTCACAAATTTCAGTAAACTTGAGAAAAATATTATGCATCATGGTGAAAAATGAATTTATTTATGAAAGAACATGTATAGTTGAGATTGTTCTAAATATTTTTTTTTCTAAAATTAAATGTGAACTACACACATATGATTAGATATGTTACCCATTACCACATCCACACTTGAGTATTTGTCCAATTTTAACTTTTTACAAAAATCATTTTTAACATTTGACCTATAATTAAATAAAATATATGTGTTATATTAATTAGATAAAATGATTTTTTGAAATTATTTTATAAAATAAATCTAACGAATTTGTTTACCAATATTTAATACTCTCTCCGTTCTATAATGATCTTCCCGGTTCGCAAAACGAAGAAAAATCCCAAGTTTTTTCAATCTATTTTATTTAAATATTGGTATAGAAATAAAAAATAAAACATACATATTTAAAAACTACACCAAAAGTTTAACAAAACAAGTGGTGACAAGAATATTTTATTTTATCATATAGGCCATGAAAAAACACAAATAAATATAAATTCCCGTAAAGTTGGAATAGTGCTCTGGGAAGATCATTATAGGACGGAGGGAGTATCATTTTTATTTAATTTGTTGTTAAAATTTACTAATTTTGACTAATTTTGGCAAGTGACATCCTCCTCACTAGTTCAATCACTATAATACAAACTCATTCAACATTCATTAATTTTTGGAAAAAATCTAGGTGTACTCTAAAGTGTTATACCTATTTTTTTGGAAAAACCTAGGTCCTAACCTAGAAGAACGCGTCCCATTTTTTTGTTTCATCCAATGTCATGGGACCAAATATAAGTCCCACTTGAATGCCAACTAAGAAAAGATAGATGAGATGAGATTTGCATTGGACATGCTCTTAGATATCTTTATTGAATTGCTGTAATGATCTTACACCAATCTTTTTGTGTAAAATTATCATTCTTCTATTTAATCGTGTAACTGTGTAAGGAAGGTTTCCAAGGCATTAGCTCCAATTGAGGTATCTATGGTGTTCGATTTGTAAAATTGATGATTTATACTTCTAATCAATGGTTCATTCCCACTTCGTCATGACTCGAACTCACTCTCCAAATTTTCAATCGGATAATGCTACATGTACCCCATATTGTACCCCAATGTTTTGCCGTGACATTAAATGTAGGTGCAAAACTGGTAATATGTCAGTGTTGCACCTACATTAAATGTCAGGTTAAAGCTTTGCGGTATAAATTGGAGTACAAATATGGGGTACATGTAGCATGATCCTTTTCAATTACACCACCAAAGTTTAATTAACTTTATGGCAAAATATTTTAACCCAAAAGTCAACTAAATTTAGAGTGTAATTAAAGGCATATTGGGTGGGTTCGGGTCAGAACGAGGTGAATAGTTTTCCAAGGCAAATTTCTCCGTGCTTCTAAGGTCCATGCTCGTGTTATGGATATTAGTACATCGATATCATAAAAGAGTTGAGCCTTTGGCAAAAAAGAAAGAGAAAAGATTCTCTTGACAGCTCATGAAAAGTGTGAGAAAGTTCACATTTTACTTGTGGATATTAAGATCTCGGAAGAAAAACGTAACTCGTTTACCAAGAGGTTAGACAGGTAAGAACCATCAACTTTACGAATTGAGTATCGTAATTATCCCACTAAGAAATAATCTAAAACGGGAGTAAAATATAACCCTTATTTCTAAAATAAGGGTAACATATTTTTATTCCAAAATCTGAGTTTGCACCGTGACAAATTAATAATACATTCCCATCCCACAATATTTTTTTTGAATGAACATCCCACAATATTTTTTTATTTGTAATTTGATATTATTGACATTATAATTTTTATTTTAAAAATAAAAATTTGAATTTTCTATTCTAAAATTTTTGGGGGTTTGCTAGGAGTATCCTAAGTTGGTATACTTCAAATATATACCAGCTTTCTCAGAGACACGATCAGACAGTGGGTGAATATGTATGAGAAGCTAGTTTTCTATATTTACTTCAAGTTTACTTTTTTTTCTTCTAATTGGATCAATGTAATGGAATGAGATTGAAATACAATGTCGAGCCCGGTGAATTATTTGGATTATGCTATGTGTACCCCAAGATTTATACCCTAGTTTGTATCCCGCAGTTTTGCACCAACATTTTGTGTTGGTGTAAAATTAATTTTTGTTAACGCACCAACATTTGTGTCCGTGTAAATTTTTATTAACGCACCAACACTTGTGTCAGTGTAAACCATCAAAATGTTTGTACAAAACTGTGGTGTACAAATGAGTATATTTTTTGGTGTAAGTGTAGCATGGTCCGAATTATTTAGAGGGGAGTTTTCACACGAGTATTTATTTGCAAATGAACAAGCTGCTTTCTCCAGCCGACTCACGCTACACCAAATCACCGCCACAGAGCTCTGAACGTTAAAAGCAAAATTAGGGCGGCGAAGGACCGGATTTTCCTTAAATTTGAAATTCTCCTAGTGAAAATTCGCGCATGTCGTCGGCTCATACTAATGAGGAGTGAGATGATTTTTTTGAATTCATTTTTCTATTGAGTTTTCATAAATATCACGGAGTATTATATTTTATTTCCAAATTATGTTCATTTTTGTTGTTAATTTATGGTGTTTTTACACCGTTTCACCTCTTGCTCTATGGAGATTTGACTTGTTTACTTGTTTATATCAATTACTGGCTTGTTATAGTGTGCTATTTTCTAAGAAACCACCATGAAATCCATTTTGTTGGACTCAGCTAGGATTTTTGTTTTTGAGCTGAGTAAATATTAGCGATGAGGTAAATTTATGATATCCTAACTGTTAGTTTAATGGAAATGGAGGCATATATGTTGTA